GTAGCTCTACGCGCTGCACTTTCACTCCACCAAGCAAGCATAGTCAGACAGGGTACTAACCTAGTTCTGCAACACAACATAGAGAACTGTTTTTAAAGCTCTATCGTCACGTTCGACAAGAATGGTGCATGAGATTTTGAGGTCTCGCCGTTAAGACAACCTCCTTCCACCTTGTCCCGAACAAACCCTAACCTGCTGCCGCTGCTAACCAGTACGAGGTGGTGAATACAGCCTAGCTTTTTTTTTATCGTGAACGTTTCGGCGACAAAATTGTTACATTTGTCGACCAGGGTTTTTTGCCCCCGACGCCCGTGATTCCTACATCCCAATCTGACTGATCTAACTTTGTTGCAGTCCAAGTACTCTCCTGAAGGCAAGCGGTCTGGTGTGCGAGAGTTAATCGTCAGTATGTCTACCCTTTGGGTACGTGCCTTCTCGGGTAGCTGTCTACATCGCACTCATGTATGTGTAGACCGAACACCGCAACTCAGAGGGTCGTACCTATTCGCGCTCATGCGATGTTGCAGACAGGGAGACTTTTTTTTGGAAAAAGGATAATGTAATGCAGAACATCTCACAAAGAATGAAACCCGTGCCTCCGCATGTTCTGCAGAGGCCTCAGACAAACGAACGTCGTCTTGGGACAGTCAGTATCACGTGATGTGTCACACTCACGTGCCTTCCAGGGTCTTGACTGGATGGTTCGTCTTCCATTTCTGTCCTCTAGGCTGTGATTTTGGCAATATCCTTGGATTCCAGGACGAATATGGCACAGCAGGATGTCGAATCGGAACAGACATCCCTTCTCGCCGCTCCTCCCGTGTATCCGACCATCATGGCGATCCGCAGAGACGTGTGTCACTATCTTGACACCTCCCTAACATATGAACAATTGTTGGCTCCCGACCTCACTTATTCCCTCGTCCGACCGCTAGCGAATAAATATGCTCGACTGAAAAATATTGCTGTGCCATTCTGTTTTCTCATCAATCGAGTGCACTTCTTGCGAGATCAAAACTTCAGCACCCGAGCAGTTTCATTCTCTCGAGCCAGCCTTTGCGAGCTGCTCGCCATCAGAACACTGCGTGAATGGGCAGATCCCATGGATCTGGCCACAGTCCTGGTAACAAGCTTTGACTTGTTTAATGGAGCGAGCTCGGAAATTATTACTGCGGCAATCAGTGATGGAGACGAGGACGACCTTCAAGACCGAGTGGGTAATGCTATTGAAGTACGCTGCACTGCCAACAAAATGGAACATATCGTTGACGACATCCGTGTTCAGATAGCTATTATATCACAAGCGAAGCGATTCATCAAATCCTCGGCTTGTCAGAAGGTAATCAATGCCATTTGGCGAGGGGAAATCGTGTATCAGGCGGAGAGTGCGCACGCAATGATAGCCGACGTAACGTCTTAAATTACCCGCCGGTCTGAAATTGCTGAAATGCATCTAGACGTACAAGAGGCGACCCATCTATTTCTATGATTATCGAAAGGCCCCTCTGTTAGATCACTACAGGAACGTCTCTTGTGCCTCAGAAGGACCACCACACTGAACCCCTGCTCAGGTTAAAGGTACCAGCCGTACGATCAGTTCTGGAATACATGAAGTGACGCCCACTCGTAATTCTCCCTGGGGCCTACTGACCTATTCCTGTCCGCAGCTTTGTGATTCTTTTCGTATTATTCATCATCGCACTTGAGGGCGCGGAGATAGACCATTTTAATGGGTATGAGGCGTGCTTTATGGTGAGAATCTGTATGACACAACTGAAGCCGGTCTCCACTCAAGACCTTCTAGGTATATGCTGCTGGTAGGATGACTGCTGCTTTTCAAGAATAAGAGTTTCTCATGAGCAATTTTTGCACTGCCGGCTTTAGGCTTCACGCTGGAAAAGCTTGCTGCCATGCAAGAACATGGACTTAAGAGTACGTTTCCGTTGATCACGATTGCACACCCTACCTAAGTCTATTTATATTTCAGTGTTTTCGGCCAATGTACGTTTATTGATTCTACTTTCAAGCTCATGTATTCTATTCGCGACATCAGCTGTGGAATTTCTTCGATCTTGCTTTTATGACGATATACATATGCTACGCTGCCCTGAGAGTCCATGGACTGCGACATGAACTCACATGGGCAAAGAGCCTTGGTATCGATTTGCTTGCGATCGCCGCATGCATTATTTTCCCAAGGAAAGGATTTATCCAGCTGATATATGCAATCGCTTATTGTTTCAAGCAGGCTCGCCTTTGCGACCCTCTCTAACAACGTAAGACGTGCTTCAAGTGTTAGGGCTTCACTCATCGTTTGCACTACAACGATCAGCTCATGATTCTGTAAGCGTACCAGACTTAAACGGTTGGCTGATAGCAGTGAACGTGAACAGTTCTCTGCGCTCGATGCTACTGGAATTTACACTTCTTATGCTTGTAGCGGCATTCTGGTGCGTGAGCTTCCCCTTTCGTTGCAACAAATCTGATAAGTGCAGTTTTGGGGGGTTTTTATATGCTTGTGAGACGATACATATATTCATGCTGCCTTGCTGATCGTACAAAGTGTGGACTTTGGGTCGTGGAAGGTGGAAAACTTCGACCCGCCAGTAGTTGATTCTCTCATACCATGTCCTTCAGGTTTTCGTCTGGCCAGGTTGCGTGGTGGATGCTGGATATTTGGTACGTGACGTCTGGAAGCCTCAGGATTATTCTCAGGTTTCGCAGGTTTGGCCTAGATGCAACAGGGTTTGACAAGTCCTCGTCATTCCATCCCGTTTTCGGCCCCATCTTGATCGTGTTCTACGCTTGCCTTAGCAATACCTTGCTGTTGACAGGTCTGTGCCTGATATTCGGAGTGCCGGATCAACTGAAAGGTTCTTGTCCTAGTGCTCGTTTCTGTGCGTGTCTGGAGAGTGAATGTCGACATTGCTCTGACTCGTACCAGATCCTTTCTAACACCTTTGCGACAATAAATGCGGATGCCCTGGCGGAGTCACTGTTCAGAAGGGCAGTGACCACTGTGGAGGGGTGAGCATTATTTTGTCGAGCATCAAGTTGGATCTGATGGTAACTATTATAGGGTGAAAGTAGACGCACTCTTCTCCTACTTGCCCCCCCTAAACTTGATTGCATTCATAATCATGTTCCCGGCATCTTGTGTTCTAACCCCACGGTGGTTCCACAAGGTATGTTAGCATCGATCTGCAGCGACTCGTTCCTTGAGGCAATACTTGTTCCATAGCTCAACGTCACGGCCATCCGTATAACATCCTTCCCCATTCTTCTCGCAATTGCGTTCTATGAGCGTCAAATCGCACCATCACGCCAATCGCCTACATTTTTGGATCGGGCCACTCAGGCCGCATTCCGAATGGTAGAAAATATGCCTCGTCGCCTGAAGAGATTCAGTAAGTTAGGCAGCTACCAGTGCTAGGCATTCCTGATAGGTCCTCCTAGGTTTGTTTGAGGGCTTTGCTGGACCCGCAGCAGATATCGATGCGATCTTTGAAATTCAGGACCGCATCACTCAAGCTGCAGATGCGAAGCAGACATCAATTGAAGACACTCCCCCTGAAACGATTGATTCTCGGAGTAGTCCTCGAGGAGCTCGGGCGACGACGCTTTCGCGGGAGGAACCGGGCCCAACTACCTCTCCTGCTCAAGGAACAGGCCTAATCTTGGGGACAACAGAACACTCTAGAACACTCTACGAAACATCCGTCGATTCTACAATGCGTCGTCGGCGTCATTCCGAAGTTCCCCGCGGATCCAGAGCGGCGATGCGAGCACTTCTTTCGGACCCCGTTCCCCCTAGTTTCACGCCTCTTATGCGTCTCTTTCAGCCAGTCGTCGAAGAGGATAATATCCCCCCAGCTGAGAACCGATCACCGTCAGGCCGCTGTGCCTCGTCACGCAAGGAACGAGATCTTTATGAAAGGACCCGATCAAGTAGCACTGCACGTCCACGGCGTCACGCCTCGGAGGATTATTCTCACCCGTCCGACCAGGAGTTACGTGAGCCTCAAGCTGTGCGAGATATCCAAGAAACTGAGGAGCAGAATGAGCCCAGTTCATGGCTGGACGAGGGCGTGAAAAATCGGCTAGAGAGAATGGAGGCACAGCAGGCGCGATTGGAAGAGCTTTTGATGGAGATCGCAGGTAGCGTTAGACTAACCCGCTAGATTATACACCTATATGCCTAAATTTCCTTGAATCCCTATGTAGCAGTCAGAGTTGCATGGGCGGCGGTGTACATGGAAAGTGTATGTGTACACTCCGCGCCTTCACGCGACCGCACATTACTTGACCTCAAACGCGTCCAACGCGTCCCCCCATTGCACGTCTCAGGGTGCAACCTCCTCCATTGTCGCTTCTCCCTTCAACCACTTATCATGGACGCCAAATCTATTCGTGTCTACTCGTCTGTGTATTCCGGTATTCAGGTATGACTTACTGTGTCACACCTCGAAGTGACCGGAATAATGTGTACAAAGGTTCTGGAAGCCATCGTGAGGGGCATAGCAGTCATGAAACGGAAGTCGGACGCCTACGTGAACGCCACTCAGATCCTCAAGGTAATTCACGACGCCCGGGGAAATGATTAGTTCGCATGTCATGACCATACTTGAACAGGTCGCTGGTGTCGAGAAAGGGAAGCGTACCAAGATCCTTGAAAAAGAGTGAGCTCGCGGTTGTGGATCGCAAGCCTAATTAATTCGTCCATAGCATCACGAATGGTGAACACGAAAAGATACAGGGGGGCTACGGCAAGTACCAGGGAACCTGGTGAGTGTTTTATTACTGAGTTCTGTTTCCTATGCTGAGACGCGATGTGAGGATCCCTCTTGAGAGAGGAAGGGAGCTTGCTCATCAGTATGGTGTGGGTCACTTGTTAGCACCTATCTTCGATGCTGCTCCCGCCACATCCAGCGAGTCTTTCCCCGGCTCCCAACGATTTCCAGCGGTCTCTCTTTCGAAACAACCTGCCAGGTCATCGCAAACCGCCGCATTCCCGCCTGCATCTGTTGTCTCACCTGTGCCTGATTACGGTATCCAAGGATCCACCCCTTCATCATTGGAGCTGCTTCAGAAAGGTCGATTACCTGGTGCAGCCATCTCTCCTGCAGGTTTGAACGGAGTTTTCAGTGGCGACAGCGACCTTTTATTTGGCTATCAGTCGTCAGACCGTGCACCATCGCTCAAGCGTGGGCGGGAGACGGAGAGTTTGGACAACATTCCCACGCATTTCATGGCATACCAGCCAGATGTCGAGGCTCACGCGCAAGTTTCCAATGGGGATGGTCCCCCGCCTCCGAAGAAGCCCAGGACGGATAACGTGAACGCAGGAGTTTTGAATGGTGCCACTGCGCTGCCCAGTGCGATGATGATGGACTACAGTCTGCGCCCTGCGTTGTTCGAAGACTTGGATTTCAGTTTGTCGAAGGCTGGCTCTCGGGCGCAGCAGGCACTGGTTGCCATTGATAATGACGATTGCCCGCGTCTCCTGTCTGCCCTCACAATTCTGCAGGCTGACAACGGTCCGCACTTGGATGGCGCGCTAAAATTGGACGACGAGGGCCACACAGCTCTTCATTGGGCGGCAGCTCTGGCACGACAAGGTATCGTGGAAGCCCTTGTACGAAGCGGTACGGACGTTACTTCCCGCAATGCGATCGGTGAAACCGCGTTGATGCGCGCTGTTAAGTCGTCCTACAACTATGAGCAACAAACCTTTGGCGCTTTATTATCTTCTCTCGAAGGATCTCTCATGCTCGTGGATGACTCCAATAGGACGTTACTTCACCATATCGTACAACTAGCTGCTGTTAAAGGTCGGGCCACCGCTGCCAGGTACTATCTGCAAGTCGTCTTTGAGTGGATAGCACGTCAGCTACGGGGCAATTATCGAGACTTCGTCGACGTACAGGACATTAATGGCGACACTGCATTAAATGTTGCCGCAAGAATTGGTTCGCGAGCGCTTGTTCGTATGCTACTAGACGTTGGAGCCAACCGCACCATTCCAAACAAACTTGGGCTGCGCGCAGGCGATTTCGGAGTTGAAGAAGACGTGAGCCCTACGAGTTCAGACAGTTTGACTGTTTGTTTGACACCAACGCACTTCAGACACTGCAGCCCAATCCCGTGGAAGACGCCTTATCCTCGTTAAGAGCGAACAAGTCAGCGCCTCTCCAGAGAAGTTCCAACATAATTTCAGGTATGGAAATGTCACTGATTACTCTAATTGATCTCAATAAACATAGGAATCACCGCAAAGATGGAGGCACTGGCTTCGGAATTTGCGTCCGAATTAGATGCCAAACAGAGCGCGATTACGATGAATCAGGTTCATCTTCGAGTAGCCACAAGACAGCTGGCGGAACAAAGGCGACAGATCCAGACATGGAAGTCTAGATGTCAGGAGCTGGACCAGGGGAAACAGAGGGTGAAGAATGTTCAACGCGCATTGGCCCAGGAGGAGGGCTTCGAATGGACCGGTCGAACTGAAGCCGATGGAGGTGCCGCCAGAGAAAGTGCCGGTCTTCCATTCTCGTATCGCGGTGCAGCCCGGCCCACACCTTCTACAGTCGGGGCAGTAGAAATTTCATTCGAACTTGGGACTGACCCTCCAATACCGTCCGGTGACAGCACGGCTACCCTCGTCAAACTACGGAGAATAAAAACGTGGTCAGCACGAGTAGAGCAGATTCTATCTGAGCGAATCAGGCGACTCCAAGGTGCTGGTGCATATAAAGAAGTCCAATGCAAGAGAATCGTCTCTCTTTGCACAAAGGTCCCTGTGGAAGAAGTGGAGCGGGTAGGCGACCCATTTATATGCGTGCCGGGAATTTAACATTGATTGCGTTGACAGATGCTTGAATCTCTCTTGAACGCAGTGGAAAGTGACAGCGATAATTTGGACATGGAACGAGTTTCCGGATTTTTGGCTAAGGTAAGTGGTCCAATGCCGTGTTCATCGAATTACTGCATTATTGCGGTTGCAGGTACGCAATGGAAATATATAGTGTGCAGTGGGAAGAAAGTTGTTGCTTCGAACAATGGCCTGTATGAATGAGAGCAACCATTGCATTGTAGGGTAGATCCAGATGGTTCTTCCAGAGCGTAGTAGAGAAAGCAATGTAGCTGGTTACAGAGTCGAAGCCAATATTGAGCCGTCCGCTAGTAGGGGATGCCGAACGGGCGCTTATTGAGCAGGTCACAGCCACTAAGAGGACCCCTTGCACACAAACCTCAGCTGAGTCTTCGGGAACCTACACATCTCCTCAGAGCCACTGCTGTGTATTAACAATGTCTGTCCAGGGTCAGAAAAGGAAGCGATCTGATTGCATTTGCGAAGGCAGTGTTGTTGGATCGGACCCATCTGTTTTGTGTGAAGTCTGCGCAAAATGGTACATTTCTCCCTGCATTCTGACGGAGTAGCAGCCATCGCTAATCGCTTCATAGGTTTCACTTGGGTTGTATGGAGCTCAGTACAGTGGATGCTGAAGATATGGGTGAGATGGATCAGTAATTATATCGTGCCCGAATTGACAACCCGAAGCGCTGTTTATCTGTCCTCACTGCAGCGATGGACAGAACGACATTACACGAAGTGAGCCAGAACTGCTCTTCTCCTATATTTATATATGTCCTCACGTTGACGCCAGTGTTTTGGGACAATACGTCATCAGAGAATGCGCGTCGTCTGAGGGACTTGTCGCAGTTGTCGGCAAGGGACGAGGAAGTAGATGAGGCCCTGCGCTATTCCAACATGAACCGTGCTCAGAATCGCGCGCTCCTTGATACGTTCGAGGACAGCGATGATAGCGCCAGCAGTGATGACAACTATATTGAGGATACAGAAGAGCACATAGAACACGCTGCTAAGGAGGTGAGTGCTTGCCAGAGCAATCAACATTGCCCTGCACCACGAAACTGACTCCAATCAATAAGCAGAGTCGACGAGTGAACCAAGCGCAATCTGCAATTCGTCGCCGCTCGACACCTGGATCTGCTGAAGATTTTGGAGGGGCAGATCGTGCGCGAATGTCTACGGGAAGCGCTGAAACGGCTGCGCGTTGGGGTGGGGATGGTTCTGTTTCCAGTGACCCTGTTCGAAAATATTGCTTTGGAAAACTTCGGGACGTCATACTTCCTATTTTTGAAGAGCATTTCGTCGTGCAGAGCCCTTCCGTACATGACATGTCAAAGCCAGAAGACTCTCCTGAAACATCTGCCGAGCAGTTGCAGAGCTCCACGAGTAATCCCTCGGAGAGTCTAGCAACAGCCTTCGTTGAAAGACTCGAGCAGCATCTCTTTGAGACGTTTGCTGAGCATGACGAGAAGAAGGGTAGAGTCATGGCAGGTGGAAAGTACCGGTGCGCTCTTTTGCTCAGCACAAATAATAGTCCTCACTCTTTGTCTTACAGAGAACGATTTCGGATGTTGAGCTTCAACCTTTCTCAAAGAGATAGGGCAGCCCTTCGGCGCCGGATCGGAATAGGCGAGCTGTCTGCTAAAGACTTGGCGGCCATGTCATCCGCGGATTTAGCGAATGAGGAAAGACAGCATGAAATCGAAATTGCACGACGTGAATCTCTGCAGCATTCTATCCTTGAGGCCCCAGTACCACCGACTGCGAAAATCACTCACAAAGGGGAAGAAATCATCGAGGCATTTGTACCCTATGAGACGCGTCGGCTGGACCAGGAGGGGTTGCCTTTGCTTGAGGTGCGGAAGTCGCCGCCTTTGCCGAACGACTCAACTGCAGCAAAATTAAACGTATCTACACAATTGATTGCCGAAAATCGGGACTCTGTGCAGTTGGTCCATCCCTCCACCGGCCCCACTCTTCCAACAGCATCCCCATCACAACGGTCCACCTTAGGAAGAGCCGAGAACATATGGCCTGTGGAATCAAAGGCTCAGAATTTACATGCGAAGCACTCATCGAGTCCGATCAGTTCAAGCCCTCCACTCTCAAAAGAACATGGATTGTCAGTATCCCCAGTCACACCATCACACCCCAACTTCAGTTTGAACACACTCTGGTCCGGGCCCGAATCCCCCTTCAGTCAGACCTCTCCGGTCAAACAGCGGGAGACGAGGAATGCTGAAGATGATAGTGACACACTGAACGATGAACTGTTGGATACGCTTGATGACGGAAATTTGGATGAACTGCTTGCACCGGAAGGAGAAATGGAGGATCACATGGTGACCAGCAACGAAGACAAGTGGGGTAGCACGGCCGCAGACCTGGTGGTTTGGCGGGGAGAGGTACGTTGCGTCATTCGAGATCGACACCTTCAACTGACCAGAGCTAGGTCGTCATGCCGATGGATCCTTCTCCGCCACTGTCCTGCAGAGTTTTAGCGCATCAGATCGGCGGCCCCAAGCTGGGCGATGATAACATCACCTGGAGTCGCTTATTCACCTCCCAAATAATTCGTGTGGACGGAAGAGTCCCTGTACCGAGCTCTACCCAATATCTTCTTAACATGCGCATGAGCGCGAACAAGGAGCTCGTTGCAGTCACCTTTACTCCGCTAAGTTCATCAGAAGAAAACGCATTTGAACAGCTTGTCCAGTTCCTATATTTGAGAGGGCGAGTCCATATCTTCTGTTTTATGGAGAATACTGATAGCATGATCACAGACGTCACGGCATAGTTTTCCCTTGGGGTACTAAGCCGTCTGATTCTGCTATTGGAAAAGATCTATATCTGGTTCCCTTGAAGGCAAATGATCCCCTTCCCGAATATGTGCAGCTCCTAGATGATCTTCAGCTCCCGGTACTACGTTCAAGGGATATCTTGTTAGGCATATTCATCCTGTACAAGGCGCGTGTCCCATGGTCTCCTCACGTGGCCATCGACAAAGTTCTCGTCACTCCTTCACCAACTACAGTTAGCACTCCCTCTACTATTTGGTCGCCCTTACCTCTGTCCAACCTCGCTTCCCAAGTATCCACTCCTTTGCTCCAGCCTTCGATATCGGCCGTCACAGAGGATATTGCACGCCTTACTCCAGAACAACTGCAGCTCGTGCAGACACTCATTGAACAAGCTGGTCTCCGGTCTTCCGCTTCTGGTTCTGAACAGCCGGTTCCTCTCCTAGCGGACATTGCCCAAGGTTCTCAGCAACTTGCATCCTTCACCGGTACATCGTCGCCCACCCGGAAGCCTGCCGAAACGTCTCGATCGGCAGACCGAGGATATCACTTTCAAACAAAATATCCTCCTTCAACCTCGGATCCACAAGCAGCAGGGGTTTTGGATGACGGTTCAATTGAAACCGGTACGGCTTTCCGGTACCCTTCTTTTAGTCAAGAACAGAACCAGCCCGAAAGCTCATTAGCGGCCAGACGCTTCGCCCCCACATTAGACAATCTCCTAGACCAACCGCGTTCGGACCGTCGAGAGTCAAAAATAGCTCGGCCTTTTCCAAGAGCACGGGACTCAGGTTGGAGTGGACGGGGAAGAGGTCATGGACGTTGAGACGCGCATTTTGTTGACAGTTCAGTTCGCTGTCCCGATGAAACACCTATTACCTCGGTTTTCTCGTGGCCCAATTAGGGGTTTTTTTTTCTTGTTGCAGTGAAGCGGGAAAAACCAGTTAACCCCTCGGAATCCTGAACACGGCAATTGGACGGAAGTTCGCCGCTGGCGAAGAACAATTCGAAGGAGCTCAAAGATGTAACTTTCATCGAAATGTAACCTCCCTGAATTTACATTGAAGTCGGGCAGGTGACATAATCAGAATTACCGTCACAAGATAATACAACCACAAGGCGAGTACTAACCAATTTCGATCCAGTTGGTCATTTCCAGTTAAGTGATAAATTCCGACATCGTTCGCGACGATCTTCCTGAGTCACTCACAAAGTGAGCTGCCCCCCTGCGAGGGTTCGGCTGAGATTGTACGAAGCACTGCACAATTATCATTTGGTCAACACAAATGTTCGATATACGCGCCTCGCGTACCTGATGAGAGTGACGTGCTGTACAGACAAAAGGTATTAATTGAATGTTTGAGGGCAATCGTACCAGACGTACTGTAAAGCCTTGCACTGCATTTCCAAGCCTGAAAGTTGCGCGATGAGCATCTTGAGTAGCAACTAACTGCACAGGAAAAAGCTAACCCTTCGCCCGCTGGTGATATTTCTTCCGACCTGTTGTAGTATCATTAGCCACCTGGCTCCTTTTACACACCGTAGAAAGGCTCATACCACAGAGAAACATGATTGCCTGCCGAGGACATCAAAATTAGGGAGCGTGAGTACGGTGCATACGAAAGTCATACCGAAACCAAGGAAGTCCTGAACGCCACGTAATTAGATGAAGACTCATAGAAATTGCATTCGCGTACCTCGAACATATCTACTGCTCTAACGAGATACTTCTTGTCGTACTGACCAGCACGAGTGAGTGCTTCCACGCACCTAGCGAAGATGTTAGTTTCATGGGCTGTGTATGATATTACTATGTTATACTACCAGAGGGTGCACAACGAGAAGGTTCTGGATGTTCATCAGTTGCATTGACAGTGGCGCGTGTAACACAAACCTACCCTTCTTCACCCCCCACGCCATCGTCCGCTTTGGTCACATCTGGTGGAGAAAGGCGGTCAGCATCCCTAGGGGGTCTAGGGAACTGGGCCCCACCATATCTGTACTGCAGGGGGATGGATAAGTCAGTGGACGCATCAGGTGATGGGTTCATTCACGGCATACGACAAGGTTATTTGTAACTAATCCTCCCCGTTCGGAGGGCCGGAGAACTGCATCCAAGGTCCTAAGAAACCGCGGGTCGGCCGCGGAGGAGAAGAATACGAGTGGTGCAACCAAGATGGAGGCATCTAGCACGTGCTGCAGCCATATTTGAGAATACTTCTTGTAGGAGTCACCGAGGCTCACAGGTTCCTCATAGCTTTGGCCGTAGTGACCACCAGGAGCATACCAAGCCTTCTCCATTATTTCTTCGTAGAGTTCATCCCGGGCCTTAAGCCAGTCCGCCCGCTTGGGGCAGGGCAGCGAGCGCTTGTCTGCAAGTCTCAGACCTGCCAACAATATGTACAGTACATGAAACATGACGCGTGCACTTATCATACCTCGATCTAATGCGACCCTGTGATGGAATAAGACCTGAAAGTGCACTACGAAGAAAATGGCGGACCACAGCATGATCTAAGCAGGGAACTGATGAGGCTAACCCTGGAGTTGATCAACACGGAGACATACCTTGGAATACTGTTTATTGACCAATCAGTACATTTCATTAGTAGCATTGTCGGGTTACTCACTGTGAAATGACGTTCTCGGTTTCGCACCTCCCTGAATAGGTTGAGAGACGTGCAAACAACGCTTTGGAGCGCATTTTACCAAATTGATCTGTCATTGCACTGTGAGCTGTAGGTACGTTCATGGACATCAACACATACAAATCGGGACGGTGGCGGTTGGCAACGACGAAATCCACCCTGCAAGGCGTCCATTCAAAGGCCTGGATATGTCGTGGAACGGACACGTACAGTTCTCTGACTGCTACCCACAGATCATAACCGAGGGGCTTGCTGAATTTTTGACCGAGATAGATGCAGTCCATCAATTCTCCGTATATGTCCTTGCGGCAACGTAAGCGCAATCAGAAAAGGATATGGTATGTCTTACGCACGAGTTGAACATGATCTGCTGCTCCATTCCCGATGCTGTGACAAGGTCAACACTGCTATTGACAACACGGCCCAGGTGGATTTGTACCGAACGGGGCTCGATCCTTTGTAACCTGGATCAATCTTAGTTTCTCAGACAGAGGATTATTGAATTATGGAACACCTTCGAGATGACCCAATTCAATTTCTTCAATCTGCTTTCCGCCTATAGCTAAACTTAGTGAACCAATTCATGCCAACAGAAACCTTTGACATGCCATGGATAGTGTACCTGACTGCAATTGGGGTAAATCATAACTATTGAGGATGATGCTTACATGATCTGTAAAGAGCCGTCTGGGTTCTGGGGAGTTCTCAGGGTTTTTCCTGTTCGGTGGAGGAAATATTGCCACACACCCTATCTTGTAATCTGTTGAAGATGAATTCCATATATGCTATAGCAATAATCAACAATGTGCGCAGTCTCCGAAGTTAACGTTGGTCACCGTTTGCTTCTTCGGTGAAGCCCAATCGAATCAAGGCATATACAGTGAAAGAGCTGTCGCGTATCTGGTCACCAGTCAGACAGTGTTATGAACTTGTGAGGGGACAACGCACCCAGCAAAACCTGGGCAAGGTTATCTTCGTCAGTCTTTCTCAAGCCTATGACTCGTTTGGATACCTATAATCCCTGTATCTGAATGAGGCACCGTTGGACTTGAGCAAGTTATCTGCCATTTACCAATTTCTCGTACCTCCGATGAATTCAGGGAGAGAGAATGTTGGAGAAGCAACGATAGCCCCCGTCGGCTCATAGATCAGCATTTTCAGCGCAAGGGCACTGCGCTGGACCGCTTCCCTCCATGACCCACGATAGGTCGACTTCCCGATCCAAGTCTGCCAGAACTTCGTCGTCTCCTGGAATAAATCAGCAATAGAACTCATGTGCAGATGCCATGAATGGACCATCAACAGTCTGTCCGTAAATTCCTGTTGATATATCAGTTCTGGAAAGGTGGAAAAAAGCGCTGGGAATTTTACTGCTGTCAGGAGAGGATCATCCGTTACTCTCGGCTTGGATGCGCTCGAAATGAAGTCTGTGCACTGGGTCAGTGCGCTTCTTTCTAATCGAACAAACTTCGCACTGGTCCTAGCGACTCGTGTTGCTGTGGACGGGGAAACTCCGGGTGTCGTATTTTGTTCTCCGACAGACGACGGAAGTATGCGAAAGATGAAAGTGATGGATTGCCCTGTGACCAGCATTTGAGTGTGTACAATTCGCGGAAGTCACCACTAGCCATCTTCAAGCTTGATATCACATACTGCTGCCGGTCCCAGGTGTTCCTTGAACGTAACGAGGTCAAAGGAAACAGATGGAACAGCGCCGCAGCTCTCAGAAGCATCGACAACGTAGCGCAAATCCATCTTCATGGACTGACTGAAGAATACCACTTTATCCTGAGTGTCCGAGATGACATTGTCATCGTGCACAACCTCAGCGGTATGCGCGTCACGAGCGTAGTTGAATGCAGGTGCACACTCTACGCGGATGGGCACTGTGCCTCGAATGGCAGTAACCTTGCGGCACATCCAAAATAGCCTCGCAGGTGAACCATCAACAGGTCGGGGAAGCCAATCCACGACCTCCGCGACGCCTTGGTCCGCGAGGAATCTAAGAATTAATCAGAAAGTTTGGTCGGTCCTTCCGAAAGGAGCGAACTTGGTTCGAAGAACATTCGAGGCGGGAAGATACGCCTGGAGACACAGATCAGGTCAGGGGGCCTAGGGCAGGACAAATGAAGCTTCCAACCTGCTTTGGAGTGAAACTGAGTTTTGGAGTAATGCTGAAATGTCCACCCTTTCAGCTTGCATCAGTGCAATTCGCACAAGAGAATTGAACGCAGCACACCTTATTCTTGTCGAGAATGCGCGCAAAAATGCTGAAAAGCATGCTAAGCCCGACTTGCTGTAACGTCTAGACTAAAAATGCATACCTCGGGCTGTCAAAGTCGGGAATACAGTAGCTCTCAATGGATCCATCGACCGAAATCAGCGCAGCCGTCCTTAGGTTGCCAATCAGCGCATGGTCCTGGATGGGGAGGTATGGTCCTGAACGTTCGGTCGCACGTCAATACTTCGGACTGGTCGTGTAAAGGTATGAGAAGAGCGACCTACTTGCGCCGTTCGCAGCTGTGCGTTCCTTGTTCATTATTTGAGACGGGGGCATGAACCTATCTCTTATTTCTTATGAAGAGGAGGGGATTGGGGTGTGTTGGACAAGGGGATTGATTGGGTAGGTTGTGTAAGGGATGGAAGGCTTGTTATAATCGAGAGGCTGAGAAGTATAGGCCTCGTTGGGTCAGCATGGGCGTATGACGTCGTCTCTGTTATTATCAGCCAATCACGCGCCTTCTCTCAAGGGATCACAGCCCTGTTTCCCTTGGGCGCATACATTCTCATGGCGACATCGGTCACCTCGGATCATCGACGACATCTCACCGTACCCACAACTAGAACTCGTCCAGGTTCACGAAGTACTAGCGGTCGTGTCAGCCCATCACAACCCCAACCAATCACCGCGTCTGCCAGTCTTCTCTCCGTTCCTTCTACCCTATCCCCACCGAATGCTCTCGAGTCACTCCTCCGAGAGACCGAGAATCGTTGCCAACAGTTCGAACAACGTATCACACACTTACAGGATATTCTCGACCATGAATTCGACAACTGGCGGTCAGCGCTCAGAGACCACGATGCTGTCAACGACGAGCTGATCCGTCTGTCCGAGGCGGTGACCCATACGGCCACGCGCGAGATCCCTCAAACGCTTGCGAAGCTCAATGCCGAGTCCAGAGAAACCAGAGGTGTTGCGAAACAACTCGAACTTATGGAGAGCAGGGTTGCTGAAACGGAGAAGAAACTCAAAGAGGGCCGACGTAGGATGGACAAGCTCGAGAGGCTGCTCACTGAACAGGAGGCCGGCAGAGGTTGGCTTACATGGACAAATTTCGGTGCGTCATTTTGTGTATATCCGTGAATATTCTTTTCACGGAATTCACAGTAATTGGCATGGGTGCACTCTTGGCCGTTGGCTTGTTGTTTCTCTACATCGCATGGGGTCCGCCGTTGGAAAGCGCCATCACTTCCCAACCGAACATCTGATGCTTGCATGCACATTCTTCTTATTCACGGCGTCTTCGGCTTTCTGGCCCAGAACAAGTAATTACACTGCTCTCCCCAGCTCGACCCTCTGTTACTTAGCTGCCAATCTCCGTTCCCCGGAAAGTACATGATTCCTCTAACCTCGGCTTCCTGCGCGTTTGGTCGGTCTTCGTACGTCCCGGTTAACCAGCCCAGGTCTTTGAAGAACTTGATCAGCTCGGAAGGCCGGATAAACTTATCGTAGTTATGCGTGCCAGGTGAAACGAGGTGTAAGGTGTTCTCAGCAATGGCGATTGTCAAAAGATGAGCGAACGGGGTCCGGGAGATAGTAGAGAGGAAAAGATGACCACCGGGCTGCATTCAATGAGACTCTCATGAGGCGGTTATAACAGAATATTATACCTTGATAACTTCAGCACAGCTCTTCAGAAAATTCTTCGGCTCATCTACGTGCTCCAACACCTCCATGGCGCACACGGCGTCGTACTGCTGACCTTCTACCGCTAATGTTTCGACCGCTGCATGGCGATATACCAGGTTGTTTAGGGAATGATCATGACTCTGGTGTATTCTTGCTATTGCAATGTTTGATGCGGCAGCGTCCACGCCTGTCACAGACGCTCCCAATCGAGCGAGACTCTGTTGACCCTATTAACACACAATCCCGAGGCCTGCGAAGTGATACTTACTTCAGACAGCAGCCCGCCGCCGCATCCTATATCAAGAATTCGCAAACCACCCAGTGCCTTCCACGACGGTGAGCTGGGCTCGCCTTCCAAGTCTCTGAGTTCCGCGATCTTCTCCTTCAACCAGGCGACACGGGGTGGGTTCATCCTGTGCAGCATCTTAAGTTCTCCATGTTCGTCCCACCACTGAGCAGATAATTTAGAAAAATGCTCAATCTCGATTGGGTCCACAGTTGGGCTTGCCAAAGACTCTGCATTTGTCGCAAAATGCCTGAATAGTCGCGTCGAATATCCCAATTGCCTGGGAATAACGGAGAGCATAGTGAGCAACGTGAAGGGCGGAATAATCGTCGGTGTTACAGCACGGGGGTTGCTTGCCTCACCGCGTCAGTGAGCGCCTGTCCCTGGTTGGCTGCGCGCACTTGTTCGTTCTTCCTCTACCGACCACGATGTCCCTGTTTAACGCTCCCAGGGCGTCCCAAAATCGCTTCTCGAGCAATGCGGGCCCTTCGCTCAACGGCTTCGCCAGTTATATGAGCGACAATCCGTTGTCCTCAGCTTCCGTGTACGATAACCTGAACGATCCGTGGAGCACAGGAGGCTCGCCTTCCGCCACTCCCCCGGTGAGTGCTGCCGGACCATTAGCAAGTGTGATCGGTAGAGTTCCATTTTCGACAATGCTATTTATTACCATTAATGCATGATTGCAGCACCCGATGCCCCTGTACCAAGCATCTATCATCAGGCACTGGCTTCGGCAGACCCTACTGGAACTGGCGACGTTTCACTAAATTCATTGCACAGAGTGTTATCTACGTCTCATCTTCCGGCTGCGACTATTGAAAGGGTGAGTATGTACCGTCGATTTGCCTCGCATTGTCCTTACAAACTTGCAGATAGTCAATCTCGTTTCTTCGCGTCCTCGTGTATCAAAGCTCGAGTTTTTCGTTGCTCTTGCCTTGGTTGGGCTTGCTCAGCAAGGAAAGGACGTATCGATTGAGCAAGTTGCTGCCCTGGCAGTCCAGTCTGCTCTACCATCACCTTCGCTTCAATTGTCTTCGATCGGTACGTTCGATAGTCTCGGACAACGAGACGTTTCTTAGGTATATTATGCCACAGTACCGATGTCGCCAACGTCAGTGCCCGCCCCCGCCTATTCTGAGACGGATCCATGGAGTGTATCCAACAGACAACAAGACGCAACTTCCGCCTCTCCCACTGCGCTTGGCGGCATTGCAACAGGTGGGGCGAGCACGGTCAGCGGTCCCGGGTTGCCCAGGGAGTGGTGGAAGAAGCAGGAGAATATAATCGTCACCCTCGTGCCAGAAAAGCAAGGCTTCATTCTCAATCGCTACTTGGTGTATCAGATCCAATCAGACGTGAGCTATGGTATGCTCGATGGATCCTGTGGAGACTTATGCTTTCATGCAGAGAGGCGCTCCCGTCACACGCCGATACTCTGAGTTTGTGTTCTTGTACGACTGCCTGTTGCGGAGATACCCGTTTCGAATCATCAGCAGCCTCCCTCCGAAGCGGATAGGGCGTGAGTGCAAGTCGCAGTGTCACTGTTCACCAGCTTATATCTCATTCATCATCCAGCCGACGATGCATTCCTTGAGCAGCGCCGCAAGGGCCTTACCCGCTTCATTAATTTCATTGCGAATCACCCGGTTTTGAAAGAAGATGGCCTCGTTGCAGTGTTTCTGACAGAGCCATCGTTCGAGGCGTGGCGAAAGCACAGTTCCATCTCCTTGGACGAAGAATCCTATTCAAAGCGAGTCGACGCTGTGGAGGAAATGAGCATACCAAGCGACCTGGAAGAGAAGCTCAGCATTGTCCGAAATAAAATTCCAGCGTTAATTGAGCAGTGGAATCGGATTTGTGCAACGACGGAGCGTCTTGTGAAGCGACGAGAAGGCGCGGCTGTCAGTGATGTTTACTTTGCAACAGGGCCAGTCTAATGAGGGTTTCAAACAGGCCGACTTGTCCAGGCTCACCATGACCCTGAATACTCTGACAGAGGTGAATCATACCTGCTGGAGAAGCCCCCATGACCACGATGGTTGTGACCTATGCGTGGGTGTTCGGAGTGGCTTGGCTCAAGTGTCGGCATCCTTGCAAACACAAGCTGATGCTGTTGAACAACGTGTAAGCTGAGAAAGTACTCATCTGACAGTTTCAGGCTGAACACATCTCAGGCGCGGAGTTTAATGTTAACAACTCTCGAGTCATTGAAAATGGAACGTGATCTATATCTTGCCGTTCGCGATCTCTTTATACGACATGATCGTTTGTCCGTCGATCAAGTGGAAAAACTGCGGAAGCACGTTGATATGAGCTCAAAGAAACTCGAACAGGTCAAAGCTGTCCAGAAAGACGGCTGGGAAACTGAAGCCGACAAGATTTTGGGTAGCATCGAGCATGATCAAGCCACCATTTCTGCTCAGCTCGCCAGAAGAGTGTTTATCCGCCACTGGTGCGTTTGTTGTCCACTATTCTGTGTTACGATATTCAAAGTGGTGCTCAGCATGTGGCATGAGTTGCGTGTTGTGTTGCATAACCGAGAGAACGCATTGGTCAGCTTGGCCACGCAGACCTTTGCTCGGGAGGAGCGCGATTTCGTCGGACAACTGCGGTCTAACTGGGCAACTCTCTCTCTCGATGCGGAGAATATGCCATTTGAATAGTGGAGGCCTATTATGTTATTGGTAAAAGTCTGTTCTCTCCCAGTTGGGGAGGAGGTATGCACTTCTATTATATGGCAGATACCCTGGCAATTTAGTAGATTCCCGGAATGAATCGCCACTTGACGATGGAACAGTACTTGTCCCAGTCTTTGCCATATTTCCGCTCGCATCTGTTGCTAATCGTCAACATAATATGCATGTATGGCGGAGCGGCGCACCTCTCAAAGTCACGACCACAGCGGTGGATTAGAACCGCCATGAAGAATAATGGATAGAAATATGGAATGGGTGAGGCAGCCCCAATGCATAACCCCCAAGTCAGACTCTGGATCCAATCCGCAGTATAGTTAGGCTTGCGGGCAAAGGCCCACCATCCACTGATCAGGAGGCGGTTACTGGCGGGGATGGTCAAGATGAGAACTTGTTTGTAGTAGCTGACCTATGCGCACCCATGCTCAGTTTGGATGTACTGAGGATTGTCCAGGGTGCCCCAGGGAAGCTGGGGGAAGGTCCAGCGATATTGGTAAGTTCCCTGCATTTGCATGCGGAAACGGCTCTTCTGCGACATCGACGAGTCAAACCTGGTGGAGTCAGCAGGATCTAGACACCGGCCGCAAAGATTAAAGTCTTACACGTAGTATGCACATAGCAGCGTGGTATAGAGAGCGATGTATGTTGGGGTAGAGAACTCATACTTCTTGGGGTCGTTGGCGGCCATATACACGATAGAGTAGCAGTAGGTCTGTTCCGGCGAACTCAGTGACTAGGCGGAGAATTTCCTCGTGGATGCACTTACGAAAGGAACTCCGGAAAAGTTCCAAAAGATGATCATCCATCCCCACTTCTCGTGGAACATATCCCAGGTTTGGGGGATACATTCTTCGCCTTTCGCGCAAGCATTGATGTACAAGCCGGTGGCGAGAACCATGAAAGCCATGTTCGGTGTAATGTATCCATATGTTTCGTATTGCTTGCAAGCACCCGAGATGGAGATCAAGAAGAGAAGCACCCAAGGGATGCGAACCTCTGCCCACATCTTCAAATCTACGGAGCCGATACGTGGATTCAAGCAGGCACCCATGAAAAAGTCGTAGATGGTGTTGCCTGACATGCGGAGTTGTTCGCCTCGGGCGATGGTCGAAACGTACATGTAGGTCGAGACAACATTCGCCCAGATCATCGATACGGTCATGAGCGACCCGAAGTTGTCAATGATCTCGGTGAGGCGGAAAACACCACTGAGATGAAGGCCGGCCGCGATGGCGAGGGTGGCGTACCAAGAGGCCAGAGCATTGCAGTTGTACGTTAAAGTCTTATAGTTGAGTGAGGGAACAGGGAGACCCTCCTGTTTGTAGCCGGGCATGATGAATGCAAGCAAGAGCTGTATGGCCATTAGGCTGGTGTAGATGGCGAACGTGTACGGTGTCGGGGCAGCATCCTGTTTTTGATGTCAGCAAGGCGTGCGGCGGAACGAAACTTCGCCTTAACCTGCTTGATGTGCTGCCACATACGATCGAAGAAGGGCATAATGTCATCGATAGACTTCGGATGGACAAGTTGGCCGTTATAAAACCACAAGCAGATCCATAGATAGTACATTAGGATGGGGAAGCCAACGATCATTGCCGTGACACCAGTTGGACCACCGAACTCCCAGCTATAAACGAAATCAGTACAATGGAAATGACTTCGAGTCATTTTCTTACGCACGTCTGGTGAGAATCCAGTTTCTTGTCCATTTTCCTACCATGCTCGCTGAACACGATGTGACCCTCGTTGACGATTAGTGCCTTGGAGTCTCCAGAGAGGATAGGGTTCTTGCGCTGGCGAATGCTTGAGGCATCATCGCCGTTGGCTTTCTCGGGGCCACCGTCGTGGGGCATGTCTTTTGAGAACGGGATAAGAGCAGAGAGGGAGAATGGGGGAAACACAGGTCAAGATGACCTTCGTCGTAAAACCCCCAACCCGAAGAACGGGTCCCACGCGGCCTGATATGGGGTTCGGCCGGCTAAATCGGTCTCAATGAAAATTCAGTAATGGGAAACTTGGGCAGAACTGATGGAGTAGGATTCCAGTTAATTTGCACCACACATTACTTATATTGGGACGTTCCTTCACTTCAGACGAACCACAAAAGGTGGAAATCATGGATTGGCTAGACATGGACATAGCAACATGGGGCAACGACGTAACATGATCCTCTCCCTCATTGGTGACAAGCCCTCATGCAACTGGGGGCTTGGTACCAGGGGCGAAGGTGTATGTAAGACCACATTTCCCGCAATATTGTCGGTCTTGGTGGAAGGCCATGAAAATGCCAGCGCCGCAAGTGGCGTTCTGCAGAACGGATCAGAATCGTATACCTTACATAGAATGAACATGAAAACATACCGGGCACTCCCTCCTCAACCGCTTGATCTTGCCATCCGAATCGACCTTGTAGTACTTCAGAATGGACATCTTGACCTTCTTGCGCTTGTGCTTGATCTTCTTGGGGGTGCTGTACTGCTTCTTCTTGCGCTTCTTCGCACCACCACGCAGACGCAAGACGAGATGAAGGGTGGATTCCTTCTGGATGTTGTAGTCCGACAGGGTGCGGCCATCCTCCAGCTGCTTGCCTGCAAAGATCAGGCGTTGCTGATCAGGAGGGATACTGAAAGCAATGAGAAAGTTGGTCTATGGCCAACGGCAAACATAATCTGCGCACCCTTCCTTGTCCTGAATTTTTGCTTTTACATTGTCAATCGTGTCCGAAGACTCCACCTCAAGGGTGATGGTCTTGCCCGTGAGGCTGAGGTTGTGTCAATACTGTGCAACAGAATTCGAAGTGAAGGGGTCGCGTACGTCTTAACGAAGATCTGCATGGCGGCTGAAAGAAACACGATTCAGCGCAAGCGAAGATAATTGAAGAGATACTGACGCAGATTACGAGGTAGACAGTACCAATGCGCTTGTTTGTCTACCCAACAAGACTATATGATGGGATCTTCGACAATGCAAGCTTGTTGGCAAGAGATGTGAGGGTGATATGAAGGACGGTCGAGCCAGACGGGTCCCAATTGGTTCCGTACAAATGTGCAGTTTCAGGGAATTATAGCTTTAGGGCAGGCCTTACTTATGTAATATAGCTACAATGCCGGAGCGTAATTCCGCACAAGGATTCATACAATGATGATGTCTGCATAACAATGCTTCAAGGGGATGATACGGTTTGGTTGCGTTCATGTTTTCTAGGCCCAGGACTGGCCGAAAGCGTCCATTTGATTTTTCTTGACCCACGTCTACTACTGATGACACCCCACTTCGATAGGTTTAGTGGGAGTGCGACAGAATGAGACCACATGAAGTGAATGCGACACCACCATATCATGTGTCCATCATCAGCATGGATAAGTCTTTTTGTTGGGGAATATATAAGACTCTCCCGATGATGCACATACACGTGTTTGAGGAAGAAGGCAATGTCGATTAAATGTTGCGGAAGCAGAGAAGAGAGGGAAAAGGTAACAGACCAAAGGCGTCAGCGCATCAATCGCACGCCCCTTACGCGTCCCTACCCTTAGACGCCCGCCCTTTGCCCACCCTTCCCCTAAGGCAACACGCGTCCCCCTCCTCGCCCACACTGCCCATGTACACGCATTAATCTTTCCGAGGTCATGGCCGCTCGTCCTGGTCCACCACCACCAATTATAGAATCCCGTAAACGACTACGTTCCCTATCTTCTTCATCCGTCTGTTCGAGCCCAAAACGTCAGGCTTCTGAAGGCCCCTCGGATTCCCCCGACTCCGCGACGCCACCGGGTACGACACCAGTCAATACCTCTCTCACCATCCCACTCGAGTCCCAACTCTCTCTGCAATCTCCTGCCTCGACCCCCACCTCAGAAGACTTGCCCATGCAGACCCCTACTCAGCCGTCATCGTTCATGATCCATCCGCCTTCTCCAGAGGCCGCCGACACCCTCATCCCACCACAAGATCGCTGGAGTCACATCACCGGTCTACGAAACGCAAGCCAGGTTCCCGGGGCAACGTGGTACTTGGTATCTGCTAAATGGCTGAAGCGCTTCGAGATTGCGTGTACGGGGAAGGCCGGCAAGGATGAGAAGCTGGTAACGCAGGAGACCCTAGGCGCTGTCGATAATAGCGACATCATAGACGCGGAGGGAGAGCTCCGACGTGACCTCGAAGGGGATGAATATGAGCCGCTACCGCAAGAAGCTTGGAATGCCTTACAACGATGGTGAGCATGCGTGCTTATTATTTCCTAAAGATTGAGCTTATGCTTTGCTAGGTACGGTGTTTCTTCCACTCCCTTACAACGTAGTGTATACGAGGGACCAAGCGGCAGCACTATGCTACACTACCATCCCCATCTCTTCCACCTTTTCCTACTTACAACATCACCTCCCAGAGTTGATACTGCCTTGCCTGCATCTGCGCCACTGCTGCGACTGTACGAACCGCAACCTCTCTCTGATCTATATGCTGCTGCTGTGTCCAACCTGCCACGATTGTCACCACCCAATCTCGTACCCTCGCCAGCACCACCATTTCGTCTTTGGCGACTTGACGAAACCGAGTCTCCTGACCTTATCAAATCTTCGCATTATCCTTTCCGGAGGCTCTTAGTCAAGGGTGGTCGCTTACTTCCTCAGCTATCTGAGACAAATGCATCTCCGACAAATCCTCCCCTCACTATCCAAGGAAGCCTGCTCTCTAGCGGTGATTGCCTCCTAATGGAATTACCTGACAGTGCTGGCAAATATCCTATCGAAAATCCCCAGACTGTCCCTGGCAACACCTCTGTCGTCCCTTCCCCAGTGCCATCTAATGCAATATTGCCCCCGCCACCCCCTCCCTTGTTTGGATCTGGTGCATCGAATGCCGGCCAGAAGGATTTCTTTTCACGATACGAGACAGATGCAGCCAAAGGCTCAAATCCTCCTCTGTTTTCTGTACGAGGATTGTCAAAGCCGTCGGGCTCAGAGGGCATGAGAACAGCCGTAACTGAATTGAAAGGCAAAGAGAAAGAGGAGAAGAAAGGCAACCGGGGGACAATGGGGCTCGCCAATCTTGGGAACACATGCTTCATGAACTCCGCCGTACAGTGCTTGGCTCACACGGAGGAGCTCGCCGAGTACTTCCTCAGTACGTTCCCTTGTTCAACCTTTTCGTTTGGTGCATTGTCTGATAGTTGTCCAGCTGGTGTGTTCAGGACGGAGATCAACCGGACAAATCCGCTAGGAATGGGTGGACAGATCGCTGAAGCGTTTGGAGCATTGATGAACAGACTCTGGGGACCAGTAACAGCATCAAATGGTTCCTATTCATCCGGGTCCTCTTACTCTCCTAGGGAGTTCAAGTCTATCCTGGCCAAGTTTGCTCCACAGTTTTCGGGATATATGCAGCACGATTCACAGGAGCTATTGGCATTCCTTCTCGATGGGTTGCACGAGGACCTGAATCGGGTATTAACAAAACCTTACGTCGAGAAGCCTGATTGGCCGGGCAAGGGAGGACCCAAGGAGTTAATCGCCTTCGCGAAGGAATGTTGGGACGGCTATCTCAAGCGTAACGACAGTGTCATTGTGGACCTATTCCAGGGCCAATACAAGAGCACCCTTGTCTGCCCTGAGTGCGCTAAGGTTCGTTGTCTGCCCTCGTGAATCGACAGACCTAACACATTGGAAAGGTCTCCATTACATTTGATCCTTACATGTATCTAACGCTGCCCTTGCCTATCAATCGGAAGTGGCGAGGAAAGGTTCATTTCATCCCCTGGGCATTGGATAAACCACGACAGCGGTTAACCCTTGAGCTTCCTAAGGAAGCTGACTTCAAACGCCTCAAGCAGCATGTCGGTGCTCTTACAGGGGCAGATCCTACTTGTCTTATTGCCGCAGAGCCGTACCAGCACGTGTTCTGGAAGTTTTGGGAAGATGTTGCACCTGTTGGCGATATCAACACGGGTAGCGACGATGTTGCCTTTTACGAGCTTCCCTGCGCTCTATCTCAGCTGCGTGCAACAAGCACTGATCGTTCGTCACCAGTGCGCCTTGTGGACTCAGGTTGGATCCTTGTTTCAATTTTCCTATCTGCCAGCAGACCGCGACACAATCCGGAGTCAAGATTCGGGTCCAGACGATATCTTGCACACGATAAATTCCCCCTCATCGGCCAGCCATTTGTGCTTGCCTTGACCAGGCAGGAAGCCAGCAGTGAGGATGTGATCTACGACAGAATAGTTCAAAGAGTCAGCCAAATAACGACCCGGAAAGTGGAGCTGTATGATGATCAGGCCCTTCCCGTGACACCTGCATTGACGAACAAGGACCAAATGGCGAACCAGGCCGAAACACCAGATGTGGACGATCTGTTTGGTGCTCACGAGAATGCAGACGCCTCAACGTCCACATCTGCTGCACAAACCGCCAATCGCCAGAGTGTCAAGGTGACCAATGGCCAACATGCGGACCACCAACGATCCTGGACTGCACGAAAGGATATGTTCAAGATGCATATTTTACAGCATCTGCGCGACCTAGGAGAAGGACACCTTGTGACCGGGTGGAGTATAGAGGCTACCAATCGCATTGTTGAATTCGAAGATCGCAAACAAGACGTTAGTGGAGCAGTTCGGGTGCTCCCAGGTGGTTTCAAAGAAGAGATTGAAGAGGAGGAGGACTTGGCAGTTCAAGGCAGTGCTGACGACCCGTATAAACCTCTTCTTAAACAAGGCGAAGCGATCATGTGCGAGTGGAACGACGATGCAGCTCAGTACTTCTTCGAGGATCCATATACTACGTGGGACGAATTTGAAGATATCGTGGATCCTACTATCGCGACATCGGATGAAGCAGAAAAGACCGCGGGCAAAAAGGGTATCAGTCTTTATGACTGCCTGTCTGAGTTTACCCGTGAGGAGCAACTGGGTGAGGACGACCTCTGGTATTGCCCGCAATGCAAGAAACATCAGCAAGCAACGAAGAAATTTGAGATATGGAGCGTACCAGACATTCTCGTCGTTCACCTGAAGCGTTTCAGCAGCGGTCGACTATTGCGTGACAAGCTAGACATGATGGTTGACTTCCCCCTGGAGGGTTTGGACTTGGAGGGTCGAGTTGAGGAGAAACTAGAGTGGAAGCGTATGCGAGAAGCAGAAGGCAAGGCTAATGAGAAGAACGGGGATCCAGAGGAGGAGCCTATAACCTACGATCTCTTCGCGGTTGACGAGCACCTGGGAGGTCTTGGGGGCGGCCACTATCGGGCTTACGCAAAGAACTACGCAGATGGACTGTGGTATCATTTCGACGACTCCCACGTTACCCAGGCAGATCCTGCCGCAGCAGTTGTGAGTGCGTTCAACAACCTGGTTTAGGCATACTCATGGGGCAGCAGAACCGTAACGCCTACCTCCTATTCTACCGTCGACACACATCACGGCATCTAGGCGGCAAGACATGGGGGAAAGTTATGGCCGTACGCACTGCAGGCCCTGTTGCAGGTGCAGAAGCACCTGAACAACAAGTCAAATCCATGAATCCTTTCCGTGGTACAGACGTCAAGCGGCCAGAGTTCGGGCCGGCCCTCCCGTTTCCCCGTCTAGTGCCCGCCAAATCTGGAATGATCTCACCCGCTTCGTCTGACTCCAGTGATTCTGGAGAGGGTCCAGGCTACAGCCCTCCCAGTCCACCTCCATTCGACCTGTCAGGCAATGATCAGTTGTTATTGAACGGTAACCTTGACCTGGAAGATAACGATGATTACAATGGGCAGCTTATTGTTCGCGGCGCTGCTCCGAGCCCGTTTGGCGGATCCACCAGTGCCGAAATGGGCGACTCAGGGATTATCACCCCGGCCGATTCTGAGATGGATAATGCCGAAGCCAGTGCGTCTTCCGATCCCTGGGCCGACGAGGAGCCTAGTCAAGCAGGTAGATATGCACCTGCATACGATGATGACGACTTGATCAAAGGATACCTGCCGACACCCCCAGATGTTGACATGAAGAGTGTGGAGGGTGAGAAGGCTCAGCCTAGGAGCAGTGAATGATGCAACGTTGGGGCAGGTTCAGCTCGACTTTTGTGCACGCATACATATTTCCTACTTCATTCTCATTTTTGTCCAACTGTTCTGTACCGTTTCTTGATGACAATCAACCAACCATCATGACCGGAACAATGATGATATTTTGAGATCACGTGATGCCGTGTCCCGATGAGGACAACAGTGGAAGTGCGGAGAACCGCAAGTCAGGGGATAGAGTGACCATCACACTTTCCATTCTCTCTGCACGACGAATAGCTCGATAGCCCTCTTACTGTCCATCTACCATCTACAACATTCATTTTCATCATTGTCACCGCGGCTAGCATTGCGCATTCTATTATAGCCGCTGCTACTTCCAGCTCGAGTGCATCGCCTGCCACCACGGCACCAGCTCGCAAGACGGGTCGTAAACTCGGCGGAAAGAATCCCCCCGGCCACCGCGCTGGAGGGGTGCGTAGCGGCGCAGGAAGACCAAATAAATCCCAGATACTTTCCCGCAGAACGGAAGTAGTTCGTGTTACTGCAAATGCACCTATGGCGGCGCCTGTTGCACCAAGTCCAGCGCCTGCGCAGGGTGGGATGCATCCTGCTGCTCACCAAGTACGCTGCTGACTCTGCGATCCCTAGAGCGCATGATCCCTATATCGTCCCTGCATCCAGCATATGTTCCCTATATGAATCACCCTCATGATCAAGGACTCATCGTGCTGCCTCTTCAAGTCGTCATGGGCCTGGCACAGACCTTTGCACCTCAAGCGATGATGCCAGTACCCTATTCCTTTGGTCTTCCACCTGTGTTACCCGGTGTCTATCCCCAATCTGCTTCACAATCCGCAACAATGGCTGCTGTTCCCCAAGGCGTTTCTCAATCTGCGCCTGCACCTCCCACTGCACCCGCCCCATCGACGACCGCATCGAGCACGCCACCATCTCCCCTCACTCCAGGCCGCAACACGGATGGTCGGCTTTCTTCAAAACGGCAAAGAACCGAGACTACTGTGCATGCAACTCCCGTGGGACGCAAAGCACGGACTTGCCAAATCTGTGTCAAGGCTGGTCATCCCGAGAGCGCCCACACCTGTCCTGGACGAGGGTTACGGGCTTTGTGCCCGTACAACCCGAGCAAGCAGAATAAGACTGTTGCGAATGTTGAGCAGGGAGATGAACAGGATGCTGAAGGAGAAGATGTGGATGAGCCGGACAGCGCTGATCCGGACTTGCAGGATGAGGCTGCTGTAAACGCCCTCACGTACCCTCCTCCGACGCCACAACCCCCAAGTGCCGCGGATCCCTCAACAAGCGCGACTTCTTCTACTCTTACATTTCCATCCCAATCTACTCCGATGGTCATTCCCAATGGCCAGAATCCCCTTCTCCAAACTGCGTATCCTTTCGCATTCCAAACTGCTTTCCAGGCCATGAGAGTAGCCAACATGCCCGGTCAACCCCCCTCAGGTGCTGTTCCCATGATGCCAGGTTCAGCCCCAATCCCTGGCTCCCTCGTCTACCTCACCCCCACACCACCCCAACGAGCGTCCAAACGCAACGCAAGGCATTGCGTAGTTTGCATTGATACGGGACACGCGGATGAAGGAACGACGTGTCCAGGTCGCGGGAAGAGGAACCGATGCAAGTACTACGTTCCAGAGCAGCATGGCAGAGATCAAGATACGTCGATGAATACAACGGGATTCCCTAATGCGGTCCTGTAGCCACTGGTTCAGAAACTGTGCTGTCCCACATTTTCATCCAGAACGCCAGAATATTAATCCTCACTCAACGGTATAATTTTGTTGGATTTTGATGTGAGATTATTGTGATATATGAAATTCTTCCGAAGTATGTTACATCTATTCATTTGTTGTATGTAATATTCTGTCTTTGGGCGGATGACTCTGTTCCTGTATACTTCACAGATATTAGCGAAAGATACAAAAGTCACCAGTCAATATAAAGTATAATATTCCTTCACTCAGTCTTCATCAGGTTCTAAGGGTATTCCACGAGCCCCCACGGGTTCTGCTTCAACAACAGTTATATGATACCGGTTATACTGTGGGACTATGCTGTCCGCGTCAATGGGGAGATTGAGCACCCCTCTAAGCACGATCTGAGCTCCAATCTTGTTTTGAACGATGTTGTGCTCAGTGCAGCTGATGCTGCGAATGCACGCGGGACACCCGTCTTCGCAGCCACAATGTTCGAGTATCTCAAGAGCCTTTGCTAGGACGTGATGGGCTGAAATGCGGGGTGAGAGTGGTCAGAATGCGGATGAAGGAAAGTTGCTTACTCCGATCGTACACTTTTGCACATATTCCACTCGCGGCAGTACCGTCATAGAAGATCAACCGAGCCGGTCGTTTTCTTTGGGATTCCTTTTGCATGTATTCCTTCTGAGGCGCCTTACACTCAGTTCCAACATCTCCTAGTGCAGTAAGCACAAAAACGGGAAGAATGCTGAGGACTGCATGACAAGCAGCATGAATAGCCTCGGCTGGATTGATATCTTTGTCAATGAGGAGATTCAAGGTAGGTCGCGGAACATCAATCCAAAAGCCGGTTGATGACCGAATAAAGGGGGGTGAATCAAGGTCGACAGTGTCAAGAATGGTTGTTTCCCTGTGTAGAGGTCACATCTGGATTCTACAAAATGTTAAATCATACTAACCTCATTTTGAAGAAGCCGAATACGACAGTTTTACGCACGATTCGGCCAAAGTACGAACGCTGCTGGGAATCTTTGATCTCTCTAATGCGATAGGTTTGAGAGGGATCAACATCCGTGAAATCCCTAAGTCGCGTAAGAATGTGAAGCACCACTAGTCAAAGTTTCCCACCTTGGCTTTGTATAGTAATTCACATCTGCACGTGCAATCTTAGCGATCCTGGTATCATGATCCACTTCTCGAACCAAGAAGGTTAGACCCTGATGCATGAACTGTTTCAACAATTAATGTCAGGCCCTGCTCCGAGTGATAGAGTCTCACAATGCCTCCTTCGTAGGTCTATCCAAGGTCTGAGCACATACCCACGAAAGATACAAATAACTCACTTCGAAGATTGCACGAGAGAGCTCTATCTCTTCCAGTACGCGAGCCGCCCCATGTTGCTCGTCCTGCGTTGTGATGTCGATGACGGTGTACTTATCTTCTTGGATACCACGAAGGGAGACCATCATAGTTGGTCGCGGCTTGTACGACGGATGGGTGGTGTACCTGCACGTTATCAGATACGGATTGGATCGTTGGATCGTTGGAGCAATTACGAACCATCCCTCTTTGTCGCAAATCAGGCGACTTTTGCAGACTTCTTCAAAACAAGGGCCGAAATACTTCCCATCGTCTTGCAAACGAATGGGCAATTCATCTGCAGCACATTGAAGATGACTTTCAAGTACTCCTTCGTTCGTAATATCGACGATGAGTGGTTCGGTAGGCTGATTGCTAAGGTTACTTTGTGACAGCCTCTTCACGCGTGTTTCTCACCTTTTCGAAGACTTCGTCTGGGTTCAGCATGTAATGCTGATCAATTGGTAGTGAATCGCCCACGAGGATGGCCAGAGAATCGCGGGCTCTGCGGCCAGCACGGCCAGCCTGCTGCCTCTAACAAGTAGTCAGCAAATAGGCATCTGTAGTGGATGCATTTCATGTACCAAGCTTGCAATGCCAAATGGAAAGCCGAGCATGATGACGGCGTCCAAAGTTCCGATATCGACCCCAAGCTCTAGTGCATTGGTCGCGATAATGCCCTTTGAAGCTGATGAGACAATGTGCCATGTTGATATAAATTGACTGTGTACCAATAGATGCCCGGAGAAAGCGTCTTTCTCAATGCGACGGCGATCCTGGAAAACAGCTGAGGGTCATGGTACGAACAGGAGCGGCGTATATCTTACTGCAACGGAATATCCGCCTCGGTATGCGGACACACGGTCCAGGATGTCCTGCCTTCCCTCCGCTGTTAACTGATGTCGAATAGATTTCATGACCAACTCGCATGTTCTCCGAATCTTGCAAAAAAGGATTGTGCGCACCCCATGCTTCATGAGATATCGGAAAAGGTAGCATGCTTCTTGCATGGAGCTAGATCGGCCAAGGGCTGGGTCCATCTCATCCAAAAAGGGCGGATTCCAGAGAAGGAAGTCCTTATGTCCTGTGGGGGCTCCATCATCAGTGATGACTTCGACATCCTGTGTGATTTGATAAGCACGTTCAAAAGAGTGGCACAAGAAAGACGAACATCCACACCGAATATGTTCATCATATGTCCTCTCGGATCATTAATAGTGGCGCTACAAGAGACGAAGACGCAGCGTCGATCTGTGGAATGCAATCAAAAACCAGATCAATCAGCATGAGAGAGCGCACTTACTTCCAACAGCAGCGCACAACCTCCTCAATCTTCTAGCTACGAAAGACACCTGAGTTCCCATCAAACCCGAATAATAATGCAGCTCGTCGACTACAACCATCTTCAGGTTTCTGAGGAAGTGGCGCCAGGTATCTTCGTTGGGCAGGATAGATGCATGTAGGGTATCGAAGTTGGTAAAGATTATTGAGGCGTTCTCTCTGATATCTGCACGCCTGTGAACTCAAAATCCGGACCTGATAATTGAAAGGTCTACTTTGCCGTCGATCCTTTGGGGTATCGCCATCGTACGCCGCGATCATAATGCCCTCCAAACCGTGAACTCTAACTAGCAGCTGCTGAAGCCCCGTCAACTGGTCTTGCGCCAGGGCCTTTGTCGGGTAAATAAAGATGGCCGTTGAGCTCTTATCCTCCTCCAAGTTGCACAGGGCCGGAACTTGATAGATTACACTCTTCCCGCTTGCCGTACTGGTCGAGACCACGACGTTCTTCCCGTCCCAGATGGCGTTAAGAGCGGCTGCTTGATGGCTATAGAACCCCTCGACTTTGCGCGCGCTCAGAAGGGCCTCCTTGATAGCCGGTGAGAGGGTGCGGTTCAGTCGTCCCCAGACTGCATCTTTCGCTTGAAACTCGCGTCGCTTCACGATCTGTCCTTTGTAGTGCTCATCCTCTGTCAGCCGCTTGATAATGGTGTCAATCGGTAGACGAAGCTGTGGGTCCGGGACAACCTTGGGGGGTTGGTTAGATCCAGAGTTCGCGCTTTCTTCCTCTTGAACGTCATTGGGCCGTGTCCGTTTGAGGGGATGAACAGGGACGTGGGCACGCGCTGCGTCTTGCACTAGTCGGACCGGGTCGTCCCCATTTGCAGCACAAGCGGCGAGCAATCTGTAACAGAACGGCACATAAGAAAAATGCAGGAAGGTGCTGAAGCTGAGAGAATACGCACTCATTCACAGCCCGTGTGAAGCTTTGCGAACGTTTCTCGATCAGCTTCATCAGCTGTTGCTGTGTAAGCGCCGGAGGTGCAGAGAACTTTCCTGCAGCCTCCTTTCTGTTTGTTTTGTTAGCGACACTGAATCGACTTGTCGTGATCGGAACGCACATCTTTTGGGTGTTCTTATTCGTCTCCACAAAGTCCAACACGAGGACATGTTCGCACCTGCTGGGGTCTTCGGCGGGCGCGAGTTGGAAGTCAGGTGAGCCCTTTCGCCCAGACTTTCGGGAGTAGGACGAAGATGCAACCTCACGATCGTGGTGAACCCGAATGGACTCAGCTTCGACATATGCGAAGCGAACAAGGTCTGGTATGATGGCTCTGGAGGAGAGGTTAGGGTAAATAAGAAACTGAGAGTTGGAAAGTGCTTGCTTGATTTCGGCTACCCTGGCCAAATCGAGTGGTCTGAAAGAGTAGTTGAACAAGTCTGTTTAATAGTCTCTGGGAAGCTTACTGCTTAATGAGACCTTCTACGGACGATCGAATGGTGTCGAACGTGACAGCTAGATGCTTCCTCGCATGACAGAAGGCGATGACCGTGTTAAGCGACTATTGGCAGCATTAGCACGCCTCTCAACGAAAGGCACAAGCAAGGCACACCTTGAACAGTTTCTCAAGCCCCTTGAAGTACTCCGGCCATGGCCCGGCATCTACCTGGGGTGCCTTACGCCGAGGCGCCGCCTTTGCCTTCTTTGCTGCAGGCCCAGATTGCTCGATGGATGCTATGAAGTCAGCGGCAGCTTTCCGTTTGCTACTGCGCTCCGGCATGTTATACAGGAGCTGGACCAGGAGAGTTAGATTTCAAGATCACATAGCTTGCCCTCTGTGGGCGTGTGGTAACCTACTGGCCAGTCCATAGACGATCCTTACTGTTCTCAGGGTTTGGGGACAGCCACTGAAATGACATGTGAATATTCGGGCCGACGATCCCCTTGCGTGGGGAAAGTCCACATAGTGAGCGCTTGGCTGGGGCAGCGCTTGTTGACAACTGGTACACGACACAGGCTGCATATAGCTGGATGCCCTCTTACTAGTTCTGATGACTATCGTATATCCCCTGAGCTGCCCTTATCACCTCTGAACCCTCTCAGACCTCGACCAGCCGTCCAAAATTGCCCACTCTCTCCTTGCTATAGGCCATAGGATGACGTTACCAGCACATCTCACCCACCTGGCCATATACAACCCTACTTTATTACCGACAGAGGCCCAGCTACAGGCTGCAGAAGACAGCGATGACGCATATGAGCTGGCACATATCGTTTTCTATTCGTCGCATGAGGGGACAGTATCGCGGGACCGGATGCTCCGGCAGGTGGGGCTGGCGAAGGCATTGGTCAACTTTGCGGGGTGCGTCTTGTATTCTGTGGGAGACACAACCAAGATGCGGTTGCTTATTCTGATGCAGGATGTTTGAGACCTCACCTTTGGACACCAATGTGCATTCTCAGAAGAAGCGGCTCATCACATTCTCTCCCGAGCAGGACTGGTGGCTCCATGCCGCCTTTGACCTGGAACGAATGCAGAAACCTTCGACGGACAAAGGGAAAGCAAAAGAGAAGGAGAAGAAAGAGAAAGAGAAGTCCCTCGACAAGGAAAAGAGCAGGGGTACCCCAGTGGAGGACAAGGGAGACTGGGAGTATAAGGATGAGTTGGATGACGACGTGCTCAAGGCGACCTTGGTGGGGGGATATGATGAGTTCAAGGTATGCCGCGTCCGTCGAGTTATTCTCTACTACCTAAGATGGCGCTTCAGCTCCGTCACGGCACATTTTCGGATGTCCTACACGCAAAGGATCGGCCAGACCTAGAACGAGAACTAGAACGATTCTTCACCGTTTGGGCATCAAAATGGGACTTGGCAGCGCCAGCGTCACCAACGGACAATCCCCCAGCATTGCCCCCTCAGCCTCAACGTGCCATCATCCCTCCCTTGTATGACGTTTTCACCCGCATAGCAAAAACAACACGAGATTTCACCCGAATGTCAATGTCAGCAAAATCCGAATAGCTGTACTATTAATGTGAGAAATCGGTCTCATCTGCTTAGGAGGCTTATTGAAAAGCGCCACAGCGTGTACCAACTCGTGTGCTCCTTGTTTTGTGTCTCCAACAATTCGCACGCGTCGAAGGAATGCATTAATACGCCAGTGCCAGGGCGAAATTAGCTCCATCGCCGCGCCCACCGGATTCGCAGAAGCGATATTGCGCGGGATCAAATATAAACTGTCGTCTCGCGTGGATTGATATGGGAGTTGTCAAGGAAGCGGCCCCCTGGCCGCCCTCTACCCTTGGATTCACATGGGCTATTCAACTGCGATGACGACTGCCGGATATCAGCAAGGTCGATGAATGGACGGAACTATCGAGCTCATAATATTAGGTACTGGAAGGCGAGTCAAACGATGGGACTTAGTGCTGGCCCTTTTGTTATGGAGGGGGGTGTTTGTGGCGCCTAAAGTGCGTCATCGTGGAATGCGGAGGTATGCGGTGAATTGAATGATTGATATGGGCACAGCCGCTGATGGTTGTGTAGGCCAACCCTATACGCTTCTTCCCATAAGGGCCTGCTTGGCGACCCTTGTGTCTTCTGTGCCCTCTTCCCGCTGGTCTCCCCCCTTTGGCTGTCCCCCTTTCCACCCGTCCCATTTGACTTGCCTTCCCTCCGTCTTCCTCTCCCCCTCTCCTCTTGCACTCTGACCACAGATCGAGGCCAGTCCTCTACCCTCTCCGACCCACATTCCTTAACAACACACGCTCACTAGCAACCGACTCTCCTTCACAATCTCTGCGGCGCTTACTCTTTTGTGACTCGTTTCCCAGAAAGAAAAACGAAAAAATCATCCTAGACCAAAAAACAACAATGCAGCTCACCTACCTCCTCCTTGCGCTGCCCCTTGGCGCCTTCGCCAGCTCCTTCCAGACCGTTCCTCACCGTCGGCATCATGCTCGCGCCGCTAAGCGCCAGGCCATCAAGGTCGCCGACACCCTTCAGCCAGAACTGTCCATCCCCTCAACGGGTGGGCAGAAAGCCGTCTTTGCTCACCACATGATTGGCAACACGTACGGGTACACGCAGGACACTTGGACCTCCGACGTCCAGCTCGCGTCATCCAAAGGCCTTGACGCTTTTGCGCTCAACTTTGGCTCTGACAGCTGGCAGCCTCAGCGGATTCAGGACGCTTACTCGGCTGCGTCCGGCACCGGCTTCAAGATGTTCGTCTCAATGGACATGACCGTCATGCCCTGTGCATCTCAGAGCGATGCCGACAACCTCTTCAACACCTTCGTTGCGCCGTATTTGAGCCACCCCAGCCAGATGATGTACCAGGGCAGGCCGCTCGTGTCTACGTTCTCCGGCGAGAGCTGCACGTTCGGTTTCGGCTCGGTCAATGACGGCTGGAACTACTTCACTTCCAAGGCTAGCATGTTCTTCATGCCCGCGTTCAACAACGACCCCGCGACCGCTGCCTCGTGGTCCGCCGTCGATGGCCTTTTCCCTTGGAACTCGGGCTGGAACTACCAACCCACGAACGAGGCTGTCATTGACACGACCGTCATTAACGCGCTCGGCGGCAAGCCCTACATGGCCGCCGTCTCCCCGCACTTCTTCACCCACTACGGTGCCAACTCGTTCAATAAGAACTTCCTTTTCCCATCGGACAACTTCTGGTTCGCCAACCGCTGGGCACTTGTCGTTTCTCAACGCAATCTCTTCGATCTCGTTGAGATGACCACCTGGAACGATTATGGCGAGAGTTCGTACCTTGGCCCTCTTAACGGCGACGAACCCACCGGCACCACATGGACGTCTGGCTTCGACCACACACCCCTCCTTGATATCGCCGCGTACTACATCAGCGCGTTCAAGACCGGCAACGCACCAACCATCACTGAGGATGCCATCTATCTGTGGTCGCGCCCGCATCTCAAGGGGGCCTCAGCGCCCGATCCGATTGGTGTGCCTACGTACGCGGACACCACTGATGATGTTATCTATGCACTCGTCCTCGCCACTTCCACTGCGTCCGTCCAGGTCTGCGCCGGTTCCTCCTGCCAGACATTCACCGCCAACCCGGGTGTGAACCAATTCACTGTCAACATGGTTCCCGGCTCCGGCATGTCCGCCTCGATGACACGCAATGGCCAGACCGTCGTCAACGTTGACGGTGGTTCGTTCACTGTTGAGGGCAGCCCCTCTCTGTACAACTTTAACATCGCTGTTTTCGGTGCCACAAGTAACGGTGGCTCGCCTTCCTCCCCCGGTTCGTCGCCGGGCTCTTCCACCGCTGGCTCTTCCAGCTCCAGTTCTTCATCAAGCTCTAGTGCGAGCCCCACTTCCGCCTCCGCTGCGAAGTGCAAGAAGAAATAAATCTCACGAAATGTGACGATACCGACCGTGCCAGCCGCGCCGGCGCCAATGCATGGCTATACCCCTGGCGTGCGCAAGCCGCGCGCCAGCCGATCTCCCGCTCTTTCTCTGCTCTACTTACCAGCAATTGGCATTCACACTACATTTGATTTACACGACTCGAAACTTTGAAAGGGATTTTGGGACAAGGCTACTGCCTTGCTTTCTATCCAGAGGATATCACGATCCGCACGGCGTATTACGCATTTAAGAGCTCCAGGAGGGCCGGACGGCATGCGCATTCGCTTGCCCTCTCCGATATTTTTTGTTGTACAGCTCTCTTGGGATAAGGCTGGAACTTGGCAAACAGCATCTACACGATGTGTGGTACGCATGGACCACAGGTTTTTGTTGGCGATAATCTTGAAGATTAGTTGGTTTGAGAAATGGATTGTTGTTCTATACAAGCAACTGTCTCTCGAAAAGTCCCGTTACTTTGTTACATCTGAACCTAGACCAACTTCCCTAACCAAACATAGCGCAAACCTACGCTGTAATTTCTCTTTGAGTCCTCATATACCAGGTCTAAGCCCCATTTTGTCCCTCCCCTGAACCTGAATCCAAGTAAGCCATTCACGGAATCGGAACACACTCAAAGTTCCCAACTGTAAATCACGTGAAAAGGAACCCGGAAGAACCACGCGTGAATGGTAATTTGGCGGCGCGTCAAGGGACGCGTAGAGACTGCGCTGCTTTCTCCCTCTCCCTCAAAATGGACTCTGACTCCGATGTGCCCATGGATCAGGAACCATCTTCTAACTCACCTCCGGCCCCAACATTCAGCAGCGGCAAGGGCAAGGGCAAGGCTCCAGCCGATGGGCTCGACGGAAGGCCTGGAGACGCGGACAACCTTCCTTGGGTGGAGAAGTACAGACCGGCGACACTGGATGACGTTGTTTCGCATAAGGACATCACTAGCACCAGTACGTAGTTTTTGTATTTGTATTGGCCTATTTGTACTGGCCGTACAATGAGAGCGAGTCCTGATCCACTGTGTTGATAGTCGAGAAGTTCATCGAGCAGAATCGGTTACCACACTTGCTGTTCTACGGCCCTCCGGGCACGGGGAAGACGAGCACTATCCTGGCTGTTGCGCGGAAGATTTATGGGAATGAGTATCGTAAGCAGATTTTGGAGGTGAGCCTTTCGTCCAAATTCGTCATCCCTTAGCTCATGTGTCTGCGTGGGATGTAGCTGAATGCGTCAGACGATCGCGGCATCGACGTGGTCAGGGAGCAGATCAAAAACTTTGCCGAGATGAGGACATTGTATAGCAAGGGGTTCAAGCTCATTGTCCTTGACGAAGCCGATATGATGACTCAGGCTGCACAGTCGGCGTTGCGACGAGGTGCGCCGCTTCTTTTCTTGTCTTCTCGAGCAGATGTTCATGCGGGGCGGCAGTCATTGAGCAATACACCCGCAACGTCAGGTTCTGCATAATTTGCAACTACGTCAATAAAATCATTCCTGCAATTCAGTCACGATGCACAAGGTTCAGATTCAGCCCACTGCCACAAACAGAGATCGAGAAGAGAATCAAGCAGGTTGTCGAGGCCGAGCAGTAAGCCTTTTTGCCGTTCAGATGAAATACGATGCTGATAAAATCTGTAGTGTCAACCTGACAGAGGATGGGAAGCAAGCACTGCTGAAGCTTTCCAAGGGTGATATGCGACGAGCACTTAACATCCTTCAAGTATGTAATCCGAACTGTCATATAAGCCACAACACTGATTCGTCTCAAGGCTTGTCACGCAGCCTATGACAGGACAGACGAGACTGCGATATACAACTGCACGGGCAATCCCCATCCCTCTGATATTGAGGCTATTGTGACCTCGATGATGAATGACGAGTTCAGCACTTCCTATCAAAGTTCGCGGTTCCTTGGCATTTATTTCATCGCTGACTTTTACGAGCAGAAGTATCACGAATGAAGACAGACAAGGGCCTCGCTTTGCAGGACTTGATTGCAGGGACATATGAGTATCTTGAATCTCTGGAGCTACCACCACAGACGAGAGTTTACCTGCTCGACCACCTAGCTACTACAGAGTAGGTGATGTTTAACAATCGCGATCTGTTACTAACTTAGCATGACAGGCACCGATTGTCAACAGGAGGTAGCGAAAAGGTTCAGCTAACTGCACTGCTCGGGGCCATCAAAAACGGTGTAGAACTTGCTGCACGATAGTGATGTATCAGTACTGAGATGAATCAACTTTCTCGTTGATTTGGCCCGATATATCACATACAATCGAGATTTGGGACGAACAACATTCCTCTAGGCCAATCATTTCTGTAACGTGCGAGTTCGGCCCTGAAACGCTGCTCTATTTGTAGACTACAACCATGATGTGGATCCAGTTCAAGGTAAGAGCACGCATCAGCACGGAGATTAGTTGCTTCCCACAAAAGGTAGTATAGCGAGCGGCACCAGCTACTATGACATTGCAGATCTATGGATCTATGCGACTGATATACATTGCTCAAAATGATAAACAACCATTGTAGCCGGAGAAAATCAGAGAGCGGCGGATACCCATATGTACAGAATAGACATTGTCCACAATACTCTAATGGATCGGCTCCCACACTCGTCTAGATGACCCCAGCCTGCCTATTTAACAGGTAAATATCCAGATCTTGCCAGCCTGGATAACCAGTGTCAGAATGCAAGACGATCAGGGTTTGCAGAGATGACTCACCACCTCCGATCCGCACCATCACCTTCCGCATCTCTTTCCTTGGTCCACCAGGCCCAGTGCTGCGGGTCATGATAACCAAGCGACACACGATGACCTTCTTCCCTAGGCTGTTCGAGACAGCGTAGCGAGCCTTGTGTTCCCCGCTACTGGAGGGCGCGATTCCGATGGGGTCGACGCGCTCGATGAGAAGGCCGTGGGCAAGCCCGTTGACCGTCTTGGCCACTTCGGAATCGAGGGGATCGTTCAACCCGACAGGCACGTACTGTGGAACCAGGTTCTCGTCCAGGGAAGGCGAGAAGAGGCTGCTGCGGTCACCGATCGCACTGATACTGTTACGCGATGATGGTCTGCTAGGTGTATTGCGTCCACCTGGCGAGCCAGTCGACTCGCGGAAGCTCGACGGCGGTGCTTTGAGCAATGGACGGGTAGCGCCTGCGCTCCCCATCGACATACGTTTCGGGGTCTGTTTCGGAGTCTGGTAGAAAGGCATCTGTGATGCGCGCGCTTTGAGTGTCGACTCTGGTGTTTGGGGCCGAATGATCGAGGACGCTGCAGAGCCAGGGCTTAGGGAAGGGCGGCCTGTTGATTCGGGCGGGGAAGGCGGTTCGGCAGAGACTTGGAAGGTCGGAATGGGGATCTTGGAGTGACTATCTCGCCGCTGCCTTGATTTTCTTAGCTCGCCAGCGGACGACGAGACAGTCGAGAAGGCCGGGGAGAGCGCACGTTGCATGAGCGATGTAGGCGGTTCGTCGGGGTCGTCCATCCCGCCAAAGAAGTGGAGGACGGAGACGGGCGTGGCAGCGCGTGAGTTGCCACCTGCGGGGACAGGAATCTGGGAAGGCGAGGAAGGACGAGGGCGTGGGGTTTGCAGCCCTGGGGTGACGGAACGGTTTGTCACTCCTGCAGGAAGGGGCGGTACCGGAGGAGGGCTGTTGGCACGGGAGGAGGAGGCAGAACGTTTCTTCGAGTGGCCGGTTGGCGTCGACGCTCGTCTTCTGGTCGGTGTCGTTGGGGGGCCCAGCGTGGTTGGCGGGCCTAGAGTCGTCGGCAGTGGAGGCACGGGCGGGGCAAAGCTCGTGCTCGCAGGTCCGGAGACGGTCCTCATCCCTGAAGGCCTTGCAGGGGTCGTACTACTTGCCAAGCTGGACCGGCTCGGCGGGCGGATCGACCCCGCGCTCATGCTTGACAGCCGCCTGCTTGGGGTGGGCGTCGGCGTGGGGGACGACACAGGGGGTATAATAGGGATAGGGTTGGAGATGACTGGTCTTTCCCTATTTGGGGTATTCTTGGACGAATAGCTGCTTTGGCCTTGATAGTCTACCCTGGTTGAAGAGTTCCACTTTGGTCCTTGGGGTTGTTCAGTCCCAGGAAGGGGCGTGCTCCTCCCAAGGGGGGCAAGGAATCTCGGTCGTGTGCGCTGAGGCTCTGGTGTGCCGGCAACCGAGGAGCGGAGGGAGAAGTAACTCGCGCGTTTCTTGAGTATCGTCGGTGAGGCATCCGACGAGGCGGGGGACTTTGCAGACCCAGGCGGTGTGCCCCCACTCCCAACGCCCAGTTTGGCAGCAAATCGGCGGAGAGGGGAGATACTCCTGGAAAATGTCCCTTGTCGTGGCTTGCTCGCTGCCGAAGCTGCAGAGGCGTTCGAGAACATGCTGGTCGAGAGCTTGCTCTTCGCCGTCACACGCGAAGCAAGACTGCCGTCTTCGTCGCTATCCTCCCCTGCTTGGCTCTGGTTCGCCGCAGCTGCGGAGGTAGAGGAAGCGAGGACAGTCTCTCGGTGAGTGAGGAGAAGCCGTACGCCCTCCATCTCCGAGTCTATCCGACCCATCCGCTCTCTCAAGTTCCGCCAGCGAAGTCGGAGCTCCGCGTGCCTCCGGAGGCACTCGCCGTTCTTCGTCGCCCGGTCTCGCATGCCCTTGTCGATCACGGAGATCACCTTTGTCGTCGCGGGGACGTAGTACTTCTTCTTAGACTCGTAGGAGGCCAGGATGGTGCGGAACGTCTCCAAGTTGATGCTTGTTCGTGTCGGAGAAAGAAGTGAGGAGGAAAGCGAAGAGGGAGAATGAGAGTCGTCCATCCTCCCAGCTTGCCATATAAAGTCCTACGAACCTCAGTGCCTTCCTATATTCTAAAAATGAGAGCTCACGTGACACGTACTGACCGCCTTTTCCAAACTGCCCATCATGTCGTCCGCCTGGGCGCTGACAGTCCGGAACACCGCCAACCACTTATCCTCCCTCAGCTCCTCCTTCAGCTCCTCGCTCGCGGAGCTCACGTCCTCCCACTGCGCTCTCATGTCCTCCAGCTTACGGAGTACGAGCTCTTTTTCCCCCTGACCGAGCCCCGGCAGAGGGGGGAGGAACACCTGCACCTGCGTGGGGGTCCGGTCCGGCGCAGAGAGGAGCGTTTCGAGAGACTCGTCAATCGCATGCACAGCAGCGGACACACTCTCAAGTTTCTCATCCAAGATCATCAACGCGCTGTCGATGGACGCGCTCGTTCCTGCCTCGCCCCCATCAGGTAGACCCTCGATCTTCGAGCTCCCGCTCGAGGCGGAAGACGCGTGTCGCAGTTCTTGGATCTCGAATATGCGCGTTTGGATGTCTGAGATGGAGTAACATACTTCCGTGATCTGGGCCGAGATCGCCAGGAGCTGCACCTCGCTGTCATACGGTCAGCGCGTAAAGAGGAAGGAGAAAACCAACGCACGACTCGCTTTTCCCCTCTTCTCCTAGTGGAGCCATAGACTTTGCCCTCACTCGGACTACGTTCTCCGCACCTAAGGAGATGCCGTTCCCGTTTGAGCCGGGGAGAAGATCGACGCTGGTGGAGGATGCGCGTGGCCTATGTCCGTGTGCGGTTAGCGTGCTTGTGGATGTTGACGAGCTCGCACGGTGTCGTCTCGGGGAAGGAGGAATCACGACTGCCGAGACCGATGTTGCTGCCGATGTGGACGCAATTGAAGCGGACGTCGAAGCAGCAGGCATCACAGGCTTGGTCGATGCCGAGGGCGCAGGGACAGGAGCAGAGGGCGTCGTCGGAGACGCGGCGGTGAAAGACTTGGAAGCATCACGCAATGTCGAGAATGATTTTGCGAGTGAGAGCATTCAGTTTTGGCGAGCGTTGTTGCTTCTCCTAGTTGGACGGAGTTGGAGCCACTATAGAAATGCAGTGAAGTGGCTCGTAGTCTAGCTTTGTGTATGGACAGCAAACCAGCAAGCAACGAGGTAAGCAGGTGGTGGTGAAGAAGAGAGGTGCGTTGAAGGCGTGTAATACGCGGTCCTCGTTGTTGACTTCTTCGCGAATGAAGGGTAAGGGGCGATTATTACGAGTTGCCGTGGATGAAAAGGCCGCGACGCGTGGTTTATTACTTAGGGTTTGATCCCGCTAGACTTGAGTCGCGTTTAAAACACAATCGACCGATCAACCAATCAGCGCACGTTCTTGTCCCCTTCACTACGCAACTAAGACATAGACATAGCAAACACATCTAACATACATACAGAAGATCTACACGAACAATAACTGGAAAATAATCAGTCCACCTCAGGCACTGCTGCTCTCCCTCCCTCAAGGTCCCTCCGTCACCTTCGCCGAGATCTCCTTCACTTTCTGAACCGCCTTGCTCCCCGCTTTCTCTGCCGCGCTCTCCGCAGCTAGGAAAGCAGCGCGAGGATCGGCAATGCCCACGCGGGACGCCCAGAATTCGCGGTTGGGGGACCAGAACTGGTGCAGCGTCAGTTTGGAATGCTCAAAGAACAAAGGTAGTCATGATAAGAGGAACGTACCTTGGTATTCTGGTCCTGGCGAACATTGTTATGCGGTGTAGGGTTAACCCAGCGCTGGGTCAAGACATCCGGGCTGCCCACTATTGTCAGCTAGCCGATTCAGAGACATAGCGGGAGGACGCACTCAAAAGAGAGCTTGTAGATGCCGTACCCGACCGCGCCGAAGCACCCCAAGCCAACGGCGAAGAACAGCGGGGCAAGGGCTGACAATATCGCGTTAACATCTGACCTCAGGCTCTTGGTGAGTGAGGCACGTACCTGGGTTGCGGTATACGAAGCGGAAAGCCATCGGGGAGTAATGACAGGATCAAGGACCTTGGGCGGGTAAAGAGCGATAAAGGAGTGCAGAGCGTAGCAGCGGGGAGAGCGACCGGTTACGAGGACGAAGGAGAGCGGGGCAGCGCCCCTCCACCAACTCTTTATAATGCCTAGGTTGACCACGTTCGGGGTTGACACGAGACCCCGGAGGTGTGATCACACAGCGATTGAGGGGACAAGGGAGTGACCCCGCACTTACCCCGCCCTAACGGGGCAAGAGGTCCATAGGACAAGGCGGTGATGGGCCAATAGGACACGAACGTTCAGCTGGCAGGGCGACACAAGGGGTGAAGGAGGAGGACCCCTGGAGTGCGGGGTAAAAGGGCTGCGGAGGAATGCCGAGCGTGGGGTCGGCACGGAATCAGATGAAGAATGGAGGCTTTTACGGGAGCAAAGAGGGTGAAAAGGGAATTTTCAGTTCTGCGCATCTACTGACTTTTACCTCTCTGGTGCAAGCACCTCACCGTGCTAGTGGTTTTCGATTGCTCATATTATACGCTTTCCTACGATGAGCTCGCGTGCACAACAGTCAGGAACACTTCATTGCCCAACTGCAACAGCCCTCTGCTTAGGCCCTTCAAATCCACTAACCAATCCGTAAGTCCCTTTCCCCCCATTCGATCCCTCTCCCATCCAAGGATGAACACCAAAACCAAAAGCAATTAGGAAGTGCCGGCCGAAGACGTGTTCCATTTATTTGGTACACGCTCGCTGTCGAGACATGGTTCCCTGATCTTCTGCCCTCTCCATTGTGTTCTGTGGCTGACGATCGTGTTTCGTAGCACCTCAGATGAGGATATCGGCACGCTGGTTCAGGCGCAGTCTGTAAGAAAGAGCTGCATAGGTTGAATCCTGCGATACCAATCAAGAGCACCCATTTCCAGCCGTCAACCCCAGTATCATACGCATCTGCCAGCCACACCCATATTTATTCCTAGTCTTTCGCACGCCATGTTCATCTGCACCTTTGCGCATTCTCTCACCGCATCGGTGCTAAACGCTTGGCCATACCCACCGGTTCATTTTTGCAGATCGTCATCCTCGTTTCCGGACTAGGCGATTCGATTGAACCGGACACCATCCCATACCGTAATGTATCCATTCCGTCCTTGTATGCGTGAAGTAGTCCAGTGAATGACAATCCTATGATGATGCGTATATGCTATGATACAACTCCCCTTTGGCACTACTCGTCCGGTTCTGCAAGCGCCAGTGCCTCCTCTAGCTCACCTAGATCGTCTTCAGGTAAGTTGGGCGCTGAGCCGTACAGCACCCGCTGGCTGGCGATTACTGCTCTCATTAGTACCCGTAGAGAAGAAAGGTGGGAGGGGGGACGTACTGAGGTCCACGCAGAGGGAGAAGATGGCGAATATCTTGAACTGTATTGGGGCGTTCTTGATGAAAAAGTAGGCTACCCTGTGCCGTATGTCAGCGCTGCTAACGGGAAGATGAACGTCAAGGGAATACTTGAACGTATCGCCGATCAGCCATCCCCCGAGAGTCGTTATTCGGAACCCGTAGAGTGTCTTGTTCACAAAGTTACTGATAGGATCAGAGAGGCGCACAGATTCGTGCAGAGGATGTAGTACCTGTACATCTGCGGCAAGGGGATGGTAGCTTCCAGCCCTCTGGACAAACGTGAGACAACGACGTCACGAGAACTTAGCTGCTCACAATGCCAAATATCCCAGTGTCTCGACACACCACTGATACCTCCCCAAAACGAGGACCGCAAGCGTCAGTAACCCGCTACAGCGAGTCAGCACGCATAAGAGAGAGCGAGAAAGGGCGCACACGAAACCGGCAAGGAACTCGAGGTATGTGGTGTAGGATTTCCATTGCCAGAACCTGAACGGCCGGGCAGACTCGCCCAACGCTTCTGGGCTCGTGAGGGGTCGAAATCGGATGCAGATGTATAGCAGTCCCAGCTGTCAAGCCGAGGTGAGATACGAATGAGAAGACGTGATTACTGGTGGCAAAATGCAGACCTGAGCAAGGATCATAAGCAACGACTGGATCAGGAGTGCCTTCTCGAACCGGTCTCCGATCCAGAAGAAACATCGCGTAATATTAGCGATAATCAGTATAGCACATATATCATGCGAGAAGCCGGCGGTGTTCCTGCACGAGGGGAATAAGGAGTGATGGAGAGGAAGCAGGAGAGCACTACTTTTTTCGGATCATGCTATAGGCTTGGTCGACTAAAAACGAAGATCGTCAAGCAGAGAAAGAGACGTTGCTCGCAGCATACAGTATATAGCAGGTGCACCGATTGCTTTTCTCAGCAACGAAGGAGATGAATATCAGGGCTTGCCTCCAGGAGAGGGCTCACCCATTCCTATAGCAGCGAGGATGGACAGTGCGTTGCCCATCTTGGGCTTCCAGAATCTCGAGAGTCAAGCTCCAGCAATAGATTTCCAGTACGGTGCGTTTTGACAAGGGAGATATACCCGATAAAGGTTCAAGCCAAGAGTTGGCACAGATTCAAGAACAGAGTACAGACAGCAAACGACGCCGCTCGTCACTCGGCCCGCGCGGTCAAGCGCCCAGTGGCAGTGCATGATTACCAAATCAGACAATATTTCCTCGGCGAGCGCCTTTTTTCTTAACTCTTTTCTCGTCCACTCACGTCTCAGTCGTCCTTTCTCCTCTTTCTCACTTCTCTCTAAGTTCATTTTATTCACATTTTCAATACCTATTCAAAATGGGACAAACAGCTTCCCAGCCCACACCAGTCTCGCAAGAGCCCAAGCTCCCAGCCGGCCACCCGCAGGTCGGCAGCGTCCCACCCCCCGGGTGCCCGATGCACACTTCCGCCCCACCCGCACCTGCACCTGCACCTGCCCAATGTCCCGTCGCGCACACCCCTGCACCCGCCCAATGTCCAGTCTCGCACGACGCGCTCAACCCCTTGAACCAAATGCCCACGCTTGCCCAGGCCCCAGCAGCAGACCAACGCACCGTCCTCCCTCTAGAACGTACAGTATCCTCCATCCCCCGTCCCCCCTCCCCTCAACCGGGGGATGAAACGCCAGCAAAGTGGGAGTACCCCAGCCCACAGCAGTTCTATAACGCTTTGGTGAGGAAGGGCTGGGAGACACCAGAGGAGAGCGTGGAGACTATGGTCGAGATACACAATTTCCTGAACGAGGCTGCTTGGGGAGAAGTGCTCAAGTGGGAAGCGCGTGATCCGTACGTCATCCCCATCTCACCATGTTACACCACTCAACCTTCTTGCAGGAAAGTCGACTTGGACAAGATCGAGCTCGCCCGCTTTCAGGGCAAGCCAGGCCAGCTCTCGCCCAAAGCCCGCGTGCACCTGCTCGCAGCCTACTTCTTCCCTTCCCAATTCTCCTCCGACCCGCCATTCGACAGGCACGACTGGGTCGTCCTCCGTCCCTCGGGGAAAGAGGTGCGCTATGTGATCGACTACTATTCTGCGCCGCCGGAGAAGGATGGGAGCCCGGCCTTCAATTTGGATGTCAGGCCTGCGCTGGATAGCGTGGGCAGTATCAAGGAGAGAATTGTCGTAGCTGCGGAGGGGGCATGGAAGGACTGGAAGAAGCGGGAGGGCGAGCGCCGTTGACGCGTTGACCAGAGTTGTTCCCATTTTTCTTCGTTCTATGCACGTATTTGTACTGTTGGCATTATCATTGTTCTCTTAATCACTACTCTCGGATCTGGATTTCTCAAAGTGCTTTCCAGAATTCCTACCTGTGGCAATAAACGCATACAAACACTGCTTCTACTTTACACTTCGTTCCTGGACGATACAACTAGACCATTCAACCCGTAACTGAAACATAAACCTACAACTCGTCCCTACCATTCTCCTTCCCCTCCTCTTCCTGCTTCTTCCTCCACTCCTCATCCTTGGTGAAGTCCAAGCTCACACTATTAACACAGTGCCTCTCGTCCGTAGGAGTGTTATACCCCTCCCCCTTGAACACGTGCCCCAAATGCCCTCCACAGGCCGCACAAGTGATCTCCGTCCTGGTCATTCCCAAACTCCGATCCTCATGGCGCACCACCGCGCCAGGAATAGCGTCAAAGAACGCCGGCCACCCGCAGCCGCTGTCGAACTTGGTCGTGCTCTTGTACAAGGGGGTGCCGCAGCCTGCACAGGTGTAGATGCCAGCGTTGGAATGGTGGTTGTATTTTCCCGTGTTGGGCATCTCGGTTCCCTTCTGACGGAGGATGCGGAACTGGGTCAAGTCAGCGAGCAGTTGCAGGATAAGAGGATGAACCCACCTGTTCCTTGTTGAGGATCGCACGCCATTCAGCATCATCCTTCTGCATTCTTCCGGGAGCGGCCATATCTACTTTGAGGTTGTCTACTGCACTGTTCGAAGAAGAAGCTGCACGCGCGGCGAGGAAGACAGATGTAGTGGTGAGGGTTGTGCGAATGGGAAGACGAGTGCTGAGCTCACGAGATGAGAACGAGGCGAAGATGCGGTTGAACATCAACAGGAGAGTGAGGGTTATGTACAGCTGCAGCGTGGGAATGAGAAAGTGCTGCGTCGTTGACCGATTGCTAAGCTGTGACCGTGTGAAGTACGACGATGGAGGTGGTCGTCTAGTACAGAGCGGTGTGATTGTAACAACTCTCATTCCATGGCGATGTCATCACTCAACAACTCCGACGCCAACCCTCGGCTCCGGCTCACTCAGCGGCTGTGCCCACAATGGGGCAAGTGACGTAATGTTGTGTCTTGGAGCTAAGATGATTCCGCCTATACTCCCGATCGTCTCTTCGAACTTGAACACCAACGGTCAACTGTCGATGATGTGCACTGAAGACTCTAATGAACTATGTCAGCGTACTGGTACTCCTGGAGGAGTGGACGAGTGCACCGCTTACTCGAGCAAGCTGATCATGACTAACTGAATCAACTGCTGGACGCTCAGAACAACCGAGGTCTCACTCTTGCTGATGATAGCACCGTCTCAACGATTCCAGACATTCCAGTCTCTCCTTGCAATTTCGTGTCATAGATTATGGGACGCTGCCATCTTGACGCTGACAAGCCTGTGTCTCCAACTTGCCAATTATGACCTGCCGATGTCTCCGAGGAACAAGCCACCGTGCTGTGAATGCCAGCACGCCCTCTTGCCAGTTGCCGGAACAACAATTGCGTCACGTCCACCGCGCGTGCCGTTCATCTCCTCACTCTGCGGCTCTTCCTTCCGCCTCTTTACTCGCCACATCGCATCAGCAATCACCTCTCTACATGCTCAAGCTCCGCGAACCCGCGGGCTATCCATAGACGCGCAAAGAAACTGCCAGACGAAGCCCGACTGTTGTGCTCTTGGCCGCCCTGTCGGCTCTTTGTGCTGTCGTGTCTCAGCGGTGCCGAGTTCTGTGCCGCGAGGAATGTAGCACCCCATCGACGCTTTGGGATATGGGGGCATTCCTCACCTGCTCTGCCACCTGCCGTGATGCCGGAGCTGAACTACCTGCGTTGGCTCCCTCCGACACTCCACTCGCAAGTCCACTACGGTCAAATCCTCTGTCTACCACTCGGACCATCTCCCGCGGTTACGACACATACCATAATGACATGGGCTATTTCAGGTGTTCTTCATCTTCGCCTCCTTCCTGTTTCTTCTCGATCTCTGTTCCGGCCGGCGGTCCACCACCATACCATCATGCCCCTCCTATCTACCGGTGATCCATCCTTGCTCATCCAAGCATGTGCATGAGCGTATAAACCTCGGCCCACCCCGAGTCAACCAGAAACGCGCGACATACGCGTGCTCACCCCGGACGAGAATGGCAGAAACGTTGCATAAATATTCACCGGCCGGTCTCCCCGTGGACAGACACCCCACACCAGTTTCGCGTCTATTCTGTTCTGATTAATCTCTTGCATAAACACTTTCCTCTGCGACCCCTCCATTTTCCCTTTTCCTCTGGACGCTAATAAACCCCCGGTTCCCAGACCTGTCGCAGAACAGCTCTCCCTCTGCTCGAACTTTGACGAAACGCATCATGGCCGGAGGAGCAGTCGCATCAGGGTCAGGAATCGGCAGTCATGACGGTCCGAAAAATAATATGTTTGGCGTCTTCCTCGTCGCCTTCGCCGCTTTTGGCGGCGTGCTTTACGGTTATGACACAGGTACGATCGGCGGTGTCAAGGTTATGAATGTATGCGCTATTTATTTGGGCAACCTTTCCGCATGTTGAGGATACGCATAGGACTGGCTCTGTACTTTCGGGACGCCGACACCGGGGGGAACGGCTCCCTGCGCGATCTCGTAGGTGCATCAATTTGCTGTCACAGCCCCTCCTGACCATATCATGCCAGCACGTCCGACGAGTCACTCGTCGTTTCCATCCTCTCCGCTGGCACATTTTTCGGCGCGCTCTTTGGTGCACCCCTCGCCGACTGGGTTGGACGTCGTCCAGGCCTTATGTTCGCCTGCCTTGTCTTCTCCGTTGGCGTCGCTATGCAATGCGGGTCGCGCGAGGGACAGTGGGCTCGTACGTTCCCTCTTGTTCGTGTCAATGCCGAAGCCAACGCAAACTACAGTGTTCATATTGGGCCGTGTGGTCGCCGGCCTTGGTGTCGCTCTCGTGTCCACGATCATTCCCCTGTATCAGTCCGAGACTGCCCCGAAGTGGGTCCGCGGCGCCGTCGTCTCCTGCTACCAATGGTTTATCACCATCGGGCTTCTGCTGGCGTCTATAATCAACAACGCTACTCAAGACCGCCCGAACCATTCCTCGTATCAGCTTCCCATTGGCCTCCAGTTCATTTGGGCCTTCATCCTCTGCTTCGGGATGATCTTCCTTCCCGAGTCACCCCGGTTCTTCGTGCGCAAGGGACAAGATGAGAAGGCAGCCAAAGCGCTTGGGTTTTTACTTTCCCTGCCGCCCACCGACCCGATAGTAGAAGGTGAGATGGCTGAGATTTGTGCGAATTGGATCGAGGAACAGCAGATGGCGGGCACGAGCTGGTTCGCCCTGTTCAGCTGGGGTCGCTCGCGTATTCTTTTCCGCACCTTCGTGGGCACATGGCTGCAAGCGTAAGTTTATCTGGGCCTATCGCATGGGTCTTTACTGACACCTGGCATAGTTGGCAACAGCTTACAGGTACAGCTCACGTACCACTTTAGGGAAATACCATGGCTAAGGTGTTTTGACAGGGATCAACTTTATCTTCTACTACGGCACGACGTTCTTCCAGAACTCAGGAATCCCTAACCCCTTCCTAATCTCTGTTGCCACGAACATCGTCAACGTTTTGTCAGTGTGTTTCTCCACGGTTATCCGTCGCTCCCGCTTACTCCTTTGCCCCCGCAGCATGACCATTCCTGGTATCCTCGCCGTAGACCGGCTCGGGCGCCGAACTCTGCTTATTTGCGGCGCGCTCCTCATGCTTATCTGCGAGTTCCTCATCGCCATCATCGGAGTGACGATTTCCGTGGAGAACCAATCTGGACAAAAGGCACTCGTAGCCCTCGTATGCATCTACATCGCCGGGTTCGCCTCCACATGGGGGCCGATCGCCTGGGTGGTGGTGGGCGAGATCTTCCCGCTCAACGTTCGTGCAAAGGGCGTTGCTATATCCGTCGCCTCTAACTGGCTCTGGAACTTTGGGATCGGGTACGCTACGCCTTACTTGGTCGATACTGCCCCGGGAGATCTGGGCTTGGGACCGAAGGTATTCTTCATCTGGGGTTCTACTTGCACTGCCGCTATGCTGTTCGCCTTCTTCTTTGTTCCTGAGGTGCGTCGCACCCTACCGTTGTTGAGTATCTACTGACCAGCGGAGCAGACAAAGGGCCTATCCTTCGAGCAAGTGGATATCTTGATCCAGCACAGCTGGCCTGTCACCTCGAACCGCTACCGCATCAAGATGATCAACGATAACGTCCAGGCCACTGACGGGGAAGTGATGGCGGAAGCGTTTGGGGAGAAACAGGTGCCAGGCCAGACTACCCCGCCTGAGATGAGGGAGACGGTATAATGGAATGACGGATAGAAGGAGGTTGTTGGATAATCTTAACAGAACAAGTAAACAATGCTGTTGTATTCATACATTGAAAATCAAGTCGATTGGGCTTGAAGATCCCCGACATGACAAGCGTAGTTCACGCTTGATTCCAGGTTGGGACAAGGAACCCTATCGAGAGCAACCACTTAATTTTCAGTAATGATTATCTACACATCCGAGCAGCATCAAAGAAACCATATCGAGTTTAGTAGGTATGTAGCATGAGGATCGGGCAGAAGGAGGCAAGACGATATCGTGAAAGGCGTGGGTGTGTATACGTAGATGTGCCGTTTAAAGGCTCTCCATGCTCGCCACGAGCTCGTTGAGCTCCTTCTGGGAGGTATTGTACTTGGCAAGCATTTCCTGTGTTGGGCAGAAAGGTCAGAGGTACCTAAAACAAAAAGATATGGAGAACATACCTCATACTTTGTCTCCCACTGGTCCCGCTCTTGCTCGGCATGCGTAACCTGGCGCTCAAAGTGCTCCGCCTTGACATCAACTTGCCGGAGCCTGTTCATATTGTATAAGTCACGCACGCATCAATCAGACAAGAGAATACACGCACTTCTCAACAGTCTCCTTCATGTTCTTCTCGGCGGTGTCGAGCTCCTCTTCAAGCAACTGGACCTTCCTCGTCAAGCTCTCGTTCGTCTTCTTGTTCGACTCTCCCTCCTCTGCTGCGCCCTTCGTCTCGGACAACTTCGACTCCGCCTTCTCGAGCGCATCCTGGGCAAGCCCAAGCTGGTGCTGGAGGGATCCGATTTCGTGATCCTTCTGCAGCAGTGCTTGCTCGAGTTCCTTGGTCTTCTTCTCTGCTACCTCGGCACGTTCGACTGCGGTATCCGCCTCAGCACGCAGACTGGCGAGTCTCTGATCGCGTCGCGCGAAATGTCAAGATTGGAACGCGTCATCTACCGATAAACTCACCTCTTTAATCCTATCCATTATAGCTGGTTAATGATTTGAGCGTAGAGTGATAAGAAAGGGAGACAAAGACAGGGGGTGAGTCGCGTGGGGTGAATGTATGCGTCGAGGAATGGCAGTTTGACCGCGCCTCAAGGAGTGCACCGCAATGGGGGAAGGGCATGATCATGTGACTCTACCCCGCCACTCTCTCCTCTCGGTCACTGGCGAAACGGCGGTAACCATCCGGCTGTCGTGCACACTCTCGTCTTGTACTTGTACACACTCTGCAAAGTTCTACCCTTTACTTGCAATTCCAACTTATCTCATCAGTGCTTGCATAACTATTATACTACATCTCTAGTGCTCCACCTCTTAGTCACCATGGCGTCCATGGCAGCTGTTCCCCAGGAAGAACTGCCCATCTTAGAGGCAGTCATAAAGTCAGCTTCTTGCGCCCTCTTTTTCGTCAACAGCGCTGACCTGGACTTGACTAGTCTCCGCAACCGTCTCACGGTTCTTAAGAAGAATCGTGGTGAATTCATCAAAGCGCAGGACGTCCAGACTATCTATCAGGCGGTGGTCAAGCAGGGTGCGCCCGATCGTTCAGATCATGGACATCCGCAAACGATCACTGACATGGAACATAGTCACCAAGCTGAACGAAGTCAGAGATGTCGAAGCGCCACATGTCCAGAACCGTCTGGATACGACTCTCGCGGATGTCTTCAACTTGCTCTCCCTGTTCTTCCTTACGATTGGGAAGAATAGGGAGGCCCCGGCGACCTACTCCCAAATCGCCAGTATACAAGTACGCATTCCCCTCATGCTATCTGCAGGTCTCTTACCGCGCATGTACAGCAACTTCTTGACCACATCAACGAATCCGGGGTATACAGCGAGTCGGATCTGCAACCTTTCAGACACCGGCTCGCGGATATCCGACAAATCGTGCGGAAGGACGCGGAGACGGGTCTCCACCCGCAGGCGATGATCAAGCTTCTTGAGCGAAAGTTGGACAAATGCGGTACGCCTCGGGTTCATTATCGGCCGATGACGTTCTTCTTACTAAGCGCGCGCGCTTCGGCTTCAGATGCGTCGCTGAATGCGCTCCATCATTCGCTCTCCGAGTTGTCCCCAGAACTTTTGCCTATACATCAGAAGCTTGTCACCATCCGGCGGCAGCTCGTGGCCATCGCTGCCAAAGCGAAGCCCTCGAAGGCTGACATGAGGCCGCTGTTGGAAGAGCTGCGGAGTATTGATTCGTATGATCTATCTACACACGGTTCGTACCCTTGTACTCATTGTTATCCAGGAAACGTGTGGATGGCAAGTTCGTAGGCCCGGGGGGTGCCCCAGTCCCCTCCTCCCAGGCACTCTGCCAGTCCCTTCTTGAAGAATGCTTCGACATTACCCAAGAGATCCGCGCGACGGACGACGATGTTTCTCCGACCCTCAAGCCGATCTACGATCGTCTCGTGGAGATGCGCACGCAGCTCGAGGGTCTTGTCATGACCCATCGGTGGACGCTGCGCGAGACAGACCTGTGGAACTATTCCCAGGCATTGCGCGAGATCGATAGCATGCGTGTGGATGGCAAGTTTGTGGATGCGGATGGAAACAAGCCCCCGGGGCAGTTTGTCCTTCTTTATCTGTTGAGGAGGTGCTATGGCTTGATTTATCGTCTGTTGTCGTCCAGCGAGCCAGTGTCAGAGGAATTAATGCCGATAGTGGGTGTCTTCTCTCTTGTTCCGCGTTTTTGTGCTGATCCATTACCAGGCGAATAAGCTGTCGACAGTGAAGAAATGTCTGAACGAAGTGCTGAAGTACGGTGGTTCTTTCTCACCTCGCGATCTGTGGCCGGTAAGCCTCCTCGCCCCATCGTTACATGAACACCCTCTAACACAGAACAGTACCAACTCGCGCTCCATCAGATCGACTCGATGAGGAAGGACGGCAAGTTCATCGGGATCGAGGGGAACGTACCCGAGGGCCAGGGGATTGTGATGGCACATCTGAATGAGTGCCATGAGTTACTGGAAATGGTAAGTTTTTATCCTACATTGGCAATTTCAAGGGGGCTGAGAGCAATGCAGTTGAAGGAGTCGATGGACGATGAGGAAGAGGGCTAGCATGTGCTTCGTGGTGTGCTGGAAGTTGGATCGAGTGAGTGTGAAGGTTGTGCCGAACAAGTCGTGTGCCGTACAAAGAAGCACGAAGCCCGAACATGTAGAATAAGTTTTGTTGTCCGCTTTCGTTTCATGGTCGAACGCTGTTTAGTATGAAGGAAGTTGAACGAGTAAAGGGTGGGTGTGGTTGCAAATGCCCACAATTCAGAAAGATGATAGATTCTCTTGAGTCATCGTGAGCCAATCACTGCTTCTCGAGGACCCTAACATGGTCTGTTATACATTTCCTTTGGGCGTTTCTTCTAGGCGGTGCAAAGAAGCAGCTGTACATTCTTCCGCACCTGGAAAGGCAATCTTTTTGTTGACAAAAGCGACCATGCAAAAGTCATGTTCGGCGATGATTGTCAAATAGAGCAACCGGCAACCGGAATATCAAATGGTCTTTCATTTGTTCACCATTCACTTGTTCATCACTTCTTGTCAGGGATGCGTCACCCGCACAGCCCAACACTGAGCGCTAAACACAAGCGTGAGAAGACGTTGTGGTTACGCGGTCAAACTCCGCATTTCCGTGTAAGTTTTTCATTCATTTCTGCACTAATCTGATGAAAATATTCTTCTTCATTCACAGGCCTAGGCTGCGTAGCCCTTTCGAGTCACAAAACCGTCAGCGTGAACGAACATCCATGAAGGGTTCGCTTAGGATGACTGGTGTGCCTACCCAACAAGCCCTGATAGGGGAGTCAACACCAGTCACTCATTTCATACGTGGGCCACCCAATACTCTATAAGAGAATCACCCATTGGGGATTCCCATCCAAGGCTCCTGTGCCGCTCTTGTTGCTTAACCACCACCTCGACTAGCCTTGACGACCGACTGTAGCCGCACAACCACTGAACAATAACATGTTGGCCACTCAGACGGTCCTATCGCTATTTGACATCAACGTCAACAACGGCACGACCTCAATGGACAACACCACCACCCTCCCCATGGCCCTCCCTATGACTCTTCTCGCCCCTTTTCTCCCTGCACCTTTCCTCCCGCTCATCCAGACATTCCTCGCCTCCTCCGCACTGCGTGATTGGCTCAGGCTCTTCATCCTCGGTGGGTTACTCGAAGCCGTCCGGCGCGTCCTAGGCCAGACCTGGACGCTTGAGGGTCTCCTCTCCGGTCTCTACGTCAACGTTCGTATTGAGAAGGAGGACGAGGCATACGAGTGGCTCCTAGGCTACTTCATGAGCCTCCCATCCTTCAACCGCACGCGCAACCTCTGCGTCACCACCCGTCCAAAGACCAAGGCCGGGTCGAACTTCATCGAGGGCTGCCACTGCTCCGAGTGCGCGCGCAACAAACCGAAGGACGGTGACATCTCCAAGCGGCTGCACTATCTTCCCGCATATGAGTGCGACTATTCCTTCTTCTTTGCCGGCACGTATGTCACTGTCATGCGCACGCGGCAGACAGGGAACACATCCTATTCCCTCACCATGGCAGACGCGCTCAACCTCAGGATCGTCTCCCTCATCCCCTCTCGCGGCCGTGCTGTGCTCGAGCGTCTGCTCACCACTGCCAAAGCCGCGTTCGACAAAGACGAGGAGGAACGGATCTCTATCTGGATCGGGGATCAGTACGGCTCGTGGCAGCGCGCAGCTAGCAAGCTCCGCCGTCCCTGGTCAAGCATCGTCCTCGAGAAAGGCATCAAGGACACTCTCCTCACCGACGCACGTGACTTCCTCGCCAGCCAAGCTTGGTACGTCCAACGTGGTATCCCATACCGCCGTGGATACCTGCTCCACGGTGTGCCCGGGTCGGGGAAGACGAGTCTTATCCATGCGCTGTCTGGTGAGCTCGGTCTAGACATCTACGTTATTTCCCTTTCTCGGCGGACGATGGACGACCAGGCGCTTAACGATATCGTCAACCAGCTCCCACCGCAATGTATCGCACTCATGGAGGACATCGACTGCGCTTTCAAGAAAGGCATCACTGCTCGTTCTGGCGCTGATGACTCTGAGGATGGCGAGGAAACGGTGACGCCGAAGGAATCAACGGCCGCAGCCGCACCAAACGATCCCGGTGCCGCCGCCGCGGGGAGCATCACCCTCTCCGGTCTGCTCAACGCCATCGACGGTGTAGCAGCTCACGAAGGTCGTCTGCTATTCGCGACCACTAACGTGCGCGAGGCGCTTGACCCGGCGCTTATCCGCCCCGGGAGGATGGATGTCGTTCTTGAGTTCCGGAATGCCAGTCGGGAACAGGCAGAGGAACTCTTCAAGTGCTTCTACCCCGTTGAGGAGCCTGAGGAGGAGAGCGAGCAGCGGAAGAAGGGAAAGAGAAAGCATTTCGCTGCTCCTCCTTCTCCTACCGCCCTCGCCCCGGCGTCTCCGGCGTCTGTTTCGCTTCCCCCAACTCCGCCCGACACGCCACAGCCCGACGGCACCCCCGTGCTGCAAATCGACTCCCTGCCGACTGCTGGCGGTTGCCAGCTTACGCGCGAAGCGCGGGACCTTCTCGCATCCCGCTTTGCTGCTCTCCTACCTGAGCGAGAGCTGAGCATGGCCGCCCTCCAGGGGTACCTCATGCTACACAAGGTTGATGCTGCGGCTTGTGTGGACGGAGTGGAGGAGTGGGTCAGGAAGGAACGGGAGGGGAGGTTGAAGCGTAAGGCTAAGGAGGAGAAGGAGAAGCAGGAGAGGGAGAGGAGAGAGGAGGTTAAGAAGGAGGCTGAGGCGAGGAGCGCTTGATCTTCCTAATAGTGATTTCCAGTTCATCAATACCCTTGTCCAAACAATCCAAGCAATGTATTATTACCGCAATAATGACTTCCATAACCAGACAAAGACCGTGCACGCTGAGAATGAGCAAACGGGGCGCACATTCTGAAGATGTGTAGCAAGCGCAAGATCTTGGAACAACAGTCAGATAAATATGCAAAAGCAGAAATATTATGTACGATATTCCATCCAGAAGAAGCTGACCAGCAAAAATGCCAATAAAAAGGCGTAGTAGTGTTTGCTCGTACATCCATCAAAGCCGATTCTTACAGTCCTATATCCTCCCTTGCCGACCAGCTAGATCAGCGTCCTCCTCCTCTCCTGTTTCTTCACCCACCAACCCACCAAACTGCCCTCCATACCGCCAGTACATCTTCAACAGCAACTAACGACCCACCATCTCTCTTCCCTTTTCATACCCGTATCCCTCCTGCCCCTGCGGATGGGGATACGAGTAATACCCCGAGCCATGATACTCCTGTTGTTGCTGAGGCACGGGCGGCTTTTCCTGCCACGGGTAGGCAGGGTAGGGCGTGTGCGCGCTGGGGGTCGATGTACCAGAGGAAAGTGTGGAGGAAGGAAGAGGACGAGAGCGACCGAACCTGTCCAGCCAGCTACAAAGAGATGTCAGCAAATCAACCTCCTAGATCGGGGAGAAGGCTTACTTCTCCGCACTCTGCAGGCTGTCCATGAACACGCCCGTAACAGCTTTGAGCATGTCCAAGCTCTCCACAGCGAGCGCCAAAACTTTATGTGCCATCGTTTTCGCCGTAGTATAGGAAGGCAGCTGTCCCTCGGCAGTCATGAGCGTCACCACTTGAGGCGGGGGAAGCCCACGCTCCTGTGCCAGGGTGGCAGCGCGCCACCGTTCGGGAAGCTCGAGGATCCATTTGCGAACTGCGGCGCGTGCGGGCTCGGGAAGGGCAGATCCGGTATAGGAGGAGACGACACCTACGACTTTTTTGATCGCATCGACTACGCCGGACTGGGCATCGGCGAGGATGCGAGCCGAGGCGGGAGAGATGGGGGTGGATTCTGGGTGGGGGAGAGGCATCGATAAGGAGGAGAGAAAGTTGCGGAGGATCGCAATGTGTTGGTCTGTGATGCGTGTTGCCCACTGGATGAAGGCATCAGTATGCGCGGGTATGAGGAGAGGGAGAGGGCGCACTCGTAGCCATTCCAGACACAACTGAAGCCTGCGCATGTTTTCCTCGCTCACTGCCGCGGTCAAGCCGCCGGCGCCGACGAGCATTGTCTGCCAAGGAGCGCGGGATGATTGCTGTTGTTGTTGCTGAGCCTGCTGCTGTTGCGGGGCATCGATGTCCCTCGTGGTGGAGGGAGAGAGAGGAGGCAACGTTTCGGAAGAATAGGTACCTAAACGTTCTGGCCGTGATCAGCCCGTGCCCCATTCGGACAGCCACATGAGTTGCGAGGGCGCATGATACGAGCCCCGCACGAGAAACACGCGCACCTTGGGTGTCCAGCGACATACTCGACGGGTTACCCGGTTGGGAATACATTGCTTTCATGCTCGTGGGCGTATTCACCTCCCAGTCGCGTGCGTGACCGTCCGAGGCGGGGCCAGCGCTGGTCGGCTGGGAACCAGAATACGAGCGAGATCTGCCCTCAAGCTGCCATACAAAAGTGGTAGACATGAGCACTGCGTGTTCGTGCGGGGATGGTAGGGACCATTCAGAAGAGAAAGGGACGTACTTTATCTAGCTGCCGGCAGGCGAAACCGTCCATTTGAGCGACGGGAAGCCGATCCATGACGGGCTTGGAGAGAGTCGCAATAGAAGACTCGACCATTTTCACTCCGAGCTGGCGAAGGCCAAGTAGAAGGATAAGCCAGTGCGGACCATCGGACGAAGCAACGACAACGAGGCAAGGCAGGGATTCACGTGCGCACGATCAGTCAACTCAACCCATCGGATGCGGCGCGCGATGAAGGCATACGATGCGCTTCACCGCACGGAGAAAGACGCACCTGTACAAGAGGCGAACTGTTCTTCGAGTTCTCATACGCGCGGATAGCAGTGTTGACAATGGGAAAGTGGGACGAAACACGGGAGACGAAGTCCGCTTGCTGCTGCTGGCCAGGACTGGAGCTGGGCATCCCACCCATCCCTGACGGAGTACCCTGAGCATCATACTCCGAATTGGGCTGCTCTCTCCTAGAGGATGAATCGTATGCCCTACTCGCCTGGTCAGGAGAGGCACTAGGCGAGTCTGTACCCAATTAGCATGATCCGGAGCTAGAGGGTAGGACGCACGGTACGAAGCTGCACTGGTAGGCGAGATCCTCTGATTTCTCATGTCTCCCAGAGCCTTAACAGCCATCAACACATCCTCATCCGCTTCGTTTATGCTCAAAGTCCTTGTGGGTGTCTCCACACCGTTGATGGCACCGTTTATGCTCGGTTGGTTCTGAGCGTCGTTGGGTGCCAGAGAGGGTGTAGACCCGAGATGGGGAGTTGTAAGGACAGGAGCGGTTGCCATATTGCAAGTAGTGTTTATCAAGCTGACATAGATTTGAAGCGATTTTTGTTGGTTGTCGCTGTTGTAGATGTCGAGCTCGATGAGGTGGACGACGAGGAGAGGGAAGTGGGGGTGGTGAGGGGGGATGAACGAGGGACAGAGAGAGTCGAGGTGCAAATCACAAGGGAGGGACCATCTTCACTGAGCACGTGAAAGGCAAGGTTGCTTCCGTTAAAAGGAAATCACACGCTTTCGGCCCGGATTCACAGAGGATAAATTAGATTCCATTCCGGGATCAATTCGGCGGGGCGTATGCTGGCAACATATGTACAACACAACAATGTGAATCAATGGGTTGAATTACAAATGACAAAATTAATACATTTTCTCCACTAGTACTGTCCTTCCATCCTCTCTAAATCTCCAATCAAGCAAGTATCAGCCACAGATTCAACATTATTATCACACAATTCATTATTGTTGTTCACCGCGTGTCTCCCATCGCCACCGTTCTCCACCCTCTTCCCGCTCACGTCGAGGCAGCCTCACAGAGGCGCCATGAGACATCTCACCATTCGTTTCCCCATTGTACGGCGCATCCAGTCCACGCTCAATGCCCCGCAGCAGCGTCTCCGTCCTCCTCAGCATATCCTCCAATCCCCGCTTCTGCTCCCTCAGTTGAGATTGATGTTGCAGCAGCTCATCCCGAGTAGGGACAGAGTGCATATATGGCATATCCGACCGTGGAGACCGACCACCGGGCGAACGGGAACGTGAGTGCGGGGGTGACATCGACCTGAGATGAGAGGTCCGGCCACGTGGCGACAGCGGATACGATGGATGCGGTGGGGGCAGGTATCTAGAGCTCGGGTCGACAACGTCGCGCCGCATGGGGGAGTGTCCCGGCACTTCATCTGGACGTCCATGACGATATTCGCCAACTGCGCTGGTCAGAGGTGGAAGGTCGTATCCACCACCTCGAGGTGAAACACGACGACGATCCTCTTGTGGCTGTGCGGAGTGTGCAGGCGGCGAAGGGCGAGAGTAGATGTGGGAGTCGGGACCGGTCGTAGTGGTCGGCGGGGCATGCATGTCATCCGTATAGGATGCACCAGACTCGTCACCAGTACCGTCATCGTACTCCTCATCCGCCAATTCATCTCGCTCGATGATACCACAATCGCCTTCCCGCCGCTGCCTCTTTCGGCTTCCATCATCCCCTCCAGAACGTCCAACGGCAACGAGTACTTCTGCGGCAGCCCTATCAGCCATCGTCAACGTGGATGTATGCGTGCTTTGGGTGTATTGTGCTGGAGAGTCCGGACGATTCGGGGTCGATACGATTGCGTTCGCCGCGGGGACACGTTTGCGACGCTTGATGACAGCCTTTTTCATAGTCACGGGGCGCCTGCTCCCATGTAACTTTTGGTAGAGACCTAGAGCAATGCGTTCCCGTGGTCAGCGACACCGCTTCGAAGAGGGGGGGGGCGAAGTTGGAAACGCAAGATGCAATCTGTTATCGTGATCGGATAAGATCCGCCTCCGTCACAAGCTGTGCCGAAGATCGCCGACAGGTCACGTGGACCACGGGCGAGGCCAGATAAGCCAGGTAGACGGGCCGGTCTCGAAGAACAGAGAAAAGCGGGAAATGAAGAAACAGGTACGAACCACACGCGTTGCAGATATTATTCCCAGAATCGTCCCGTCGCCACAGTGGCGTGGTGGTAGTATGGCAATTGGCGCAACTCAATGGGCCGACTCCTGGCGCCGCGGTGGCGGGCGCAGCAGGTCCGCGAACACGGGTTGCCTCACCCATGTCACCGGGATGCGAGTTGATGAAGGCGGGGCATCCGGAACAGGCGGACGCACCGCCCGTGCCATTGCACAGACCATCACCCGGACACGATCCGGCGACAGGAGGAGCGCCATCGGCACGGGGAGGGGAGTGAGCGGTTGAAGATCCGGTGGATATTGGCGGTTGAGATTGCCGCCCTGCGCTACCGGCTTTCGGAGATCGACGTGCCTTGGCTTGCAAGCCTATAGTCAAAAGCGAAAAAGGAAGCGTCCCCTTTAGTCCAGGGAAAAGATTTCCTGATAACATGACGCACCACATGCATTACAAACGGTCGCGCCCACATCGTTCCTCCTCCATAATGGGGTTGTAGTGGCACCACAGGTGACGCATTTGGGACCGGAGTTAGGCTTCTGGGAGTTCACAGATGCCTTGAATGAGCTCTCACCAGAGGCAGCGGAGTCGGGCCGTTTGATCGGAGTGCGGGACATAGATGGTAGATGGGATACGGCGGGAACGGGAGGGTAAGGGCGGTCCAATGATAGGCCGCCGGAAGAAGGAGAGGGCTGGTAAGTCGCAACAATCGCGGGCATTGAGCGACGTTCGCGGTGTAAGTTCAGGGGTAAATGGTAGGTATATGCGCTTCAGCTGATCAAGCTGATGCCTCTGGATGGTGATCGTTGTGCTAATAGTCCAAACCGATCGTTAACTGTTCGACGGCGACAGCTTTTGACGTTCTCGAGGGGGGGATAAGAGAGAGGAGCAGGAGTGTCCTTATATGAAAGGCCTGCAGAAGAACGAAGCAGTGAGGAGGGAGGGGTAAGGGAGGGTCATGATGCGACTGTCCTTATAATTGGCGGAAGCTGGTTGGATGAGCGTAGTTTGCTTCCGCTCCAAGGGGGAGAGATCGAGAGTTCGCTTGTGTCAGTGGGCCTCTGGCGCACGCCGCTGCGTGATCATACGCCGGGACGGCTCACGGTTCTCTCTACGAAGCAAGAGAAGATCCCTGCTTGTTCCTTGTTCTGTCCTTCTCAACCACTGATAATCTATTGGCTGTACTGCTCATCCGTAACAATCAGCACATTGTTGTACAACTTGATCTCTCCCCGTTTCGATCCTATGCAAAAGATAACAGCGTGGCCCAAAAGACCCCTTTTACAACCCCGCCTAAATAAATACCTCCGGGGCCACGGCATCTGTTTCGGCTGCTTCGGATCTATGTCACTTCTACCTCCATCCCATCTTAGCCAGTGATAACGCGTCCATTTCCGTTAAGCCGCGAACCTGGTTCATAGCGCCCCTTCTGAAAGTCAAATACTCTATTGCCTGACATAAGCAGCTTCTTTCCGAAATCCCACATTTATTCCATCTGGACACAACTAAGAAAATGTCACCCATGCGCGTGGCATTGGCTCCCAAATGATAATCTCTCTTGGAGGGGAAGAGGCGATGTCAACGTCACCAAGATAAACTTACTGATTCGTACCTACGCGACAATGTACCGTGTCAGACCACCCCCAAGGGACGGATTCGATTTCTTCGGAGTGCGGAATGGTGCGGAAATGCAAGCTTGTGCGGTGCTCTAACACATGCCCAGGCCCCATACGGATTTTAAGGAGAAAAGAAAAAAAGAAAAAGAAAAGCACAGCGAGCATATCGGACCCGACTTTACCATTTCAGCCTCTTTTGCTGATTGACACTCCACCTGGGTTGTATCATGCGTCCTTTGATGTCAGAGACTGGCCAGCGAGGAATCAAGCTTCGCCCCTTTACTTACCCCTTCCATGAAGCTGAAGAACCGCCACATCAGTGATACCGAAACGTCGACTTCCTTATCCGTCGCCTTCCTTACCCGCGGCATTCTCTCATCTTCGACCTAATCTATGCGGCGGATGTCGGCGTTAAAACAATTATCCAACGACGATTGAATTGCCCCGTTGAATTCTCCGCGCTCACCCACCAAATGTTGGCTTCTCCCTCGCTATGGTGGGACCATCTTGTCCTCCAGGCTATAATGGCCAGTGTGAGGTGAGAATCCCTGACCTCCTGCTCATCTATTTCGGCAAATCCAGTCATGCGATTGCGATTGCAAATGCAAAAACCTGCATTCAGATGTCCTTCTCGATCTATCCGATAAACCCTGCATGGCATTTGTTCTGCCAAGACGCAACTCCGCGAATGACCACGCTTCTCCGGGGTGTTCTTTATCAGTCCATCGTCTGTATTGGGATCCCCTCCAAGCTCAGAGCCTTCTGCTCTTCTGCGCCCGCCTCACTGCAACAGGCTAATAGTCTCGCTGCCGTCATCCTCGGGCATGTGTTCTCGGTCCTCTATCTTGTTGGGCTAATCAGATAGGATAACCTCGCGAATCTACTGTAATTATAGCAACATTCGCGACCATCCGACGTTTCATTTGCTGGTGATATACAGTCAGCGCTGCGTAAACGGGAGCCGTCTTGCCATTCAGGCTTTGGCTGAACGTTGAAGACTCGGCGGTCGAAGCCCGCACGCCGCATCGACTGACCGAGGAACAGCATGCATCTGTTACGGCGGCCATGCTTCCACCTCAAAATAAACGTCACGCTCGCACTGCTGCATCAGGCTTTGACCACTGTTCTCCGGCGTCGTGGTAACGCACCCTAGACGGATCTTGCCAGATAATCACCAGCCGCTATATCAGCAGATCTACGCCGAGGCGGTGACTGACCCTCTTGCCGCCTACATACATATTTGGAGGTGTTACACGACGGCTGCTGGGGCTATAGCGGACACTTCGAGTAATTCTCGCGAGAGACGACCGATGCAGACCGTCATCGCATACATCTTCGAACAGGATGGGCATCCTATCCACGCATCGTGGAGATACCCCGTCGCTGTTCGCTGTTTCCATAACACGTGAATAGACGGCGCGCAGTGCCAAACGACCAGACGTCTCTTTGTGCATACCATTTGAGGTCCTATTCCTACATCCACCCGAACCGTCGATAGTCACGAGGAAGTTGTCGCCAGGGATGGAGCGCCATTCGACGTGCACCTTGGTGCGTTTTTTCTGCCTCAATTCGCCATGCACCACACTGACCAATTAGCATGTCTGGAAATCACCTCCAGAACGTCCAGGGTGGAGGTAGACCAGCTCAAGAACCCCGCGGTCATGGATCCCCAGTCAAGCTTCGCGACTCTCGTGTTTGCACATCTCCAACTTCACGCGCAACAGTGGTACAAAATCGAGAACGGCTGGAGCGCACGATCGTCGCAGTTTATCAGATTCAAGCCTATCTAAGCATGTTCCGCGCGACTTATTCCGCTCCTTCCTCCTACAAATGGGCGCTCTCTGGTATATGCACGAGCTGGCTTGAGCTACACGGAACGTTCAGCGCGCCTTCCCTGCTTGAACGTCACACTTCCGCAAGGTACTATTTATGCTCGCTGCTCAAGGACAACACGCGCCGTCCCACTCTGGCTGACAGCGGAGACGGCAAGCCCGCGGAGGTACGGAGTAAGAAGCTCTTCGTCAGGAGAAGAGAGCACATTGGATAAAGACACCCAGTTGCGCAGATCTCGAAATACCTGTTATCTGAACCCACAACACTCAAACCATTCTCCCCGGCACCTTCACCTGCGCGATCTCTCTCAAAAGCCTTATACGAGACTAGACTAGGGCGACTACGTCACCCCACCGTGCCGACATAACGAGGCGCCTTGACGCAAGCTTTCTGGCTTCCTGCCATTCGTAGAACCTCTCTTCCGTCGCGGGAACACAGCATGTCAACGGTGCTGGTCGCTGCCTCTCTGTATTCCGGGTGATTCAAGTGACCGTTCTGGGCAGGATGTCCGTGAGTCGTGGTGGACTCTCCAGCCCTCACTGGTAGTCTGATACGGAAGATTTAGATGACATAACTCATCTGGCGAGCGTTCAGCCCATACGAGACTTTCCGATGAAACTTCAAGACTAATGTCGTCTGCCGAAACGTTTCTCTCGGCCTTAACGGATACTCGCCCAGATATGTGGTGACTCATGAAGCATCACCTCATGCTATGATCTCACAATAACCCGAACGGCGGGCGTTGGTGTATTTTATCTCATCCTACTCTCGCTTCCATCTCATACTCGAACAAGTTACCCAACAGAGGTATCCGCATCCAGACACCGCTGTCTTGGTAACCGTCAAGGTGAATCGCTGTTCAGACACCCGCCCATTCCAGTGGTGGCCGCTATCGACCTTCGTGCGGAACGCCTGTTCCGCGACCGCATTTCGTCACGGAGAAACCCTACCTGCCAATTGAGGCTGGCCCGTCCCACTCTATCTATTTCACGGACCCAGTCATTCAGCCCTGAATGCACTCCGCAGCAGCGGCAGTGACGACAGCCCGAGATACACCTACGATTATCTCAACTCTCTCACAGGCGAGGCCTGACACGGACATCGTCGGCAAACGTACATCATACGATCCGGCACGGATGATCTGCAGAGCTCCTGCTTCACCTGTTTTCTCCATCAGCTCGTGCTGATGGAGATGAACCTTAACGCCGAGAGAATTGTTCCGTTCCCACTCATCTGCGCAGCATGACCGGAAATCCAGCTGGAGACGTAACGACGTGGCTGGATTACAAACGCCTACGTCGTCGCGACCGTCGTGCCATTCTGGCGGATCGCGATCCGAAGCCAACTCTAAATTAAGTTGCCTTTGCGGTCGACATTGGTCCCAAGGAACGTTACTATCGCAATATTAATAGGCACACCGCGACTAAAACCGTCTGGCTTGCGTCGTGTACATTCCGAGGTTCCCGGCATATTCCGAAACTTTCCTGAAGCGCGGCTACCTCAACGGCGTGCAACACTTGCACTGACAACGGGGAAATACGCTCCACCTGCTTGGTCCCTTCTCGACCGGATTCTCTGACCTACCCAAAACGATTTGATACGGTCGTGCTTGGGCAGGGAACCCGGAGCCGGCGCGGCGGTATGCGGAAAATTTATTGCTTTGTACTGTTGATGGAAGTGTGCACTGCTGCTGTCGAGGCGGGCACATGTTGATATATCTACGCTTTCTTGCGGATGCGAGAATGACGCAGAACATGGTCGGGACGGCGACCGGGCATGTCGTCTTCGGGTTTTCGGGTCTGACCAAGCTCGTTCCCAGGCGCTGGGCTGGTATGCCGAAGGAAACTCGCACGGCACAGCACGACGTTGATAAATATAATCGGGTCCTTCTCCAGATTCGCGGCGCTTAAAGACGCTTCTTGTCGTTGCGCCGGAGAGATGGGTCGCACGGCCATCTTATCTCGGCACCGGCAATGTCCCAGGCCCTGAGCGTCTAAAAGAGGCAAGAGGTTGATTGAAATGGACAATACGAAGGATGTAGAGGTTTATTGGATTATACCTGTTATAATGACACAGATGCTACCCAGGGTGATAAACACCGTGTGCCTGCCCCTTGGGGCCGAAGCAAACCTCCTACCACAACCTTCCACATTTTACACGGGCATCATCCACCTTTGAACACCGGGCTGTTTACCTGCGACGAAGCGTACGGAGAAGAACCGTCGGTCGATAGCTGACAGGCATGATCAACATACTGCAAGTGTTCTCATCGGCTGACGGGGGAAACTGGTTGCTTCGCCTCATCCTCCGCTTCGTCCGGGTTGATGATGCAGCGATTTGCGTTTAGCGGGCTTGGAGAGCTTTGAGCAGTATAGCTGGCAAATTCAACAGGCGGCGGCATCGGAAGACAACATGCATTACATTCATTCTCACACAAGATCCGGTCATACAAACCACCTTTACAAAATCTTGCAGCACAAACTCCTCGATACAACAGCATGACACGCTTCTACGTCCTCATAGTCACAGCTTCAAACGTTTAGGCGACAGCAATGGGCGGGAGGGTGGAGAGGTAGTTGACGCGGTGCGAGTTGACATCGGTCTCCACACCGCGGTTGTGCGGGATCCACTTGGGTTCGTCCTACCGCACGTCAGAGCCATGTCATAAGGATACCATGCAAAACAAAAGCAGCTTACCTGGAACAACCTAGCAGCCTTGATCTTGTTGTTCATGTCGAGCGTGAAGCGGTGGTAGATACCAGAGGGGAGGACGAGGAGGTCACCCTGCTCACAGAGGACCCGGATCCAGCGCTCGTCATCCTGCTTAGCCGCGTGCTTGCGCACATCGAAGTATCCCGATCCGGAGAGGATGTATCGGATCTCCTCGTCTTCGTGCATGTGCCTATACACAACAGCGAACGTTCAGGGATCTGACGATGGGCAAGGGGATGAACGTACTCCTCGAAGAACCCCTTGATCTTCGTCTCGTACGCATCTCCGAGTCCCTCCTTGCTAACATTGATCGTGTCCCTGTTTTTGTACCCGCGCTCCTTGGCGATCGCGTCCACACCAGCGGGAATGGAGTCACCCTCGCCGACAGGGATGGACCAGTAGAGAACACCGAGGTGGCTAAGTGTGTCGAGGGAGACTTCCTCACCCGAGTCGTGCGGCAAGCGCTGGTCAGTCGGCTCGTCGTCAAAGTAGTAGGCACGCATAATGCAAGACTTGGTTGGTGGTAGAAGAAAGAGCTGGCAAGGATGGGGGAGTTGTGGCACTTGGATGCTACAGTGCTGTGGACCCTACACTGCCTTTATATTGCGCGATTTGAATCGGTCTCGTCATCATCCTCGGCCATCGGTATTCTCCTCGATGTCCTCGGGCAGTATGATAGACAGTGGAGAGTAGATAGAATGGAATAATATAATAAACATTCACCGGACGAATAGACCTTCTTCTCCGGATAAGTCAACAGTCTTCACGGAGGTGAAGTCGACCGGCAATTCCAGTCAGCCTTTCGGAGTTTGTACGATCCAATTGAGATCATCTTTCTGCGGCGCGCGGGAGAAGCAAATGAATACATTACAACGAGGCAATGATCGACGGTCTTGAATTCGCGTCCATATGATTCGCCCGACTGAAACCAATGCAGACTTTGGGGTGTAACATTCCGTCGTCTTGGCATCAAGTGAAGCCTTGATAACAGCAGAAGAGTTACTCAGATCTTACATGCTTCCCATGAAGCGCATGTGCACAGTGCAGCATAGAGTTGTGTCGATTAGTATCTTCTGGCCGAACAATACCAATGTAATCTTCCGATGATACACCATCATCGCACAGGCAAGTGCACCTATTTCATATACCTGCACCCAGTTCAGCAAGCATCTCCAGCACAGACAACACACTCACATATTATACTCCGCCTCCAACCCCTTCTTCTTCTTCTTTTTCTTCTTCCTCTCCTCGTCCTCGCTCCATTCATCCTCATCTCTCTGACTCGGGCCCAACCCCTGCTTCGCCCTCCATGCATCCTTCTTCGATCGCCGTTTTGCTTGCTCCTCTGCCTCCTTATCTTGGGATAGGATGTCCCTGATCGATGGGACACTGGACGATTCGAGCGGGCGGAGACGCGTCTCTCCCTCTTCTTGTTCCTCTTCTTCGGCCTTAGGCATGAGAGGCAGAGGTACCGGTTTGTGCGAAACAGGGATAGGCGATGGAGTTCTGTCAGGCTCGTTGAACCAATTCGCTTTCGCTTGAGGTGCAGCCTCGGACGGTGCGGGCGGCTTGGACACCTCCCCCTCTTCGTCAGAGGAGAGGTCGTACCCCGCATAAGTTCCCGCACCGGCGAATATGTCTTCATCCATGTCCACTTCCGGCTCGGGCAGCACAGGCGGTGGTGATGGTGCGACAGGGAGAGTCGGCTCTGTAGGAGCATCTTCAAGCGGGGGCGCAAGCGTGACCTTCTCCCCCTGCTCCTCGGCAGTGTTTGTCTTTACCTTCTTTTTCTTCTTTTCTCCAATAGGCTTAAACCCTCGTTCCTGTTTCCCAACCGGCTTGAACCCCTTCATCCTCCCTTCCTCCCCCTGTGCGTCCTTGTCCAGATCAGAGGGCCCATTCCCCGCTCTGCCCTTCAGTTCTCGTACGATATCCTCCCTCGTACGTTTCTTCCCCGCTACGGGTTTCGGAGGCTCTGGAGCAGATTGGAGGGAGGACTCGAACGCTGCTTCGAGGGATTCGTCTAGATCTTCTGGTGCTGTGCCTGAGCCTGAGGCAGGGGGAGGGAGAGCAGAACGTAGGGAATCGACCATTTTCGATATCTACACCATATTAACTTCAATGAATATATAGCTTATTCATGAGTAGCATACCTCATCTAATGCACCCCGGTCGTCCCTCCTGTCAACATCATGCGAAGCTAGCTTAGGCGCATCCTTCACTTTCCGGGGCTTGAACGTCGCTGACTGCGTCACCGGTCCTCTACCATGTCATCAGATAGCATACCTCAGAGATCAGAGTAGTTGCGGGAGGACGTACGAAGGCTTCGAGCTTGGTTCCCCGGTGATGAGGTTCTTGGGACGGGATGTGCTGGTGGACGCGACTGTGCGCGGTCGGGCGAGCATGGTGCGGAACGCATTCTACGAGGTTGTCAGCGTTTGCTTGAGGATAGACAGGATAACAGACCTGATCCATCTTCTTTGCCCAGGGCCTTAGAGGATAACTTGGATGAAGGAGTGTATAGATGGTGGTGGTGGGAACGAGAGAGGGTATAAGCGCTCGGACGTGAGAGGGACGTAACAAGTCAAAGGGCCCTTGATATATACAATGGAAATACAACAGCACAACAATACTCCTGCAGCTTATCTCCTTTTTTTTGGCTTTTCAAATTATAGAGCTACTCAAATATATCCTAAAATCATCAACACCCTCCCAACTCTACTAGTCCACCCAAGTCCAGCAGCTCAGTCCTCTCCCCAACCCTGGACACATCCCTCCCCTCCCTCCCCTCCTTCCAAGCTACCTTTCCCGCCCACTCCTGCGGCAGAGAACGTTCAATCCTCTGTCGTACGAGAGATCCAAGATTTGGAAGGAACTGGCATGAGTCAGCGTGGGCCCGTGGGGTATGAAACGGACGACGAGAGACGTTCACTTTGAACGCGTGGCCTGACCCGCCTGTTACGAAGAGCAGCTTAGGATGCTCAGGGTGGAAATCGACGAGCCAGTCTCCATCCGGCGTGTCTGTATACCTGATGCACAGCAAGCTCGTGAACACTCTGTCTGTATCATCAGAACGAGGTACGCACCAACACATACGCGAGCCGACAAACGGATTGTCTCCTAGTGTACCGGGGTAGCGCTGCTTCAGCCAATCTCTTAGCCGGGTGACGACCTCCCCTGGCACAGCGGGGCGCCTGATGCTCCCTTCCTCGCTCGTCAACGGGGTGGAGACGACGTACTCCTTTCCCTCTACTATCTGTTGCTTCCGGTACACGTAGCCAGCATGGTGGATGGCGATTTTCACTGTGCCGTCCTCTGTCGGCTACAAAGATGAGCTGCATTATGGAACAAGAAGGGAAGTACCGACCTCAAATACCGACATCCCCGTATTCCAATCCAGGAGCACCGGGTTCCCCTTCCAGCGCGAGCGCTCCTCCTCAGAGAGCCGGAGGAAGAGCTCGCTCTGCCCCGTTGCAAGAAGCTTCTCTTGCAGACCCAGGTGAGGGAACAGAGAAGGTGTCCATGCGCCTGTAGCGACAACCACGAGGTCTGCGTGCATATCTTCTCCAGAAGAGAGCAGCACAGCGTCCATTTCCCCTCGGTCGTCCTTCGTCAGCCCGGTCACAGTCCTCCCTCCCAGGAGGAGAGCGCCCAGGCCTTCCACTTGAGCGCGGAGTACTCCCATAGTGCGCTCTGCCTCGACCCACCCCCCATCTCTGTTCAAGTACGCGCTGTCCCTTTCGAACATTGGGATGGGCACGATGGGAGGGAAGTAAGCCTGTAGACCCACGTCGGTGGCAGGTATGATACGGCATCCGAGCGCGAGGGAGTTGGTCAAGGAGGAGGAAGTGTACTGGCCTGTTGGGGAATGATCACCCAGCACTAGCACACCCGTCCTGATTCGTCTTTAGATTGCTATCAGCTGGCCAGATGAATGAAGGCACACTCATGATACACCCCATCCCAAGCTTCCTCTTTCCAGAGGCTTACCGCCTCCCTCGCCAATCTAGCATAAGCAAGATCAGGGTAATCAGAGCGCACGATCTTGTTCAGGTCATAGCTTGCAGAGTCAGGAGGTAGGCCAGAGGGATGCCGTTCGAGGATGGTGACGTTGTACCTTCTGGGAGTGGTGAGGAGATGGAGGGCCGTGGAGAGGCCGAAGGCGCCGGCGCCGATGATGAAGACTTTGATGGGTTCTGAGGACATCGACAATAAGCAATAATTGGGATAACCAGCGACACTTTGTTGCAGAAGGTATTCGATATTGAACGCATGTTCATTGCTGGCAAAGCGAGCTGGGATGTCAATAGATGCCTAATATGTCCAGAATATCACTATTCAAGTACTTTGATAGGAGCGTTGACAGTGTTTCCGTTCTCGCCAGTCCAACAAGTAGTAGCATCTATAAGTTGACATTAAGGTGTAGAGAACTTCAAATCCAAGCAATCAACAAAGTATACAAAAGTGTAGTGCAAAGTGTACAAAGTGTACAAAATGTACAAAAGTGTAGTAAAGTTGTTAACCGGCATAAGTATGACGCCACTCTCCCGGCTTCGGCCGGTCGCTTTTTATTTTTGCGATAGTTGATCCCCTACGCCCTCATCTCCTCGACCTTTCTCCCTCCTCCCTCCCTCCCTCAAAATGATTCGCTCAATAGCATCGTCGTCGTCGAGTACATCGGTATATCGTGCAGCGGCACGACGTCCAACAACTCGAGCGACGGCGCTTGCCCGTTCTCGTCAGCTACCAGCGCCAGCAGCAGCCTTTCCCGCTCGGAGCAACTTTCACACTTCCTCAGCGCGCCGAGAAGAACTCCCGAAATCTCCTTTTCAGACATTTGTAGACGTTCTGAGGGATGAGATCAGGAAGAACAGGGAGCTGCAGGAGAACGTCAAACAGGTGCAGGGAGATATTGGCAAGGTTCAGGACTCGGAGGCGATGAAGCGCGCTAAGGAGATGTATGAGCGAGCAAGGGTGAGCTCCGTGTATACCACTTGACGCATATATGCTGATTTCATGTTGCGATTGCAGCTCACGAGCTCCATCAAGGAGAACCCGAGGCTTAGGGCTGCAGCAGATGAGATGCGCAAGGCTGGAGTGCGCGTCAGCGACGCCGTGTCCGAGGCTATGAAGGGCCTGGAAGAAAGCGAGCTCATGAAGGGGGTATGCCATGACTACAAATTTTAATGACGTCTGTCATATTAACACTCCACGTAGATCGCTCGTGCAAGCGCTGCTGTCTCTTCCGCCGTTTCTTCGACTACTGAGCCGCTGCGCAACACCGCTGCGTACAAGACAATGGCCGACGCGGTGATCGAGGCTCTGGACGATAGCGGGAGCACGCGGCACGCAGGGTATGAGGATAAGGAGGCCCGTCGGCTCAGGAGGCAAAAGCGGTTGGCCAAGGCGGGGAAGGAGGGAGGTCTCGCGGCAAGAGCGAGCAGGGTTGCAGAAAACCTCGAGTGCGTGCTAATTTTACCTTATTCACGCTAATGTTCTGATGAGTCGCTTGGAAGGGCCGGACAAGCAGTGGTGCTGCACAAAGATGCGGGAAAGCATGAAGCCTGGGAACGGTTGAAAGAGACGAACCCGCTCCTTCGCACATGGGCCAATCTGAGGCAACAATACGACGAATCCGAGAACCCAGTTGTCGCCACCCTCCGGGGATTCACGAGTTCCATCGGGAGCTTCTTTGATGAGACGGAGATGGCTAAGGTGACTCGTTTGCTGAGGCAGATGGACCCGACCTTCTCGGTTGAGGCGTTCACCAGAGAGCTGAGGGAGTATATTATCCCGGAGGTGGTGGACGCGTATTTGAGCGCGGATAGGGAGGCGCTGCAGATGTGGTGCAGCGAGGCGGTGAGTGCGGGTTTCCTGTTGAGAAAAGCATACTGATACAGTTCAGACGTACAACGTGCTTTGGGCGACGATGGAGCAGTACCTCCGCCAGGGGCTGTTGAGCGACAGCAAAGTGCTTGATATCCGACAAGTTGACGTGCGTCTTTGTCGCTTCTCCCATGCCAGCATCACTGACCCCGTACAGCTCACAACAGGTAAGATCCTGGAGAACGATGTACCTGTGTTCGTCGTCACCTTCGCGACTCAAGAGATCTTGCTCTTCCGGAACGCGAAGACCCACGAGATTGTTGTAGGTACCGAGGATCGGGTGGAGCAGTGCACGTACGCCGCTGTGCTCACATGTGTAGAGAGTGAATTGGATAATGAGATCACGGGAGGGTGGAAGGTCGTCGAGGTGGGCTCGCTCTCCCGCTCCGCTTCCACCTATGTTGAGATCGAGGTCAAAACTGACGGTGATACAGATGGCAAGACGCTCCGGTCGAGGGTTCCTATGATAGGTTCCCATCCCTGTGCCCAGTCATACATCTCGGCTAGATCCTTCCCCTTTCAGGGGCATTTAATCATCACCTCTCTCCCGAGCTCCGATCATGTCCCGTTCCTTTCCCTAAGCCAACAAATGAAAGCAGCGTGAATCCGGCCCGCGCGGTCCCTTTGATTCCCACACCCAGGACGTGGTAAGGCAGAAAGGCAAGCGCCCAGGGATCGGGTGGTATGTCTCTTTGGCCTCATCACAATCCGGTATGCGGATCATATGCCGGGCTAAGCTAAGGCGGCCGGATACCCGACCGCTCGAGAAACGTTCCAGCTCAGCCAACGCCGTGGATTTGTATTAATCTCGTTGGGGGTCCTCGGAGCAGCCCGAGGCTTCTATACCACTTCGAATAATGGGGATAAGAGCGGTCCAGCTGTGGCGCCCCGATTCGTCATTGTCCACATCTCTCTTCCATTCCCGTTGCTATAAGAGAAACGGACAGAGTCTTCACATCCTAGTCCCGAAGAGACCCGTTCATTTGCGCCAGCAGGCCAGTGCGGTACACATATATGAACTTAGCAACTGACGGGACCAAGCGAGGGGAGAAGGACGTCAAACGTGGGAAGACGCCAGCTTCGGAGGTGGTGAATATCGGTAGAGGGATTATGATAGTCTCCCCTTGTGCAACTCTAATTGTGTCCCGCCGAGAGGTTGGTTGCCTATTGGGACGCAGGCCGTATGAGCCGACCAGGCAGAGACGACCCAAGGAGGGTATGGGCACGTCCTTGGACGTCTTCTTGCTACTGTAGATAACGCCCAGCTCACGAGGTATTTTCCCCCTGGGCTCCTCAAATAACACGGCTGGCGAAGCACGCACGGTCTGCTTGAAACTGTCCACTTTCCGAGGCGTGCAATGGTCTGCTGGGCCAGCCCGTGGCGGTATGTCAGGTCATGCCAGCGGACCATCATGCGGATTGGACAGGGATAGGAGAGTGCACCGTGCACCGACCTGGAGCAGATCAGCTGGCTTATCATGCTGCATACTTATCAACTTATGCTCCAAGCCGGCGGTAGGCAAAGCATGTGTCCTCCTGGTTATCCGGAGAGTCTGGACGTTCAGTCTTCCCCTTAGACGGTACAAGGCGTTGAGAAGACGCCTTGTTGCGCCCTAGTGATGCTGATGATGCACTTGGTATGTGCTGCGTGCGCCCGGCCCCCCGTTGCTTCTTCCCTTCCACTTGGCCTCCGCTCGCTTGACCGGCCGGTCCACGGGAAACGTCCGACTCCCGCAGAATCCGCTCTCTCTTCCCTGTATGGCACAACGAGAATAAATAGTGCAGCCCTATGCGGTCAACAGCCAACTGATGACCACGGCCTCGAGCCCCTGGCTCGCACCTCCCTGCAGCGCCCACCTGACGCCATGAGCACCGCGAACGCTCATACAAGCATGGTACGTCGTGTTACGGCATGTGCATGCGAAGGAAGGCTTATCAGAATTTGATACTGGACCAAGTTCACTGCCGAGTTCATGTCTACTTTCCGAGCTGGATACTCCCAATGGCAGCAGAGGAATCTCGAGGCTGCATGCTATTACTTACAGACGGAGTACTGCAACAAGAGCGGTGAGCTCCGTGTTGAATTGCACTGGGAACGTGCCTTGCTCATCATGTGCATACCTACCTGCATGTGCTGCCTGTGTCCCGCGTGCAGAGTCTGAAATGGCATCCGCCTGGCGCACACTGGAGGAAGACCAGCGCAGTCAGCTATACAACAATGCGATTAAAACGTTTATGCGCGAGTCATATGCTAGCGTCCGGCTGCTCAGTGTGCCGTCGGTGTATGCAGAGCTGGTCAAGGTGTTTGATCATGCTGTTTGGGTGAGCACCGCGGGATTGTCACTTGGCCATCTTACGCGTGATCCTTTGCGTGTTGATCGTATTCACTGACGGGGTATAGGAAGTGACAGCGAAGGAAGACTGGCTGTGATGCTGGTCATCAGCATCATGATGATGGGTAACATGGGCCGCGGCACCCTTTGATACCTTGATACTCGTGTGGCATATTCCCTCCCAACTCCGAAAAAAACCGACCGGGCAACTATCCATGCTCTGAACATTTCTCTGCTCAGTAATGGTTCTGTATTCCTCTATAAGCAACGAGATCATGTAACTGTACGTTTAGACATATACCGCTCTGGCGGATTTTCGAAACCAATGTAGCCCGCATCTGCAATAGATTCCCTTTCTGTGGATAACGCGCTCGAACCAGACGTGTCAGAGGTGCATGGCACAGCGGGATTCTGTGTGCTCCCAAGTGTAGGCGAAGACGAAGCGACTGGATTAGGGGACGATCACGCGACCTGTATCGAGAGGAATGTTGGAGCCCTTGATCGTTGACCCGTTGAGCCAGAGTGCATCGGTAGAAAGACCGTGCGAGGTGTGAAGAGGAAAGAGGCGTCCTACTAGTCGGAATGAGGTCGAAAGAGTCCTTATCGTGAGGTAGGACGGTCAGCTGAGCGGTAGAATGCGCGTGGTCATGGAGTACTGGTAGTGACAGTTCGCATAACTAGGTTAGGAGAAAGCAGCACATCTGTACGGGGACGCAAGAGACCAGAGAAGCCTGATAGAACGGCAAGTGCCGGATAGTTGATGGGTTCTAGCATAGCCTGATAGACTGATGTTGGTGACTCCAAAGTGATCAGATGCCCCGCATTCCCCGCTCGTTCGAAGACTAGGACACCCATCTTGGGAGGGTATATCAGGCAAGTTGGCCAAGAAGTACAATTGCTGGCATGCGGAGTATCATCGCGTTAACTTTCTTCAATTGCTTGGTAGGTTGATGTCCATGAGAGACGGACACGGGGTGAACGGTGTGGACGTTGACCAAACGCGTCTCCGGAGATGGACCCCTTTTGGCACTTGGACCGCGACGTCCGCCCGGAGATGCGCATTCATCTCATGCGCATATATGCCGACCTTTTTGCTGGAATGACGAGATATAAAGGGTGGAGATGGAAGGACGACGTCGGCGTATCTCCCTTCTCATCCAGCGAGTGACAATGCCCACCTACAAGAACCCAATCAGTGCGTATTCCAACCACCGCTCGACGTCTACTAACGTCTGCTAGTCCCTGGATACAACCCCGACCCCTCATGCTGCAAAGTAGGGGATACGTTCTACCTCGTCTGCTCATCCTTTCTCGCCTTCCCTGCCATCCCCATCTACGCGTCGCACGACCTCGTCAGCTGGAAACAGATCGGCAACGTCGTTACGCGCGATAGTCAGCTGGACCTCACCTCCCAGAGCGTGAACAATAACGGGGAGAGCTCCGGCGTCTGGGCTCCAACGATAAGGCACCATAATGGACTGTTCTACGTTGTTACCACACGGGTGGATATGAGCAAGCCATGGGAGGACGAGTCGCGGTAAGTGCGTATGCGAGATATATGCGCATGCTGATGGGGGCATAGCTACCAGAACCTCATCTGGACGTGTAAAGATCCGTTCAACGAGGAGTGGTCCGATGCGGTCGAGTTCGTCTTCCCTGGATTTGATACAAGCTTATTCTGGGACGACGATGGCAAGTGCTACGCACAGGGGAGTGAGTCCGGGAAGGTGCGTCGACGTCTTGCAACGCGCGTTTCATAGCTCACACTAGGCAGAGTTTCTCCCTCCGCCAAATCACCCAATACGAGATCGACGTCAAGACCGGCAAACCGCTGAGCGACAAACGCCAACTCTGGACGGGCGAAGGCGGTATCTTCCCCGAAGCGCCGCACATCTTCAAGCGGGGTGATTGGTACTACCTACTCACTGCCGAAGGTGGGACCTACATGGACCATAGCGCGATGCTTGCGCGCGCTCCTACAGTCTGGGGGCCGTACGAACGCTGCCCGTCGAACCCCGTCCTCCGCCCACCGGCGAAGGAGGAGCTCATCCAGACTGTAGGCCATGCCGACTTCTTCGAGTCCTCTCCCGGTACCTGGTGGGCCATCGCCCTCGCAACGAGGATCATCGGCCCCAACTCGCCCATGGGGAGGGAGACGGTCCTGATCCCGGGGACCTGGACTGGTGACTGGCCAGTGTGGGACCTCCCCGTCAAGAGCGTGATGGACACCCCGAACCTTCCACCGACGCAGCCCCTCGCACGTGAGGGAGCGTTCATCGCCCCCTCGCTCAACGAATTCGGCAAACCAGGAAAGTTCGCCCCGCACTGGCTCTTCCTCCGCAACCCCGTGTATAAGAACTACGATATCCTCTCCCCCTCCGAGCTCGTGCTCACCGGCACAGCTGAAACACTCTCGAGCCATGTGAAGGATACGACGTTCGTTGCTCGCCGGCAACAAGACCTCAAGTTCACCGCTTCTGTCACGCTGGCCTTCACCCCTCAAGGGAAGGAGGAAGCGGGCATTACAGTCTTCCTCGACCCTATTAGGCACTATGAAGTGTTCGTCGAATACCAGGGCATCGGGTGTCGCACAACCGTCATGGGCGCTGTAGGGCTCCAAAGCGGGGTAGCCAATTTCCTCAAGCGGGACAAGCCGCAAGTCGAGGAATTTGACGCTATCGCACCCATCCCTGACGGGGAAGTGACGTTCAAGGTCCTGGGGGAAGAGGACAAGTTCAGGTTCTTCGTTGTCCAAGGGGGGGAGGAGATCGAGGTCGCGGATGGGCCGGCGAGCGAGGTCTCGGGCGGCTTCTGTGGTACGCTTGTGGGAGTGTACGCGACGGGCAATGGTGACCCTTCGACGCCGCCGGCTAAGTTTACGAATTTCAAGTATGAACCAATTGCTTGAGCGCGTGAGTCATGCTGCAGAGTACGCTTGTTCGAAAAGAAATGTAACCGCTGGTAGTGTACTAGTAGGAAACTGGAAGGAATATGAAGTGGTTATCGTGCTATTCATTTCACAGGGACTGAATAAGCGCCCATGATTAAGATAAAGATATTTTGAGGGCTAGTCTACAGTCTAATCCCTCATGGCTACAGAATAAACAGAGGCAACGATACCCATCATCGACCTCTCCCTCCCCGCTGGCGAAATCCAGTCCTCCATTCTCTCAGCTTGTAGCGACTGGGGTTTCTTCTACCTGACGAACCACTCTCTCCCTTCCTGTCACATCGCCCAACTCTGGGAGATTGACCGCACGTTCTTCTCTTTACCACTAGAGGGAAAAGCAGCCGCGGGAGCTTGGAACGGGGAAAGAGAATGCGGGATACCGTCCTGTGCTGCCTCAAAGTTCCGAAAGAACAGTTCGACACCCGCAAATGGCTTTCCCTTCCCGGAGCCTGCCAGCAGCCGCTCCCGCCATACCTAGAAGAGAACAGAGACTTCCTAGACGAGTTTAAAAGGGAGTGTGCGGCTCTGGGATGCCGGGTGCTCGGATGCCTCGCTAGGGCATGGGGCTTGGAGGAAGAGTTCTTCGTCGGACAACATAGGTATGATGAACCGAGCATGGACAACTTCCAGCTGATGCACTGTACGCCTCCCTTTCGGAATTCTTAGTTAGAAGTCACTCACGAGAGAGCAGACGTGCCCTACACTCCCGAGTACGCGGAAAAAGACGTCTTCCGGCTCGGCGCACACACGGATTGGGGCTCTCTTACGCTCCTCTTCCAGCCCTCTCCCGGGCTTCAAGTCCGCCCCCCGCACTACGCGCACCATCTCCCTCCCTCCGCTGGCGAGCAAGGATCGACGCTCCTGTAGTTGACGGTGCCGTTCTGGTGAATGTGGGCGATTTGATGCATATCTGGACTGGGGGAGCGGTGAGGAGTACATGGCATCGGGTTAGGAAGGGAGGGGGGGATAGATACTGCGCGGCCTACTTCTTGCATCCAAATGAACGGTCGGTGAGTCCATTCTCCTCGGTGCTGGGAGTGTACTGATGCGGGACAAGATCATCGACCCCCTCCCGACGGCGGGGACGGCGCACATTCGGGAAAAGTATCCCGGGTTCCCTAAGACCGCGAAACAGCACTTGCAGGATCGCATTAAACAAGGGACCCAACAGCAGAACTCGGGCTTGTATACGAGCTGAGCCGACGATGGAAGTCCGTTGACCGAGAGCACGGGTAGGACGGAGCATCACTCAGGAAGAGACACTACCCAGTGGATTAGTGATATACGTTTTGCTTCAAACAAATGAAGATGAACTATTGCAAATAGCGTGAACGAAGCTCTAACCCAACCCCTGCCCACCAAAGACAGCCTGAGAGACTACCACCCCTCCACGTCAGCCTCGACGACTTCTACTTTCTTCTGCCCGACAACCCATGCCCTGGCCCTGATTTTCCCATCCTGGGCAACGACGACCTCTACCTCCGCCTCAGTGGTCTTCTCCGCAGACTTCTTCTTCTTCCCTTCTTGTGCGAGAACCGGGTGAGCGACGGGCAGGAGCAAAGAGCACAGGTGTGTGGAAGGCACCAAGTGCAGGGTGCGAACTTCCTCTGGCTCTTCTTCCTCTTCTTCTTCCTCTTCTTCTTCCTCGTCCTCTGGGTCTTGCTCAACCTTGGGAGGTACAATGGTCTCCACCTTGACTTCCTCCTTCCCTTCCCAGAACTCAAACCCAAGCTTGGAGATACTGGACGGCACAGGGATGCGCACTTTCCTACGCGCTGGGAGAGGGGTGCCCGCATTGATCACCTGCCAGAAAACCGGTTCCCCAGCAGAGGGGAAGACGAGTCCAATAGGCAGGGAGAGTGCCTGACCCTTGAGGATCGCTTGTTCTTCCTCTGACCCGGCACTCACCGGTGGCGGGTGGGTGACCGTCAACCGTGCGTGGAGCGCACATCCTACAGCGACGACGTTGCCGGGCGGGATAGAGTTGCTCAGCACTGTTGGCGGGTCGGGGAGCAGCGTTTGGAGGGCATCGGCGATCCCGGGCAGGGAAGCAGTGCCGCCGACGAGGATGACCTCCCCTATCTGGGTCGGGTCGACCTTTGCCTCCCCGAGGCACGCACGCACATGATCCGTCATGCGCGTATAGACTGACCGAGCGAGGAGGTCAAATCGCAGGCTATTGATACTCCCGTGGTAGTCCATCCCATCCTTGAGACTCTCGACGTCGAGCGTAGCCGAGCCCTGTGTGGCCGAGAGAGAGCGTTTTGTCAGCTCGCAGGCAGCGCGGAGTTTTGCCAGCGCGCGAAGGTCTGCAGGGGTGGTCGACGTTGGGGAGAGGGCAACACCGGATTTCTTGCTGAACTCCTTGGCGAAGTGGGATAACAGGACAGAGTCGAGCTGCTTTCCGCCGAGGGTCGAGTCCGTAGACTGGTGCAGGGCGTGCACGAGCGAGTGGTGCGAGACGGAGAGGAGGGTCGCGGTGGTTGAGGAAGCGCCGATGTCGAGCACGAGTGTGCGGCGGTCGGAAGGAACGGGGTGCGGCTCAGGGGCTGCGCTTCCGTTCGCAGCGGACTTTGTGTCGGTAGGCAAGGCGGGTGAAGCAGAGGACGGTGCGTATGCGAGCACGGCGGCGGCAGCCGGGTCCATCAGGGTAATGACGTTGATCCCTGCGTCTTTGGCTGCTTCCAGGAGTGCGTCCCTCTGCTTTACTGACCAGTCTGAAGGACAGGAGAGAACGGCGCCCTTGATGATCCTGTGGCTGAGGAAGTCCTGTGCGGACTGGAGGAGAGAGCGTAGGAAGAGGACAGTCACTTCCCGTACTGTGAGCGTCTTCTCCTGCGCCTCTCCCTCCGGCTCAGGAGTAACAGAGACCACGTAAGTCGGCACGCCATCCACATCCTTCAGCTGGGCGCTGAGCGGTGACTGCTCCCCGATCTCGGAGAAGGAAAGACCGAGGAAGTTCCGGAAGGCAAGGATCGTGTTCCCGCTGTTCTTGACCAACTGGGGAAGCGCCTGGTTACCAATGTACGTCTCTGACCCAAGGAAGGAGACTGCACATGCTATTTGTCGTTCGCCGTCCTCGTTGGCTATCGTATCCGCGCGGCCTTCCTGTGTGCGCCCCGAAATGTCAGTAACTACTACGCAGGAGAAGGTAACAGCAGAGGCACCTTGTTGATCACTGCAATGCTCGCATAAGCATTCCCAAAGTTGATACCAATCACACTGTGTGCTTCTTCATTCGCGATCGCAGCTGCAGTCGCCGGTGTCGCAGCTCCGTTCGCAAGCCCAGGAGGAGGAGAGATAGGGTTCGACATGGTCGTTCGTGTCGTAGTCAATGAACGAAGTAAGAACTCAATTACAAGTATAAGTGCCCTCTAGAGGCTTTTATTCTCAACTTGAATCTCTTGAAATTGCCGTCCAAACTATGCAAAAGGTCGAGGAGAAGTTGTTAATGCGCGCCTATCCTTTTTTCTGAAAGAGTTATAAACTTGTCACAAGTAGAACGGAATCAAATTAAGGGGAATTTAGCACAGCCACTAGGGGACACCGACGATCAGAGCGGAACGAGTCGGACAGCGAAGGGGAAGGAAAGGGTGATGACAAGTGTTAAGGAGACGACGGCGAAGGCGACAAACTTCTTTCCTTTCTACCATCATCTGCTCGCGGACATCCCGGAGCGCAGCTAGGACACGCTGATACATACAACTTGTCATTTCTCGAGGGACTTGCGACGAGCTACAACTGCAGCTGACAGCGAGGTGCACACCATGTCCTTCCCTCAGTCTATCCCGCCCATGGATGCGCAGGAGACGTACGTCCAAAAAGGTTGGAGGAAATGCAAAGAGCAGCCTATAGTGCCTCTCGGTATGTCCCTATCTCAACCCTTTGAGCACCCCTCACCCTCATCCGCAGGCGTCGTACTCACGTGCATGGCTTTCCTCGGAGCGACACGCTCCATGCGCACGGGGAACAAAGCCTCCTTCAACCGCTATCTCCGATTCCGCGTCGTAGCGCAAGGCGTCACCGTCCTAGGGTGCGTCGCCGGTGCCTGGTGGATCGGCCGCGAAGCCCGGCTGGAAGGGATGAAGTTGGAGCGAGAAGCTGCCAAGCGCGGGGAACGAAGGATGCGTGAAGGGGACTTTGATGATGGGCTCAGGGAGAGATTGAAGCAGGCAGAAAAAGTTTGGAAAGCGGAGGATGAGGCGGATCAGAGGATCCCGATCGTTATGCCCTCTACGGGAGCGGCGGCGAAGACGGGGGCGATACCGGTTTCCCCGACGCTGACGGTGGAGAAGACGTCGGCGGAGACGAATGCTGCTATCGCTCGCGCGAGGGAGACACCCGCGGAGTTGAAGTCGAAGGAGGTCGCCCAGGCGCCGATGAAGATTGGGGACTTGTTGACTTCTGAACAGCTGAAGGAACGTATGGAACGCCGTGCGAAGAAGACGTTGGGAAAGGATGAGGAGGAGAAGGAGGAGAAGCAGGTGTAGAGGTAAAAACATGGAATGACCATTCTCTTGGGATACAATCCTCAGAGCACCGTCTGTTGTAGCATTACCTTTTACTTACTCAGAAGACACTCCTCTCACCATGTTCATATCTTTACACAATATGCACACAATACACACGACATACAGACACGACGCAATCATGCGTACATACTAGTAGAGTCTAAATGGGGTATACTTGCATTACGCCACGCCTGCGCTCCTACAGCACTAAAATAAGCCCAAGCGAGCCGGGCTGGCACACAATCAGTGCCAGAGAGCGGAGGAGAGAGCGGAGGACACACGCCGCCCCTCTCAGGGACAGTACGTGGTGAGAGGACCGATGGTCGGGAGGGGGTGAGGAGAGGATCACTGCTTGCGGGTATACATCGGTATCCCGCCCTCGCCCTGCTTCGCTTTCTCCGTCTTGCTCTGGTTTTGCTTTGCGATGGCGTACACGACGCCTGCGAGAAACCCCGTTGTCACGCCGCTTACGGAGCCTAGGGTGACGGCGTCGCCGAAGAAAATCATGCCTGATGCCGCGACAGGGAGTTTGTTGAGCGCGCCGACCATGCTGGCATAGGTTAGCAAGGGAGGGACAAGAGAATAGGGGAGAGAGGCACCTGTAGGTCGTGCTGCTCGTGACGCGGACACACCAGGCGGTGGTGTACGAAATGAGCACCGCGACTCCGCCTGAGAGGACCATAGCGAACAGAAGGAAGTTGCGGCTCTCTGGGGGGCTACACGACTCAGAGCATGTCCGGGGTGGCAAGGAGAAGGGGACTCACAAGTTCAGAGTGAGGTTCTCCGACGTCCACCGTTCTACCAGCAAGGAAAAGACGATTAGAACCGGGATAGAGAGCAGGTTATTGTAGAACATCGAGTCCCAGTCCTTGAACCCCGTGGCCTTGATCCGCTTGCGCATCCCAAGGACATACGCTGCACTCGCGAGGCAGTTGAGGAACATCCACAGGTAGCCAAGGTTCACAGGCACGCTACCGACAGCGGCGATCCCTTCTGGCAGAGGGGTGCCAGAGGTCTGGTCAATAGGTGACCACACGCCCGTGAGCGCGTTGATCGTGTTCGTAATATCAGACCAGGCGGCGATGATAGAGGAGAGGACCATGAGGAAGAATGAGACGAGCGTGAGACCAGTGACGTGCCCGCCGAACCAGAGGACTTCGCCATATGCCTACGGTCCCATCAATGGGAGATCATAAACCTAATGGTGAATGACGCACAATGAGGATAATAGTCAGATTCTTGAAGATGGTATACACAGGTATGGTCAGGAATTGCTGTACAGAATGAGCATTTTCTCGGATCCCCCAATCACGGGCTCACCAAGCTCTTGGACCCAGTGTAGATGACTACGACGAGGGCAAAGCTGATCGGGAACCAGTTCTTCGCGTCCTTCATATCAAAATCGCGGAAGGATATTACCCCTGTGCGCTTGAGCGTCGCTACGACTGAAACGCAGACGATGGACTGGATGGCGAGGAGGAGGAAGTTCATGGAGAAATGTCGGCCGGAGAGGACGTACTGCGTTGTGTGGGCGTCAGATGCGCTCTGGAGGGGAGAGAGGGAAGGACGTACTTTGTTCACGACGGTCATGAGGATTGATGAGCAACAGTAGGAAAGGATGGGGAACACTAGGGGATCGTCAGCCCTTCATCCCAATACCTCCAGAGGAACCTCCAGAGCAAGCACCTATATATGTAGCACTTCCACGGCCAACAGCCATACCCAACTCCAATTGCAAATACACAAGAGAAGCACGCAACTCACCAGGATTCGTCGCTTTCTCACCAACACTGCCAGGCCTCTTCTCCTCCTCCTTAGTAGGCACAGGCTTATACTCCACCGCAGGACTTTTCTGGTCTGCCATCTAGCTGTATACGAGCGCGTCGGTGTGGTGGGTACGTGTGTGTGTGTGGGGGGGGATGGGGATGTATGCGTCTATTTGAATCGTCGGTGAATTTTGGTAAGGATGGCGCACTACCGGGAGGGGAGGTTGGGTCAAGGGAGGCTCGCGGTCGGCTTTGAGGTAAGGGCGGTATATGCGGGGTGAACGGACAAGCGCAGAGGAGAAACAAGGGCGATGCTTGATGATCTTGCACAAGAACGAACCTTAGCGCTAGAGTCAAATTGCGACCGTGACAGTTAGGTGATGACGCCGTACGAGTCGGGGTGGTGGTTGGTGTCTAAGCAGCAACAGGAGGGAAGGGACGATGAGGAGGGGGGTGGTGGTGGTGGGGAGGAGGAGGATGAGCGTTGTTGACGCCTACCAAGCGTACAAGGAACGATAAAATGACAACGACTGAGCCAATAGAGCGTGCGATGTCATTCGCTGTGCATAGACCCTTATTTTTTAATGGAGGCAAAATAAGTCCTTTCCCGCTAATGGCGGAGATTAGATTAAGGTCCACATCACTCTTCCATTGTCAAATATGGACGTAATACCCGTCTGGACTAGTATTCTTTTAGTAAAAACTAGCACAAGACGTACAACGCATAACGCATAACATAAGTCCAGCCAACCGAACGCGAACAAGGAAATAAAAATATGTACAAAAACCCTCCCCCTCATGGAATTTTTAATGACATCCACCCACCCCCGCAGCTCACATCAAATCAAACCACCAAATGACCAAAAACGCGATACCCGCCGTGATCGCAAACAGGAGCACCGTCGTGCCCATCATCGCCGCAAGGAGCCACCAAGGCGCCTGTTCTTCCTGGTTGTTGTTCATCTTCGCCGGGTCAAGCCCAACGCGTATCGCCAGATCTCTCCTCTGTTTCTCCTGTTCCCTAACAACCCTGCGCTGATAAATCAGTGCACGCGGGTCCCCGCCAGGCGCGGTGGGAGATATGGAGGCACTGCCGTCTTTCGAACCCGAGACGAGGGAGATGAATGACGGGTAGTGATGCTCGCACCATTGCTCGATCTTACCGCACGCGACGGAGATCTTGAGGTAGTTCGGGTCCTGAGGGAGGGACTTGGCGTGGATGCGTCTGCCAAAATCGCGGAAGACGTAGGCGACGTCCCTCGGGTTGGTCGCTTTCTGCATGAGCTAGAAGCGGGAGGGGGTTAGGGAAGAGAGGGAGGGGAGGCAGAAGGGGACGGGACGCACCTGCACTGTCTGCCCACGCCGGATCTTCACGTTCCGCTGTAAGACCTCTGGGTTCCCGTAGCACAGTGCCAGGGTAGCGATAGCCATGACCTGAGGGATAGCGACAAAGTTGAACACGCTCTGGTTCTTCAGCATCGTAAGATAGTCCAGGGAGTCGACCGAATGCCTGAGCGCATCGAGCACCATCCCGTTCAGGGCGAAGACGGCTTGTTGTTCCTTCTCACGTTCTTTAAGCTCCTTAATATCGGCAAACCCGAACTTTCCCCAGATCTCGCGCGGCCAGAAGAACCTCCCGTCGTCCACGTCCTCCCTGTAGTCCCTAGTGATGTTCGTCTTCTGCAGGAAGAGACCGCAGGAGTTGCTCAGCTCCAGCTGGTCGGCAATCCATTCCTGCTCCTTGCCCGTAGCGGCAAAAAGCCGGGAAAGCCCTTCACCAACAAGGCCGGCAACACAGTGACAGTACAAGTCGTACTCCTCGATCGTCTCGACGTAGAAAGAGCGTCCAGGGGAAACGCGATCGCAGAAATCGGCCATGCCCTTGCCAGTCTTTTTCGTAATATCCCGAATGACCTCGAAGCACCTACACCGCCGCTGTGTCAGCAAGGGATTTCCCACGTGCACGCGGGGGCGGGCGCGGACTCACGACTTGGGAATCCGAGCAAGCTCCTGGATGACGACGTCAAAGTGCACGCAAACGTCCCGATCCTTCTCCGGCCCGTTGCCTGTAAAATTCCACCCTTCCTCGTCCAATCGCTTGTAAAAGTCGCGCAGGAGAGGCTGCTTCACTTCCACGGGGATGGTCATGTCATCTTCGATCGTGTCCAGGGCGCGGAGGGTCAAGTAAAACAGGCAGATCTTCGTGACCCTATGTCAGCGGCTAAACCAAAGAAAGTGTAAGAAAAGACTGACGATCCTAGCGAGGTCCCCTTGGAGGTTCTTAATCACTACTGCAAATGACCTGCTGGTCATATCCAGATATGCCCAGCAAGTGCGCATGCTCTCCCTGTCCCAGCCTGTGGAAGCGAGTTCCTTGGGATCTGAGAGCTCGCGGTTGTCTGTCCATACCCAGTACTGTGCAAGAGCGCGGAGCTCATTTGGGTGACGAAAGAGAAGGTAGAGGAGTTCTGTTGCTTTAGGCATTGTTTGCTGTGACTAGGAGATGACGAGGAGGGGGGATGGAGGAGGGGAAGAAGAGGAAGAAGAAGGGAGGTTGGGTATTTCTGCCCCGGACAAGACCCTTTCTTGTGGAGGAAAGACGTGTCTATGAGAACTTGATGGAAGAGCACAGCCACTTACAGGACCGCAGAATATATAAACTGAAAGGCAAGTGAGGAGGGAAAAGAGCACTTTGGTTAAGGGCATATTTATATCCATACAGGAGATAAGGCACAAAAGGTAAGGGGAAAATGTATGCGGCACCGTACTCATTCACCGACGTTCACTTCAGGAGACCCACCATCATCCCCACGAAAGAAATATCATGGACACTCCACTCCCCGCACCAGTCAGGATCGACATCCTCTCTTCCTCTTCTGTCTCTTCCCAAGAGGCAGCCCAGCAATTAGACACGTTCTTAGGGGGTTATAGGGGGAGAGCGGAGATTGGAGATGTCCTCCTTGGGCAGTTGGAGAAGCTTGCAGGAGCGCTGAAGGGGGAATGAAGTACTCGGGGATGTTTATCTCTTTTTGGTGAAGTCGGATGGTATTCAGTTCTGGAGTTGTCGCTGCAGCTGCTGTGAATGGACGGTGAGGTCGGTGTGGGAGAAGTTGATAGACTCTGACTGACAAGAATATCCTCGGCACCGGGAGCCGTTGATAACGACAGGAACAATTTCATTCTTTTCATTGTTGTAAATATCTACAAATTATACATTTACCATGAATATCTATACTACAAGGAAAATATCATTTTCTTTTCTTCACTTTTCTACAATTCGCAATGTTAATTTCCTTCGATGAAGCAAATGGTCACGGAGAAACTCAAAGGGACTGCGCAGGCTGTGTCCGTCTCCGTTCCACCTCGTCCTCGTCGTCCTCGTCGTCGCCGTCGCGCACCTCCTTCCTGCCATTCCCGTCCACTCGCTATCCATCTCCAACCAAGCATCATGTCCCGCTTCGTCCGTCCGTCCAAATACCGGTCAGTCCACTCACTCACAAACGTCGTACGCCTCATATATGCGCATATAGACACGTCTTTGGCCAGCCTGGAAAGAAAGAATATGGGCTCGAGAACGTCAAAGTGTCCAACTCTGCCTGGGATACAAACATGATCGATGCATCTGCTGTACGTCCTCGCTGCCCAGACGCGCTCAGTACATACTCACAACCCACAGAAATATCTTTCAATCAACTGGAACGCTTCTGGCGGAGGGGCGTTCGCCATCCTCCCCCTCCCCTCGCCCTTCGCGCCTCTCCCATTCAACCTCCACACCAAGCTGCCGGACATCATCCCCCTCGCCCGGGGACACAGTGCGCCTGTGCTAGATACCGCTTGGTCCCCGCACGACGACAGTGTCGTCGCGTCTGCGGGAGAGGACGGGCGGATCGTTATCTGGAAAGTAGAAGAGGGGATGTTCGAAGGCTGGGGAGGGGACAAATGGGAGCCGGTCGACTTCTCGCCCTCAGCGCGTATCCAGGGTTCTGGGAGGAAAGTCGGCCAGGTGCTCTTCCACCCCACTGCTGCCCAGGTAATTGCTTCTGCTGCCGGGGACCACCTGGTGAGGCTGTACGACCTCGGGAGCGCGGACGAGCCCAAGCAGGTGCTGCAAGGACACACGGATACCATCCAGAGCCTGGCGTGGAACCCGACTGGCAGTTTGCTGGTAACGACCTGCCGAGACCGGAAGGTGCGGCTATACGACCCCCGGGCGTCGGCTGAGCCCGTGCGGTCCGCGGACGGGCATCCGGGCGTGAAGGGCGCAAGGGTGGCGTGGATGGGCGATTTGGACAGGTTTGCGACCACCGGGTTTAGCAGGATGAGTGATCGGCAGGTTGGAGTGTGGGACGTCGGGGAGTTTAAGACGGAAAAGATGACTAGTGTGGACCAGAGCAGTGGGGTGTTGATGCCTTTCTGGAGCGATAATAATATCCTTTTCCTCGGTACGTTCCCTCCTCCTTCCTACCTTCCTTCTCCCTACACAGTGGCTAACACCCCACAGCCGGGAAAGGAGACGGCAACGTCAGGTACTACGAATACGAGACCGGGCAGCTCTTCCCCTTGTCGGAATACAAGTCCTCCGACCCGCAGAGGGGAATGTGTTTCCTCCCCCGGCGCGCGCTGAACGTGTACGAGAACGAGATCGCGAGGGCGTACAAGGTCGTCAGTTCTGGCGTTGAGCCCGTAGCGTTTATCTGTCCTAGGAAGGTGCCCTCTGTCCTCCTAGCATCTCCCTCTCCGCATCTCACTGACACTCCCACCCGCAGGCCGACGCATTCCAAGCAGACATCTACCCTCCCGCACCCTCCTCCTCCCCCTCCCTCACAGCCGGCGAGTACTTCACGAGCTCCAAGCCCCTGACGCGGAAAGTTGTCGACCTCGAGTCTGGCTCTGTCTCCCACGCGAGTACGCCAGGGAAGAGCGTTTCCCTTCCCCCGCCTAGCACTCCTGCGGCACCCCAGCAACAGGCGAGAAAGTCCACCGCTCCCGCGCCGGTCAACGTCACCCCCGCCCCGCCGCCAACAGTCACCGTCGCTGCCCCTGCTCCCAAACCCGAGCCCCAGCCCCAGACAACCCCAGCCCCCATGCGCAGCCCAGTCCAACCCAGCCCAACGCGTATCGAGCCCTCCCGCTCGGACAGCTTCAGGATCCTCACTCCCAAACCTCAGTCGCTCGAGCTCGCAGACATCTCCGAGCCTATAGAGCACGTCGATAGTCCGGATATTGACGTTCCTGAGTCGGCTACGAGGATGGGCACGATCACCGCCATTGGTGCTGGTGCCGGCGCCGGTGCGGGTGGGCCGGACGGAGTCAGAGTGGAGAACGAGAGGCTTAAGAAGGAGTTGGCGGATGCGCAGAGTCAGATTAGGGAGCTCCAGATCCAGCTTGATGGGATGAAGGAAGCGCAGAAAGCGGCGAGGGCGTTGTTGCTCGGCTGAACGGGCGAACGTGGGAGTCGTTGGACGAAGTTTCATCGTGAATGTTGCTCATGTGCTGTGCTGTGATGTTGACTTTTACCCTTATGAAAAGGAACGCTGTAACGCGGTTGAATTCATGTTTCTTTCCTTGCTTGTGTTGCGTGGAATGTGTGCATGTGTGTCATTAAATAAACGGAGAATAAAGGCGTCGTTAGGAACGCAGCGGGCTATAGACGACAACGAGTGGAAGAACAAGAATTATGCACGGGAAAGGTTACAGTAATACAACGAGGACATGAATAAACCGGACTGGAAGAGAACGAACCTCCTTTCCACAGATCAACCCACCTAAACACACAGCCATGCTACAAGGTCATTTCCCGCTCATTTCTTCGCAACTGCAGAACTTTCAAGCACGGCGTAAGTGCCCACAGGAAGAGACTCACCCTTAGCTTTCTTCGCCTCTCCCCCACCTCCATCTCCCTCCTCATCCTCGGCCTTCCTCTTCGCTAACCTACCTTTCTTCTTCGGCTCTTCGTCCGCTTTTGGTAGCCCGGCCGACTTCTTCGCACCGGGGAGGGGGAGGACGTCCTCGAACTCGTTCGCACACTTAGGGCAGAACCACTGTCCCTCGGGGATACTCTTCAGCGGCGGGTCGAGGCAGCCCAAATGATAAGGCGTATCACACTTCTCGCACTCGAGCGCTTCCTCCCCGCTCGCTTCCCGGTCTTCGTTACACACCACACAGAGATTCGGGGCAGGGACAGCGTCGGGAAACCTAGGGAGGTCAAGCAACGCCTCGTTCGGCCGGGCGAGGAAGAAACTGGTGTTCTGTCCAGCGGCAAGGGCAAACACGTCGATTCCGTTGAGTGTTTCCATACGCACGGGCTTGGGAGTGGACTTTGGCTGCCCTTCACCTAGTCCGAGCTCGGAGTTGATCGCATTCTGCCCCCAGGCAATCGTCATTACGCCTCCTGGGCCAGCGTCCTCGTCCACGGCGGTGGCGAAATGGGTCACACCACCCGCAGCGGCTAGGAGGACCTTGCACCCTCTGGAGACGCATTAGCATGCAGCATCGCATAGGAGACACCCGCTCAGGGGGGAGGGAAGACGCACTGAATCTCAGGGAAATACCTGAACGTGCTAAATGGCTGCCCGACGCTGCCCGCTCCGCTCGTCTTAAACTTTCCCGCCATCTGGAGCATCTTCTGACGATCGATAACGATCGTGCTCGTCGGTCCCGCAGCTACGAATGCGGCGCGCATAAGGACGTTCGGGCCGGCATATTGAGGTACCAGGGTGGGAATAAGCATGTCCTTCGGATGGCCAAGGCCGAGCCGGCAGTAACCGTTGAAGCCCCAGACGTAGACCAGTCCGTCCGATGTCAGGGCTATCGCGTGCTGTTGTCCACAGGCGACCTGGGTGGTCACCTTGTCTTCGAGAGGACCCCTGACCGGTACTGCTCCCACATGCTTCAGTCATTTTGCACAATACAAGGCGATCGACGTACTAGGTTCATCCTCAATGTCGTACGTCGTCTTGTTTGCCTGGGCGATCCGCTCCCCTGTCCGTCCGTTCGCGAGCTGCCCGTGCTCTCCGCTGCCGAACGCATACACCTTCCCGTTCTCAGTCAGAACGAGGGTGAAATTGACTCCCGCAGCTATGCACCGCGCGTCAGCTAACCAATTCTCCGCAAAACACGGGTACTCACAAGCTTGGACTGCTTTCTCTCCGACTTTGGCCCTCGCCCACCCACCGGTGATGAGCTTCCACGTACCCATCTCTCCCCCCGCAGGATGCCCACACTGCCCATGCGCATTGAGCCCCGCGGTCCAGACGCTCCCCTCGTCCCCTACGAGCACGCTATGTGCGCGCCCACAAGCCGCATATACGAACTTTGTACCAGGGGCAGCACCGACGTCGGTCGGGAGTAAGCGGAGGGGGGTGTACTGGGAGATGAAGGGGCGGGAGGTGTGTGGGACGCCTAGGCAGGACGAGGTATTTCGCCCGAAGAGGTAGGCAGCGCCGGCGACTAGCGACGCGTTTTAGCGGACGCGTGCGGATAGCAAGAGACGGCACATACCATCGAGAACGATCACGTGGCATCCTGAGTGAGAGGTGTATACTCCAGTAGCTTTGACGTTGGACAGTGAGCGAAGCGTGTGGGGCAAGGGCAAGTCGGGACTGGTGTGATGAGGACGGAACGCGCAGAGAGACGCGAAGAACGTACTATTCTGGATCAGCGGGAAGGCCCTTCTTCCCTAGAGCGAGCCTAGCATATACGCGTCAAATTTCGCATGTTGAGTAAGAAAGAGACGCGTACCAGTTTGTACCACCACAAAGGAGGACTGCGAAGAATTGATGTTCAATGTTAGTGATGATGGTGGTAGGAGAAAGAGAAGTGCGGTGGCAGGGATGATTGATAACATTAATTGAGATGACTGACCTCTTCCCCACTTCTCCTTCTCCGTTTGGTCCGGTGCAGCGGCGGAGTCTGTCATTCCGCCCGGGTTGTGATAGGAAAGCACGACCCAGAAAGGAAATGACACGTATTGTATTGTCAATATACCCTTTTAGGCAGTTATGACAATGATATCCGCGTTTCCGTTATTGTACCGGGGGAAAACAACAGGAATTGTTGTTTGTTTATCGTCCAGAGTGAATGGGCGCAACAACAGCGACAACAAGAGCGAGAACAGCAACAGCGGAACGGCCGCAAATCATGTTCGGGGTCCTAGGGGATAGATGGACAATATTCAACGTAACAATGCAACAATAATACACCATATTTGGCATAGAAATACACGCTTTTGGGCAATGTGTGGGGCAAAACGGTAACCGAGAGGCGGGGAAAATACATATGCAAAAGGGTAAGGGATGCTCATCCCTCCCTGCCCTATATCTTCCCGTCTCGGCCAGGGGTGACAGATGTCCATCGGCGTTACTTTATAGGCTGCTGAACGTGACACTGGTTTGCCTCGGCGAAGAGTATCTCCCAGAGGCGTGACACACGCATAAAATGTGTCATTTCAACTACGATTAAACAGCAGGTACAGTATCATTTCTGGAAGTGGAGCGTAGAAAAAAAAGACAGCGATCCACAAGTGGTGGGCGACTGGAAGAGACTCGTCAAGCTCTTGCTGGCCGTCCTTTGGATCGAGCTGACTGAGATGTAAAGAACAGTGAGAGAAACAGTATCAACAATTCACAGGTAGCGATATATCTCCATATCTCCAGATGACATCATGCTGGTCCCCTTTCTGGCCTTCTCACCTCCTCATTTAATACCGATCCATCACCAGTAGTCACTCGCCTCATGTGGAGGGAAGGCGTCCTCAGGCTCAGTCAGATGGACAACATGATCCAAATGAGTGGTATACCGCTGCTCGCTTGGGAAGGACAGACCGATCTGGTGGAAGTTTTGGGGAATCGATTCGTAAGGATACGAGGGGTAAGCATAGTAGCCGTTCTGGTTGCTGACAGGGAGATACCCTGGGGCATACGAGGGTTCGACAGGCAGGTACGAAGGTCCAGAGACGCTAGAGCTACCAGAGGGGAAGGGTTCGTGCAGGTACTGGCTAACAGGTGACACAGTGCGCCTGTTCGGGTCGTACTGCTCATCGTCGAAGTTAGGTACAGTCGATCGTTGCCCTTGTACACGCTCGTCAGACAGGTGAGATGCGTTCGGGAACTCGTTTTTGCCATTATCTCCTTGTGCGTCGTCGTCCGTCTCTCCCTCAGCATCATGGTCCGTTTCCCCTTCAGCATCATGGTCCGTTTCTCCTTCAGCATCATGGTCTGTTTCCCCTTCAGCGTCCTCGTCAGATTCCTCAATCGGATCATCATTTGTTTCCTCGATCGGATCATCATCGTACATCGCATGATCTTCCTGAGGGACATATGTGAGCCCTCGTCCACCGTCTTCGTCCGCATTCTGTGATAATCGAAGAATTGGACGATATCCGTTCAGCTGAGAAGGAGCGAAAGCTGTGGGCGGGAGCATCAGTCCATGATCGCTGCTGGGCTCGCGCATCAGTTCGGGGGTGGCATCATTGAGAACAGTTGCAAAAAAGCGATTAATCGAGCTCTCTGACGCCCTTTTCAGGTTATCCGCTTGGACAATGCGGGACATCTGCGGTTCGGCAATCATGCCCTTCATTTCCTGGACGACAACCTGCCGTAACTCCAGTTCTTGCATCGTAGGGGTAATAACAGAATCCTGGTCCTGGAGCGAAACGATCATGGAGTTGTCTGGATGGATCGATTGTCCTGAAAGCTTGAATATACCTGTCATGGCCTTGCTGACAGCCTGCATCAATGGCAGGTCGGACTCAGTATCGGAGATGTCCATATCAAACCCTTCGCTATCTTTGCTCTCAACATGAACTCCGTGCAAAGATGCATCCATTTCGTTGCTGCAGGCTCTTTGGTTGTCAACCTCCCCTGAAGCAGCTTCCTTACGCGGAGGGTTGACGGGTTCCTCGTCCGGTGCGAGAGCAAGCTCTCGTGCCCCAGGAGGGGGATCATCATGTGAGCCGATACACACTGTTCAACCTTTAGCGTATGCCGTCGCAGTCTAAAGTAGAACATACCGAAACCACACTGATCCCACTGCAGCCATATCTGTTGGACGGTCACATTTAGAAATTGCCTGAAACCGGCGGAAATGACGTACAATGAGATCCACACTTGTGCTAATAATGGCGCTCTGTCCATGTTCCAGAGCCATTTGCGGCCGCTTGACTTTCGGCCCATTCGCGGCCTTGGGAGCCTTGCGCGGGGTTTGGCGTTTGGCTTTTGTCTTCGTCTTGATAGCGCCTTTGACCTTCGTGGTCGGGCCCACGATTTTGCTCTTGGGGCCACTCTTCACAATACTGCTTTTGCTCTTCTTTGGCTTGCCCATTCCCGACACGTTCTTCTCTGTTTTCAGGCTCTTCTTCCCCTTATTCGTCCTTTTGATACGTTTTGGGGTGCTGCTAGTGATGGGGTGGCTTCCTGACGTAGGCATTAGTTCAGTTTCTGTTTGCTGAAGCGTCTCAATTCCAACGTCAACCGTGGAGTCATTCGGCTCAGTTTGGATTTCTTCAGCGCTATTTGTCACTTCCACCGGAGCCACTTTCACTTCCCGGACTGACGGTTCTACTGACGCGATATCTTCATTGTGGACGATTTTCTGTACGAACTTCCCACTCTTCGTCATCACTATTACTTTCTTTACTGCCGACTTTCTGGGGGTCTTCGGTTTCTTAGGCGGGTTCTTCAAGTCGAAACGGATAAGGACAGGTGAGCGCAACGCAAGAAGCGCGACTTGATCACCAGCCCGCAGCAAAAACTTGTCAAATATCAATGACACGTGGCCGTTTAATTTCAAAAAAATGCGTACTTTGCACTCTCGCCCAGAAGAACCGAGTACAGTCGTCAACGTGTAGAACAATCTTGGACTGTGATCCAAGACCGCCATCCTGTTCAGCAGATTCATCGCGTCGACAGCTGCAGACGGTGTACTGCCCCAAGCTTGTACCCCGCACTCGTTTGCGTACAACTCGTTCCAAGTTGCCCGATAACAGAACCATGCCGGGACGTCATCTCTGTCTACGATAGCTTCAGCATTATTCAATCGTCCCATTCTCTTGTTACTTACAAATGAAGGATGTGTTAGGTATAAAGCCACGAACCATCGGAAGAGGGTCTCCAAGGAACCGTTGGAGAATGTAATCTGGGGCCGGAAAGGTTTGTTCACGTAAATGGACGCTATTTGGTTGCCAAGTTAGACTCCCAATATCGACTGTGTTATCGTAGATAGAGGCTGCTTCGAGAATGTATCCACCCCTCGTGATGTCAATCGTGGTGTTGAACACTCCTCCTTTGGTTGGATTGAGCCAGTCGCTTGCACAGTGCCATGATTTCTTCGTAATTGATTAGGCGGCGTCTCACAAAGAGAAGTGAATCGACTAACCATGTCGTTGCCACACTTCATGCATGTCCATTTGAACAATCTGCTTCTGTATGTCGCCAACCCACAATGACGACACACAGAAGTCCCGAACAAGACTGAGGCCATATCTGCAGAATGTTGTGCATTCTGTTCTGCGGACACCACGGCGGGTTCAAGCAACGCATGGGACTCCCTCGCTATCATTATCCCTGTGAACATCCCGTTGTCATGATCCGGTGTCAAGGGAGGACAAGGCTCGTCCCCCGTAATCTCGGGGGTCATCCACCACGGCGGTCGCGAGTTAGTGCCTTCGTCCCATTCAAATACGAACTTCAGGGCGGTTTCTTTAATCGGGTCCGCATCTTTTGCCATAAATACCTATGTTATTGATTTAATATACAGCTTGGTAACAATGAAAATCCTTACGTTCTTGATTGTGTATGACCCCAAAAGGGCGTATGTCTTCTCTAAATGAAATGGAAGGAGATCAAAATCACTCTTGACGAGAAGATCCACGCTATGTTTGGAATACCAAGTATTAAGAAGTCCTGCTTGGTCAATATTCAGGCGTGCCTTCATGCGAACGACAGATGGAAGGCTTCCTGAAACCTCCTCTCAGTAATGAAAATGGCATAGAGTCAAGTACCATTACGGCGGCCCTTTTTCTTGCTATTGCGTTTCGTTTGCTGTTCAAACTGCAAACGTCGTCGACTGTAAGAATTAGTTAATATTTTTTGGACAAGTACAGATATAAGAGAAGCGAACACTGTGATGGTTAGCGTTTTGCCTGCCCAACTGGAATCAGGACCCGTTCTCCCCTCGAGAACCAGCGCAGTGGCGGAATACCCGGCGAGATCCCGCGATCCCAGTTTTGTACCCGATCGTGTCTTGCCGTAAGCAGGAGATTCGAGGAGACTGACCCAAGAGTCGAACCAGATACTCGGTGGTGCGTGTGGAAGTGGCCGGTCGACATTCGTAGCGGATTTTCTGCCCGACGGTCGAGCAGATTTGCCGAGCTTAATGAACCCGTGAGTCCAACGTTCGGACATGGTTCGGCGTGTGGAAGCAATCCGCGCTTTCACCAAGTTTCTCACTGTGCATATGCGTAAGACGTGGGCCACAGAAGCAAAAAAAGACTGACTCGGCGGATAAGGGACCCATTCAGACCACGTAGGCACTGTGCGCGGCTCTTCAACTTGCGGCAGTTCAACAATCGCTTTCGCCTTCTTCTGAGGTTGACTGAGAAGTTTTGACGCATCCTCCTCAAGCTGGCGTTTCGCGCAAAAAGCTCTTCTGATAGGATTCGGCCCCACTCGGACGGGGGGAGTGGGAATGTCGGGTTCATCCAGAGACTCCGCTTTAACGCTGGACATCTGCTGATCGAGATCATTCCATTCCCAACGAGGATCCTTCTTGTATTGTGAATGTATCCTCTTCTCTGCTTCTTTCGCAGCCTGCCGCTGCGGCACCACCACCGGCCATTTTGCGTTTGGGGAAGAGGCCTCCTCAGCACGCGAGGCGTCGATTAAAGGTATAGTCGGTGGACTGACGTGGGCGGTGTCGATGGAGCTATGGAAAGTCTCAAAACCAATCGGATCGGACCCTTGTCGGTCTCCAATTAATGACGCCCGAGATGCTGCAGTCTCATACGATGACATTTGGAGCGGGTCACTACCTGAAAGAGGGGAGGAGCCTTGTTGGTCCTTCGGGATCAGAGCAGATTTCTTTGGTATCCTGTAGCGAGGGACGGTTTGCCCTGGTAGAGGAGGTACGATAAAATCGCCAGGCGTAGGTGGAGGAACGTCGATGTGATTCTGTTCGACAGGCGCGACTATGACGGGTGTAGTCGAATCTTTATCTGAACTTGAACGGTTTGATAGGTATCGCGCCATCAAATTATTCACTGAGCCATTCTTAGGTACTTTGGAGGATGATTTCTTCGAAGATGACGGGATGCGTTTCTGCCCGTCTGGGTTGTTTGACGGTGTTCGCAGGTTGGCACTGGCAGCATTCAACCCATTGCTGTGTACGACGGCAGGTTCAGATATCAAGGTGTTTTGTTGTTGTGCAAGTGAAGGGGCTACTAAATCTCCTTGATCGGGCTTGTTGGGATCCTCGTCTGAAAGCTCCGCTGAAGGAATGGACGAGAGTGGCGACCAAGCTCTTGAAGGGATAGCTACAGAGTCATCTCGGAGTAAAGAAGTGTCGCTGCCGGGTCCAGTACGACAGCTCGCCGATGATCCTGAGCTGACCGGAGGTCGATTTTGTTGCATGGCTTCATTTTCCGGTTCTTCCATGGCAAGCGCGTCTGGAGGTGCAGGAATTGAAGGGGCGGAGGCGCCTGTATGTACGTAAGTTATCCTCAAATTGCGGGAACAGAAATCCTGTCCCGCGCCGGACAAGCTTCTTCCGCCGACGATCGGGGTTGGCGGATCGAACCTTGGAAGGTGATTTCCAAATGGGTTTGAAAACTATAGATGTTGTTGGGAGATGTTATATATCGGATGGTCCTTTGTTGCGTTCTGTTAAAGCACTTCTCTTATTGATGTTGCTGGAACTAGCACTCAACACCGTGAAAACAAACCCTCCTGACTGTGAACATAGTCGCCCAATATCTTATGGGGATATGTGAGGGAACACATTCATGCATGCCAGAATCATGGCAATTTCTTGATATTGTTGATACGTGCGCTGCCTGTTTCAATTTGTATTAGCAACCAATTCAGCTGCACTGCAAGTAGCAGTGTGTGCTCACCAAGCGATAACTTCCTGTCAGGAGCAATTACTTCAGCTTTGGCCATGGATTGACAAGCTAAGGCCACAGGTCCGAGATTCAAAAGTGGGCACTTTTCCATTAAACTTTGGTGTGACTATATCCATAAGTACTGTTCCAGACGCTCGGCACGGGTAATAAAGACGCGAATTGGTTGGTGTCAGATTGAGACTGCATGGCTGAGATGTTTTGTGTAAGGAGTTTACCGGACCCTGGCCAGCCCTAAGTGTTGGCAGATAGGATAGGTGCACGTGTTGACACGTGATGTGGGTACAGTACCTGATTACATAAGCTAGGAATCCGTGGCAGCACATGGATAGCAATCCTCTCCACACATGCCCTGGGCAATGGCATGCAGACAGTGATCTCCTGAGACAAAGAGGTTAGCAGCATGTGATTCAAAGATGCGATGGATATGCAGAAAGAAGGCAGGCAAGTAAGGTGGATAAATGATTACCAGATTTCCTTAACAGGAGGGTTAGGTGGAAGTAAAAGGGGGGTTTCCCCCTGCCCAATCTTGGGACAACTACATTGCCCCGGGACTAATCCACTCTTCATTCTTGGCCACCACTAAGACTAAGTAGCCTGCAGGGACTATGTCTCCTGCCCATATGTCTCTCTGCACCCTACCAGCATGTAGCAGTCATCAAGACATCAAGCATGTCTATGTGTCATAAACTGAGTGTTTGTCTGGTTTTGTGAAAGTAATTGATTCCTACATTCTGTTTGGCACCTGAGAAGAAACTGATTTCTTCACAGCCACTAATAGTTTTTGTCTGAGATGAGTTAGAATGGGGCTTCTAGACTTGATAGGAGAAAGTATTCAGGGTGATCAAGGAGATAATCTGCAATTAGTCATGAAACAACAAGTTTTGTAATGATTTGTTGTCGTGGTCATGGTTCAAAAGCACTTTATTTGTTATCAGTTGATCACGTGACTGTCATCGCATGGCGACGTGATTGCATGGTTACTCCGCAAACCATATGGGACAGGACAGCCGCTGCTGTCCCGCCTCGCTGGATGAACTTGATATTCAAACGAGGAATCAACACGTTTAGAACGATCTCTACGTCGTCTAGGTGCGGTCTCTCAATCGTAGTTTCATCCAGCACTGACAAGCAACAGCATGGACAGTACACTCGCCCTCTCCACCACCTTCAAGCTCTCCTCTGGGTACGAGATGCCCATTCTGGGCTTCGGCGTGTACCAAATGCGCGAGTGTGCACAGCCTATCGCCGCTGCATTCAAGGCTGGGTACAGGCATATCGACTCCGCGCAAATCTACAGGAACGAAGACCAGGTCGGGGAGGCGTTCAGGGCAAGCGGGTTACCGAGGGAGGCGGTGTTCATCAGTATGTCAGCTTTATCATCTCCGCTCATCTGCCGTTGCTGAATATCATGCGCTGTGTGCCGTTTTCCGCAACTGTTCAGCTACGAAAGTCTCCAGCCGTAACCAAGGCTACAACAAGACGATCGCCTCGGTTGACCAATCGCTCAAGACGCTGGGGCTGGACTATGTCGACCTCTTCCTCATTCATGATCCACTGTCTGGCAAGGTCAAACGGCTAGAGACGTACAAAGCACTGCTGGAGAAGAAGGAGGCAGGAAAGATCAGGAGCGTAGGGGTGTCAAACTAGTGCGTAGTGTTCCTCGAGGAAGGGTTGTTTGCTGACTTCCATTCGCACGATAGTGGTGTCCCTCACCTAGAGGAGATCAAATCTGCCGATCTTCCCGCCCCGACCGTGAACCAGATTGAGGTAATGACCTCTCAGTTTGTATATGCTCTCTTCTCACGTGAATCCAGCTCCACCCCTGGTGCCAGCAGCGCCCAATTGTCGAGTACTGCCAGAAGAACAATATCGTCGTAGAGGCCTACAGTCCTCTGACAAGGGGAGACTACCTGAACGATCCGACATTGCAAGCAATTGCCAAAACTGTGAGCTGTTCCTACTCCTTATGAAGCCTATATGCTCACTCCCGACAAGCACAACAAGGAACCCGCGCAAGTGCTTATCCGTTGGTCCCTCCAAAAGGGCTACTCTCCCCTTCCCAAGTCTGCCACGCCCTCCAGGGTCGCCTCCAACGCCGACGTCTACTCCTTCTCGCTCTCGGAAGAAGAGATGGCGAAACTAGATGCGCAGGACAAGGCTGAGAAGGGCGCTGTCACGTGGAACCCGGTTAATGCTGAGTGAGTTTGTTATGGGTTTTGGTGTACCGATAGAAAAGAATGAAATGCTGTCCCTTCTTGATAGGTCGTGGGGTGACTTCATTCCCAGCTTCGCCGCCTGGAGGATCGGGAAACTGTTTAGATTTTGACACGTATATGCTGTCGTGTTCCCTCTTGGAATGACGCACTCGCACACGACACCCGTCAGCCAACCACGGCCACACAGACATCAACTCCTCCCAAAGATGCAGTTAGAACGAATCATTGAATACAAAAATAAGACCGCGTGCGTGATGAGTGCTTTACACAACGGTGGGTATGCATACTTTACACAGTTGCACACAAGAGTCCTCCACCGCCAACCATAAGCATGCATAACCACGACGCCCGACTACCCTCTATATCCGCTGTATTAGCGTCCATATGTCGCTCAAAACCATGTCGCATCCATCGTTCCTGTGTGCGGCCCCGCTCTTCAGGCGTTCAGTGTGCTGGTACTCGCCACCAGAACCAAGCGAAGATCTTCCACAACACCCACAGAAGCACGATGGCGCCGACGACGTAAAGTATCATCCTGAACTGGGATATGTTGCTGCGTAGGCCGAGTGCGCGTGCGGCTCGATTTGCGGATTGGGAGAGGGAGGTGCGGAAAGATGCAAAGGTGTTTATCTAGTGGCATCGAATGAGACTTGCAAAGGAGGTGAGCGTAACGAAAGAGCGTACCGTCTCGTCCAGATGTGTGTTGCCCCGTTCGGCTTCATCATAGATATCTGTTGTTACCTGTCACGCATCAGATGAGTCAATACTGGTCGCGTGCCTCAAATACGGTAACGCACGCTTCGTAATGACCGAATCTTTGAATGCAGCTCGTCTAGACGTCTGTCATTCTGCTGCTCGTACGTGAAATCGTCACGGTCGCGTGACGTGGACATGGGTCCGTAAGGTCAACTCCTTCGATAGCGTGTAGAGCGGACGACCGCAATGAGGAAATAATTGGTTGTGGGGATTAGAATGTAAGCAGTGAAGAAATCCAGGGGCTACAGTAACAGAGCAGTGTCGTGTGTCGCAGACCGTCACGTCCGTCGATCAGGAGATGGAGGCCGACACGGAGAATGTGCACCGCCACTTCCCTTATATAACCCCACTGACTGGCATGTGTGTGTACTCCTCAACTTCAACAATGTACTATCGCTCTGCGATTGTTCAAGTGGCATATGAACTGCTCATTGCATAAGGAATGTCTATGTGACTGTTGGTGGAATCATTCTGGAATGCCTAGGAGAGGATGCTCTGTACATGCTTGACGACCACATCTTCAGCGACCTCCAGGGACCAATCTACAACTCGTCCAACCGCAGAGAATCATGCACCGTGTCTCCTCGCAGGCAGCTCTTCCAAAACCACTTGAGCGCGGCACTTTCCAGGGGTGTACGCTTCTCCACGACCACCCATCGCGCCAATTTCGCCTTCTGCTCTTCCGTATGACTCTCGATCGTAATGGGATCCAACACAAGTGTCCTCACTCCATGCAAGCCATCTTCTCCCAGCCTCGACATCCGACGTTCAAGAGTCTCCAGAAGAAGTTCTACCGAAAAGCTGCAGTATGCGAGCTCGAGCGTCTTCATGTACGGGACCACGAGACCGTTCTGTAGTGTCTGGCCCCAATGAATGATGAAGTCGTCGCACGAAAAGACCGCCACGGAGGGGGCGATCAACTCCAGCCGCTCCAGCAACGGAGTACGAAGGAGAAGGCCGTGCACTTGCTCAGTTGAAATGGATCCACCGATCGCCAACGCAGGCGTCCAAAAATGTCCCAGACGTTCCGAGGCACCGGGCTATCTCCAAAGGTGAGGATATTTCGCTCCCGAGGCTCTTTGTTCCATACTTCGTTCTCGACTGCTAGACGCAGGTGCTCTATGATCGGCAGGTCAACTTGACGCAGGAAATCGATCATCTGGAACGGCGAAACAGCAACAAGATTGAGCTGCCAGACGTTGTTGAACTGGAAAATGTCGGCACTGCGGAGCTTGGTTCCGGCGCTTTTGACGAGGGAAAGCCGCTGTACAGGGCTCGCAGAGGTACATGCTTTCAAGAGTTCACCGATGGGAATATTATAGCAGCCACAGAACGTCATGTGCATAAGTCGAGGCAAGGGAAGTGGCGACAAGATTTCGTTGACGAGCCTTTCCGCCAGAGAACTCTTGTAGTAGATCCCGACAACATCGAGTGCGACGAGGTACTCCCATCCATGACCTGTCCTCGGAAGCGCCTTGCTTAGTGTCTCCAACCAGATCTGCGCAGAAAAGGAGCCTTCCACCTCTCCGACCTCGCTTACGACCCGCGAACACATGATAGTCAAAGACCAAAGCTTCCCTGAATTCGAGTGCAAGAACCAGGGGAGGCGATCGACTGTGCGGGTGAAGGCGTCAAACTGTGATGCGGGGCTTTGAATCACGACATGGATGACTGGTCCGGAGCGAGGGAGTTGCGCTGGTGTATCGGTGGATGACATGTCGAAGAAGACGAGGATGGGAGGATGAAAGCCGCAGGTTATGCCGCGTTTTATAGAGAGGGCATTGTGGCATGCGGAAATAGGACTCGCTACGTTCCACGAACCACAATTCCAGACCACGCGCCTGTCGCTATGATTCGTATCAAATTTCGCGGTAATTGGGCGGCAATTTCCTGGCAATTTCTTTTCCAAGTATGGTTTGTGATGACGACTATACCTTTTCCGGAAGTTTATGTAAGAGGGTTCGTATGGGCTGAGGCATGACTCCGTCCACTTAAAAACTCGCGTTGGCACATGATGCATGGCATAAACGCACAGCACATACATGGGTCGATCAATCGGAAGGAGACTACAGAAGCTCCTGCCATGCCCGGTTTTGTCCTGTATAACATTCCCGCCAGTACTTCGCCTTCTGACTACCCATGAACTGCCGCATTTCAATATCCACGACCCCGTCTAATGCCTGCCACTCGGTCGCAAAGAATTTCTGATAGTCGGCGATATTCACGACGACCGTCGAGATGTTTTGAAACGCGTATTCTACTGCTCTGGCATTCCGCGACCTCAAGGCATCAGACAGCACTGGCATCGAATAGTCGCACCAAGCAAGCTCCAGCTTTTCCATCTTAGGCGCATGACAACCGAACGGATCGGTGTACCTACTCAACTGTCGGAGGAAGGTGTTGCAGTCGAATGCGTCTCCGTTGGCACAGGGAGCAACAATTTCGAGTCTCTTCAATTCGTGTGTATGTTCCAGCATGTTGAGCAGCTGGTCGTGGTGGAACCAACCTCCGATCGTCAGTGTCTCCAGTCGACCGAAATTCTCCCAAAGCACGTCGGGTTGTCCTGTAGATCGGGCCCAGAGTATAGTATGCTGTATTTGTTCGACGTTCTTTCTTCCATCCGTTGCCAGTCGCAGGTGCCGGAGCCGAGGCATTCGAACATGTGCGAGGAATGCAGAAGCATGGCGAGGTGGACAACCAACCAGGTCAAGCGTCAAAAGCCTGTTTAGCGCATAGTTCATAGATGCGAGACCAGTGAGATCGAAAGAGGCCTTGAGCAGGGACAGTCCCTCGACGTGTTCCTTCGGAATGAGGATGTCGTTCACGACGGCGAACGCGACGTCAAAGACCTCGGTAAATGTGACTTGTAAAACCCTCGGCAACTGGATATCTGCGAATACTTCTGCTAGTTGGTCCACGACGGCACCGGAAGTGGTTTCATGGATTTCGAGAGACGTCAATCTGGACCATCCGGGATGAGGGAACACCAGGCTTTTCAGTACACGCAGCCAGGTGGCCGTCGCATATTGACCTCTTCCCGGCTTGTCGAGCACGCCTCTGCAATTGATGACAAGGGTCCAGAATGGCTCTGCCTTCTTGTTCAACACAAGTGATAGACGACTTTTGACTGCTTGCTTGAAGCCGTTGAGCTGCTCTGTTGGCGAGGGGATGATGATATTCGCGAAGGACGCGTCTGGAGACCGTTGGATCGATGACATGGCGTGTCGTATTGTGGATGTGAGTTGTCGACAAGATCAAAGACATGGCGAAACTCAACACTTATGCAGTGACGGGGCCTTTCTGGCATTTGGAGAAACAGAAAATCTGTGGCACGATGAAACTTAGCACGGCCTAAAGCGGGTTCACTCACACGAGGGCTCGCAAAGGTTTGTGGTTCTTCTCCGCATAAAGGCCGCTCGTTCTGTTCTCGGCCCTGACCAATCTATAGGGTACTAGAACCCATGCGAGGCAATTGTGCGCCTCACGACCGGGAAATCAGCGGTAATGGGGTGCAGAAATGACAGGTGCGTTACAGTCTACAGATCTATTACATGCGTGATTGAAATCATTAGATGACGATACATTGTAGAGGGGGGACGTATTCTTGGCAATCACTCATGTTCTTCTTCTTCCATGATATCTAGAGCTAGCGGGCCGGACTTCTCATCTGGTCCGTGATTATCGACGATATCGAGTGTCCTCTTGTCTTCCGAGGCACGAATCGTGACCAGGTCGCCATCCCTGGTTCGAATATCAGTCCGATGCCCCAAACACCCTCAGTATGTACATACCGGATAGTACCAGACAATAACTTGCGAGCCAGTGGGAAAGCAACATCCTTCCTGACGACCCGGGCAATCTCCCTTGCGCCGTAGGTTTCAGAGAATCCCTTTGCCAGCAGCCAATCCCGAGCACCATCATCAATATCAAGCTTGATATGCCTGTCGACCAAGCGATGTTCGACATCACGCAGGCGCATGTCAATGATCTGTTCTACCGAAGGCTTGCCTAACTTGTTGAAGACAATTTGGGAGTCGAGACGGTTCAGAAGTTCGGGCGGGAAGAACTCCGCTGCTTCGCCAAGGACTTCCTGCTTCAACTCAGGGGGGATGACGGGTGGACTATTGACCAAAAGGTGGGAGCCAAGATTGCTGGTAAGCATCACGATCGTGTTCCTGAAATCGACCTGGGCGAAAGTCAGCGCGACTCGAGATCAAATATGCCCATGATATACCTTGCGTCCCTGGCTGTCGGTCAAGACACCTTCATCCAAGATCTGCAAAAGAATCATCGAAACATCCCTGTGCGCCTTCTCGATCTCATCCAGGACCACAACAGCTAGAATATCCATCAGAGTCAGAGTCTCACGAAAATCCGTGACGTACCATAAGGCCGCCTTCTTACAGCTTCCGTCAACTGTCCTCCCTCTTCATATCCGACATAACCAGGCGCAGCACCGACAAGCCTCGAAATTGTATGCCGATCATGATACTCACTCATGTTGATCGTGATAAGTCCGCGATGCTCGTCCGAGAAAAGGAATCCGGCGAGAGCCTTGCACAGTTCAGTCTTGCCCACTCCTGTAGGACCAAGTAGGAGGAAAGAGGCGACAGGTCGCGTGGGTGCTTGAAGGCCCGCGCGGGATATGCGAACCGCATCTGACACGGCTGCGATGGCTTCCTCCTGTCCAACGATACGTTGGCGAAGGGCGTCTTCCATCTGCATAGCTGGTGAGCAGCATACATCTGCCAAATAGAACCACACGTACATGGACTAGCTTCTCTCTCTCTCCTTTCATAAGATTCTGAACTGGGATACCTGTGGCACGGGCCACAACCCTAGCGATATCAGCCGAGGTCACACGATCATGCAGCATTTGTCCAAGCGCAGGATCCTCCGTCTGTCCTTCCTTCCCGTCTTCTTTGGGCAACTTGGATTCGAGATCGGGGATGACAGCGAAGCGCAGGCGAGACGCCCGTTCATAGTCACCCTGACGTTGCGCCACTTCGAGCTCGAATTTGGCATCCTCAAGACGCTGTTTTAGAGACTTGATCTCTTCCAAGCGAGCACGCTCTGTATTGTGTCAGTTTATCATGCCCATGAACGCCTTTGAACAAGACGCACCTGCATGCCAAATGTTAGTTAGCTGTTGAGCTTCCTTCCGTTTTGCATCGATCTCCGAATCGACTTTCTCGCGCCTTTCAACACTAAATGTGTCGGACTCCTTCTTCAAGCTCTCCCTTTCAATCTAGCACAGGGTTAGTATGAGTAATTGATTCCAAGGTTCATAAATGCGCACTTCAAGAGTCATGATCTCTCTATCCAAAGCCTCCAGTGCATCTGGCTTGGATTCTTGCGCCAGACGGAGGGCGCTGGCGGCCTCATCGACTAAATCGATAGCTTTGTCTGGGAGGAAACGATCCGAGACGTACCGCGCACCGTACACAGCGGCTGCAATGGCCAGTTAGGAATTTGTTGACGACAAGGCAACGGCACTGACCAGTGACTAAAGCTCCATCAGAAATCCCGACACCGTGATGAACCTCATATCGACTCTTCAAGCCTCGCAGAATGGAGATCGTGTCTTCCACCGTAGGCTCCTCGATCTGAACAGGATGAAATCTCCGCGCAAGTGCAGTATCTTTTTCGATCGTCTTGCGATATTCATCAGCTAGGAGATTATGTCAGGAGAGTGCGCTATAAGCTGATCGAGGAGACGCACGAGTCGTCGCTCCAACTAACTGTAGTCCACGTGCGAGAGCAGGCTTGATCATCTGACCAGCATCCACACTCCCTTCAGCTTTGCCCAAGTTGAGAAGCGTGTCTATACTTGTATCAGCACTTGTACAAACGCGATTTCGGGGAACGTACGGATCTCGTCAATGAAGCATATGACACCGCCTGCTTCCTCCTCTATATCCCGTAGGAGCGCCTTGAACTTCTCTTCAAACTGTCCTCTTATGCCAGAACCAGCAAGGAGCGCCGCGAGATCGAGTGACAGGACACGCTTATCGTGTAAAGACTATAATAGAATGATACATCTGTGGTTCATATAAAGGGGATAAGGGCGTACCTCAGAGACGGTCTTCTCTACAATGCGGGAGGCTAGTCCTTCCACGATGGCCGTTTTACCCACACCGGGCTGACCCAAGAGAACAGGATTGGACTTGGTACGCCGCGAAAGGACTGCAGACTGCCTTAAATTGAGCTCATCAAGATGGAGGAGGAAGCATACTTTGAATCGTTCTTCGAATCTCTGCCTACGGTGTAAGCATGAGAAGTGGGAAGCGTGATCGATGACTCACCTTCATCTCGTCCAATCACAGGATCGAGCTTACCATCTCTCGCCATTTGCGTGAGGTCGACGCTCTAAATCCACTGTCAGACAGCAACCTAACGGTGACAATTCGGACAAACGTACATATTCCTTCAACGCCTCCCCCTTGGCCTTCTGCTGCATGCCGGGAAACTGAGCACCTGGGAATTGTGCATAACATCGTTGTTGCTGGCGCAATATGCGCACATTCGTCGGTCGTAACAAAGGTCGTAAAGGCCGGTGACCGTACTGTGTAAGGAAGGCGTTCATATCCGGTCGACGGTTTGGGGGGGGGGGGGG